CAATTCCTTTAATTTTAAATATGTTTATATTGTCTATCCTGTAAAATAGTCAGATATCTATTCATATTAATGTACAGAATTCACCTGCTTGCTGCTACTACTGCACATTCACCCAATGTATATACTATATATATATATATATATATATATATATATATATATATATATATATATACATATATATATATATATATATATATATATATATATATATATATATATATATATATATATGTATATATATGTATATATATATATATATTATTAATGTTCTTCCTCTACACCCCCCCCCCCCCCCCCCCCCCAATTTTTTTGCACATGTCGAGGAGCGTGTCAGGCTACATTTCACTGTGTGTTATACTTGTATAACTATGCATGTGACAAATAAAGAACCTTGAACCTTCTGCTTTTGCTTTGACTGCACAACTTTAACAGACAGATCTTTATGAGAAGTTGAAATTGTGTTCATGTCTGTGGCTTCCTGTGGTGTGGTTGTCTATGTGTGTGATCTCTAAAAACAACAGACCTTAGACACAAAGGCTCTAGTTTTGCTGTAACTTCCTCTTGTTCAAACTGAAATGCTTGAATGTGTAAAGAAACTGTATTTTTACTTGTGAAAAGCATGCCGCTGTGGCTGTTTCTTTGCGAGGACCAAATTAAGTTTAAAATCAACATTTAGAATCAAAGCAATCGGAAGGTTCAGCTGAGAATGCTACTTTAGAAATCTGAACACTTCATCCAGCATTAGGACCTGGAATATCAACCATGTCTTTTATTTTATTCTTCATCATACAACTGTACAGTTTTACATTGGCATCAGATCATTTCCCTTATGTTTTAAAGTAGTATAATAATGTAATATTTAAAGACACACAGAGGTGGATCAGCCCTATAATAACACATCAGTAGAGCAGAGAGCAGAGTACTTCACAAGCCTTCAAATGAAAAAGTATAAATACTCAGAGGGTCTCAGGCAAGGAGGCGTTTGCTAAATCACTACTTTAGTTAGTGGTGGATATGCGACGATTCCTGACCAATAAGTGCTTTTATTTTTGTAGCTATGGTACAGATGTGTTTGTCATTTCGATGTATTACAGTGACAATGTAGGACAACTATTAATAACAAAATGCATTAAAAATAAAAAGAAGAACAGCATTTTTTCACTTTTTCTAGGATTATACTTTCTGGCTTTGAAGCTTTATCAGAAGCTCACAATCACATCTTCTTTATAATAAAGGCTGTAAGGACATATCTGCAAATACTCAGTCAATCAATCAGAATAATTGGTTGATGTGGAGACCGAGGCCACATGGACGACACAGTCGTTACTAAACACAGTAGCATTCCTACGTTATGGTGAAACGGTTTACATATTAGTGAGTTATTTGTACACTTGGGCAATGAAGCGTACATCTCAGTGTAAATCATGCAGTGTAAAATATAAGCTTTTGGTGACTCCAAGTGGTTGAACAAAAGGATGGGAAAAGTTCTTGCAGACATTCATGTAAAACTGAACATCAGCAAGAACATCTACTTCAAAATGATCAATAATTTATATTATTGATCATGAAAACAATGTGCACACTTACATTCTTGGGCAATGCACAGTACCTACAGTGCATCTCGTAAATTAATTCATTTGTAATCCAAAAACACAAGATTGTTTAAAAGGCTTTTTTGAGTTAATTTTCCTTTGTTAGGATAATCTGTGAGCACTTTTTTGTTTCTTTGGCTGTAGTGTTTAATATGATGGTAGGTTCTAAAAGATTTACCGCAAAACAAGTCTAATTTATATCACCAAATTCCACAACAATTCCTTATTTAACATATCACCAGGACCGTTGTGAAGTGCCAGGAAGATTGCAAAGATTTACACTCCAGGGAAACTAAACAACCTCTTGCTGAGCCAGTGGCACAACACAGAAGAGCTAACTCTCCTAGGCTTGCAGATTTAACTGAATTAACCAACATGCCACTTTTAATGAAAGTAGAAGACAATCTGACTCGAGGGAAGTCTCTGTCCCTATCACTCATGGGAAGGATTGCTTCAAGAAAAATGGTGGTTTGATTATTTTATGTGATCCCGAGTGAACCATCAGCTGCCTGGTTCAGATCTCTGGATTCGTACATTTCTAAATTCCTTTGGAAATATAAACCTGCACGTATCAGCTGAAAAATGCTACAAAGGGCCAAGGATAAAGGAGGACTAGAGCCGCCTAACTTTCAACACTACTTTTTAACCAACAGGCTTCAGTTCATCTCCGGATGGTTAAAACACGCCCACTAAGATGAGCCTTGTAGAACAGGCACTGTGCAATAATCTGGAGATTTCTGACCATTTATCAGCTCAAACATCAAATGACATGAATGCTTTAAAAGCATCAACATCAGCTCCTCTCTGACAGCATGGTGGGAGTTTCTAAAAATAACAGTCTTCATGAATCCCATGCAAACGTACACCTATCTGGAACAATCCGGACATATTACAAAACAATAATATGATAAACTTCACAGATTGAAGTCGTAAAGGAATCAAATACTTGGAACATATTTTAGAAGGAACAGACTTTATTCTGTTCGACAGATTAGTTCTACAGTACGGGTTCAACAAGAAAAGATTTTTAGAATATCAACAAATGAAATTTATAATAAAAAAGAAATTTAAACCTAATCAAGTCTAAATGAAAAACACCATCAAGTGTGCACAGTTTCTCAGAACTCCCAAGTTATATATAGGACGCTCCTGTCACGGCCTGGGGGGTCAGCAGGACGTTGATCGGCCATTTCTACCTTTCTCTCTCTCCTCCTCTCTGTCGCCGGGGAAGAACTCACTGTGGGTTCACGCCCACGGAAGGGGAACACACCTGATGCCCATCAAGGCGATCGGCATTTAAGCCAGAAGGAGTCTGCTGGTCTTCGCTGGATCGTTGTCTGCCACCCGTCAGTGAGAGTCAAAGTTACAGCTCAGTTAACATTGTGAACGTTGTAATTAATTCTCGTTTCCTCGTCTACAGGACTCCTGGATACCCTCCCGTGTGAATCAGTGTGTGGAGAGTGGACCTGTGGTCATGTGTGTGTGTGGAGAATTGGAGAACGAGTGACTACCCCTTTGGATTTCCCTGGAGCGCCGTCCCTCACCTTGTTGTATATAGCACTGCCCTGCACTTCCTGTTTATACACCTGGTGGATTCTGTAAATAAATTCTTGTGTACAGCTGATTCTGGCTTCCTGCGCTTGAGTCCCCCACGCTGAACCGTAACAGCTCCCCAAAATAGATGAATCAATATCCCTTCATATTATGTCTGTGAAGGTTCTCAGTCATCCAGGTCATCGAAGTCTAAAGAGCCTGGAAAGAAAAGTTTCTTGAAAAACTTCAAGAAGTCCACACATTTTTCTTTAGAAGCTGCTTAGATCCCTTCCTATTGGGAAATGGGAGGTGGATCTATCAGTCAGAACAAACTTCTGGTGTTAGATTTATTTAAAAACCCATCCATCCATTTGTCCTTCTCAGGGGCGCTGCAGCCTACGGAGCCCATGTTGTACTCGTATAACGATGCATGTGACAAATAAATAATTTTGGATCTTGAATTTAGTTTCTGGTTTTCTTTAATGAGTTTTAGATCTTGGGTTTTGTTATTGTGCCTCCTTTGTGCTCCATGTGTCACGTCTAGTCAAGTTTTCATGTCTGTTCTCATGGTTTCCTTTTTAATTTTGCGTGTCTGTCTCACAGATGCAGGCTCCCCCCACCTACGAGCCTGCATTTGGGCCGTTTCATGACAGCTGCCGGTCACGGACAATGACTCCCACCCTCTCCGTAACACACTGAAGAGCGATTTCTTCAACCTTGCAGTCTGAGGGAATGACACAGGAGGTTGTTCCTACCTCCCTCTATCAAACTAATGCATCTACTTGGATCAGACCCACACACTGAACCAGACACTCTGTCACTTTTTGTACGCCACAAAGTATATTTGTGCACCTGTGCACTCACACCTGTAATATCCCAGAAACATTAGTGTTAATACTTTAATGTTTATGTTTATATCTCTATTTCTACACTTTATATGATTGCTTGGTGTCTGTTGTATGTTTCATTGATTCTGATTCTGAAATAGTCAACGATTTGATCTAGCTAAAAATTAAGCCATGTACGAAAAACAAATGCTTTATTCAAATTGGAAAGACAGCAGCAATGTGGAGGATTCAGTCAGCAATTTGAAATAGTGCAGTATATGCAGATTCTGTTTCCTGTAAGCTGTCAAGAGTCTTTTATCTAACTTAAACTTGTGATGTTACTATTCTAAAACGAATTCAAAGCTCTGAATTTCTAAAATAACAATCACAACCCATTAAACGTTCACAAGATGACCACAAGATGTCTCTGCAGCACGTGCCGTGGACAGCGCAAAAAGCAAAGAAACACAAAGCAGGACAGACAAATGCGTCTGGAATGGAAGTGCGAGAACAGTGATGCTGTTGTTAAAGGTGAAACATGACTATCAACATACTTTAGCTGCAGTATAGTTTGTAATCAGTGTGACATAAACTAACTAACAACGCGCAGTGAATGGTAGCTACACAAAAGCCTGTTTCATCACGTATTTGACCCCGGGATCTATTTTTTCTCCAAGCTTCATTTTTTAATTGTGGTGAACTTCACGTAGCTGCCTGATGCGCATTCTGCTCATCAGTGGACTGAATTGTCTTTGGGTCATCAGTAATAAAGCGCCTTCAGGCGACTGTGGTTGTGATTTGGCGCTATATAAATAAAATAAACTTGAATTGAATCAGTATAATTCAGGGTTGTATATTATAATAAACGTGTTGAGACATTTTCCAGCTCACATGTATTCATTACTGTTTCCCCCAATACCGAATTTAAAACTTTTTTATTCAGGAGCTAAAGTTAAAAACGGGAAAGTGGGTAAGTGACGTGTCCGTGATGGTGTTTGTGTGGCGCAGAGGAACCACATGACACGGTAACTTCAGAGGTCTTTCTCAGCCGTCTGCTGAGCCAACAGGAGCAGTGCAACAAGGACGCCCTTTGTTTTCTTCACTAACCGGACACCGCTATACGAGGAAGACCTGCTGAACCGCACCGTGAGTGTATTTTGCTTTTAAAACATCCAAACAGCGACGTTGTAAACTGCGCAACATCAGGGTGTTAACCTGGAGGTGGCAATAAAACGAGGCAGTCTGATTTCCCTTTAATGAAACATAAAACTTGAATCTGAAGTTAAGACAAAATTATTAGAGAGAAAGATTTGTGACAGGTTTGTTACAGCTTCACAGCAGTGAAGCATTAACCTGCCTCACGCCTGTACCTTCTTACTAAAGGTGTAAAAGGTGGCACTGAATCATGGAGCATTCTTAGTTTTTCACAGGAAAAGTCATTTTACAAAAGCATAAACGGTGCAGTTTGGTGCACATGATGTCACATTGATTCAGGGATGTAACACTGATGTTGTAAAACGATTCCCTTCATAAGGCTTTATAAAACTTATAAAAGCTTTATAAAAAGAAACTGACACAGTTTGTTTTCTCTTTTTTCTGATAATGTAATGATGAGTATTACTGTACTTGTCGTCATTATTAGAAAACCATGCTGGGACAAAACATTAACGCAACCACTAAGCACACCGTTACTTATTCTAAACACAGTGACTTCATCAGTTCCTCTTTGCAGCTGTTTTTGTGTTTAATAGAACAAAAGCAGATATCGCAGTGCATGTTTTCTTGTGCTCGTTTTTGTTACGACTCTCTGAACTGGGCCATGTAGATTAAAGTGGAGTAGACTCTGGTCAGGAGCAGCAGGTGTTGTGCTCCTTAACAAAGGCACCAGTGAACTGATAAGAGGCTTTGCTTCTAAATTTAGAACCAGGACGGCTTCCTGTCCCCACAGTGTGAGCAGTGGTGAGTTTCTGCAAAGTTAACTTGTTATTTAATTGGGAATTAATTACATTTAAACTCCTAAATAAATACACACTTTTAGATTCTGGATTTGCTTTTCGGATTTGGGGAATTTCATTGCCCTGCGACAGACTGGCGACCTGTCCAGGGTGTACCCTGCCTCTCACCCTAAGACAGCTGGGATAGGCTCCAGCACCCATGACCCTGAAAAAGGATAAGCGGAAGAGAATGGTTGGATCGATGGGAACTTCATCTAGTTTTTCAACTATGTGTCCATCCTGAAGTCTTGGGAAAATGGAGTGTGTGTAAATGAATGCAAACAAATCCCCAAATACACACTGTCATGGTCCTCGGTCAGTTGTTTTCAGTGTTTTGGACTGTTTTGGTTATTTATCAAGGGATGGTTTTTTATAATGTTTAGGTTATTTCCTGTATTGGTTCTCTTTGTGAACTTAATCCAGTTATTTGTTCCAAATTCTTCCCTCAGCGTTTCTCCCTCTTGTGTGAAGTCTGTTGTATTAGGTCACACATCACTTCCTGTTTTATAGAGAGCAGCATAAACACAGTTGAGCAGATTGTGTGAATCTTCGTTGTAACTGCATTTTGCGTTTCATTGTTTATAACACAGTTGCTGCAGGAGGAAGAACATGGAACGCTATATTAGATATTAACTGATAAAAGTGTGATTAGTGGTCTGTGATGTATGGAGGACAAGAGTTACACAGCAAGTACATCAAAGAAAATTAGATGTATTTTATTTTATATGCAAAATGAGAGGAGGCTGAAGGAATATAAATGTGCCTTTAAGAAACATTTTAAGAAATATAAGGAACAACTCTTCTGAACACTGTGCAAAGGGGTCTCGGGATTAGGACTGCAGATTGATTCAGAGGCTCAAATTATGGTCATAAATATTTTGTACTTGTAAATCAGACTGTCTAGTTGTGAAGTGAGTTTTGTAACCTTGTAAATCAAAATATCTAAAATGTGTGCCTAAAAAAGATTTGTATTTGTAAAAGATAATTAAACAAGTTACAAGTTGTTTGGTTAATGTCTGTTTACGGATAGAAGGCAAAAAAATATGTGTGAAGCTTCCTGTTCAAGTTCCCTCACATGCGTGTGAGTTTCAACTTGCACATACAAATTTTGACAAGATTTTTCTTCCTTTCAGCTGATTGGTCGATGTCAAGTTGTCAGGCGTCACACTGTAGAGAGAGGGCGAGTGGACCCAAATGCAGGACTCGCAGGCAGATTGAAGGTGTGGATGGTATTTATTAGTGAGGCTGGACGGACAGAAGCTATCTGAAACTGAAAGACTGGCTGACTGAAGTAGACCTGGAAACACACCTGTGGATTAGACGATGATAAGACGAGGAACTGAGAGAAACTGAGGGTTTAAATACACCGGCTCATGATGGCAAGAAACAGGTGAGTACACACAGCTGGACTAAATCTAACTAATGACACAGGAAGTGGAACATACACACAGTCCGAGGCTAACACAATAAAACAGGAAATGTGAAAACTAAACAGTGATAAGGTCCAATACGGAAAACACTGATAAGAACCCTGGCGCTTTACTTAACTTCAGGTCCTGGAAGGGTAATACATTTTAAAGATGGAGGATGGCGACAGCCATTCTGTTCATGCAAACATCGTTGGGTCTGCCGTGATATGTTTGACATGGGACTTTTGCTCCTGAACCTCTGCGCACAGCGTCTGGAGACCGGGGCTGTACGAAGTCACTTTCATCTTTACGCAGGACTGTAAGCTGTTGTCTGTGAGGCGCGAGCGGTTTTTGTTTTTAACATAGTTCATGGTGGAGAAAAGCTGCTCAAATACGTATGAGGATCTGAAGATCAACAATCCACAAATTAGGCATTGTCACGGTTTGCCAGGGCAAGCCGTGGGGATGTGGGGATTTTATTTTTTTCAAGATATTTCAAGATCACGATAATCTTCCAATTTAGAACTACAAGTTAAAAAAAAAACCTAACATAAATAAAATACACTTCAGCTAAATACTTTTACAATTTATTTCCCCAAACCACGGAGCCGCAGTATAAAGACTAAAGAGCCGCATGTGGCTCCGGAGCCGCAGGTTGCCGACCCCTGGTTTAGTTGAACAAAAAACAAAATCATTGTCCAGATATATCTTTTTGAATATCACGTTTGGTTACTACACTGTGTAATTTTTCGAGGTGCACATTAGAAAAGTTGCCCCCATTAAACGTGATATTCCAAAATATATATCTGTGTGGATTCTGGAGACAAGGCAATCTACAAGTAGTCCTTGGTGTGTTGTATAAAGACGAGCAGTACTTAATCCAACCAGGAGTTTGTCGACCCAGGGCAGTGAATAAGCATCAAATAATCCACAGAGAACCATATAGACCCATCTTTCTCATCTCTTCCCTTAACCAAGTGCTTTTAGCCTTCTTCATGCTTTCAGGTGGCTAATGTGATATACCTAATGTGTATGTGTTAGTCCCTGTAGGGAAATTACTCCTCTGCATTTAACCCATTCACCCAGTGAAGCAGTGGGCAGCCACCAGTGCAGCACCCAGGCAGCAGTGTGTAGGGACGGTACCTGGCTCAGGGGTACCTCAGGGTAGCCGTTCAGTGGATTGAAACCCCTGACCTTCCGATCATGGGGCAACCACTACCTTTGTGACAGAGAGACAGAGAGAGATAACAGGCAGGAAAGCATGAGAAGATTCAGGGACAATGACAGCCCCTGTCTTTATGTTGGATGTTTTTAAATGTATTCCACTACAGATTAATTCAATTCAACTTTATTCATACAATGCCAAATTTACAACAACAGTCACCTCAAGGTGCTTTATATTGTACAGTATACCCTATAATAATAGATACAGAGAAAACCCCAACAATCATATGACCCCCTATGAGCAGCACTTTGGCGACAGTGGGAAGGAAAAACTCCCTTTTAACAGGAAGAAACCTCCAGCAGAACCAGGCTCAGGGAGGGGTGGGGCCATCTGCTGTGATTGGTTGGGGTGAGAGAAGGAAGACAGGATAAAGACATGCTGTGGAAGAGAGACAGAGGTTGATAACTCTCCATAGCTGGACTGGCCATCGGCCCACCGCCTGGTGTCAATGCTTTTTTGTTGTCTTTCTTCCCTTAACGGTACAAACAATGAACGGTGGTGGATTGGCCAGATGCTGGCAGATGTGTAAAAATAAGTCAGTTGTTTGGTGGTGGCTATGGCGGAGCTTCCACAGAGGCAACAGGTGGATGAGGGAAAGGGGAGGCAGGAGGAGCAGAGACCCGAGGTAGCAGCGGCCGGAGTGTCAGGTGAACTGAACTTCAGGTAAGAAGTTATGACCTGCAGTCTATCTGGGTCAGATATAAACCAAGTTTAGGTGGAGTTTATTTTCCTTGTGCTGACTTTTTACAGTCAGTTACAATAACCCGTACTGCGTACTAGCTAGCATGACGGAGTTTATACAGCTGGGTGGTGCTATGATGTTACTGATAGTGAACTTTATTCATAAGGTTAGTTAGTAGAGTTTCCAACCGTCCTGTAAAAAACGGAATCGTCTCGTATTCAGAGAAAATATTACGCGTTTCGTGTTGAGCTGAAAAGGAACAGTTTGTCCGCTACAATGAAAAAAAAAACACACAAAGCTGGAGTCATTCTGTCGTTACGCTGCACAGCTGTTTCTTCTTCTTCTCTCATCCTCTCACCCTCCCTCTCCTGTTTCTACTTCAATCATGAAACTGATCAATGATCAGCTGATCGGCTTTTCTCTCTTGTTTGTTTATCGCCCACTTTGCGCCAGAAAGAGGAAACCAGCGGATGTCGCGCTAAACAACAGCAGCACGTTTAAGTTTGATCAGCTGTTGTTAGAATTTATTTAATATTAATTTCTAATATCGGCTGATGTTTGCTGGAGCCACAGCTGTAAAGCTGCTGGTCATGATGTCGGTTTGGATATGTGGTGAGAGGGAAACATGAAGATGAAACCAGGAGATGTCCTTACTGAACCATCAGAGCTGAACAGGTGATGGAGAAACAGGTTTACCTTTTAGGTGACATGAATGAGTTGAAGGGAAGTTATGAACTGTTTCTGAGAGACAAATAACCCCAGGATCCTTTTTTAGGTAGCTGACAGCTGGTAACTGTGCAGGTGCAGATCTAGCAAAGTGTTGCCAGGGGGCCAGGTAGGACATTAACAGGGAGAGGTGGGCACAAAGAAATACTTTCTTATTCTCATTTAAAATATCTAGTTTTTATTAATTAATTATCTAAATCTTACAACCAAAGTTTTTATCTGACGTAAAATGTATAGAAATCATACATATACCAACAAGACTGTACATCACTGTCACAACAGGGTTTGTTTTCATTCAAAGGCTTTATGGCTTTAATACCTGGTGGGCCGGTCTGTAGTCAAAATGCCCGATTTTCTGTCCCAGTCCAGCCCTGCAGGTTAATACTGGCAGTGTCACCATGCCAGCTGACTGTATTTCATCATCAGCCAGTGTTGTTCTTTATCAATATTATCAAAGTCTACCATAAGGCAGCAGAGAAAGTATTTACTTGCTTTCAGGTTTTATTCAAATGTTAGTCTTTTCAGTTGTTTCCCCACTTTTTTCCTGTTTCAAAATAAATCACCAGTTTGTGAGAAGATTATCTTCTTTTTTTAACAGGCAGAGAAAGTTTTACATTGGAATTTGTCAATTGTTTGTTACAAATGTTCGTATTTTAATATTCAAAAATGTTTTTGCCCAAAACATATGTGCACTATATGTCAGTAAAAATACTATGCAAATATTGCTGTCCTTGAATGCTGAGTAAACACTGACTGATTGTATCTCTTGTACTTTATCAACGCAGTATCTAAAAACTTTGCACCGTAGTGGTTAAAATCTCATTCTAATAAGAGTTAAAAGCGCATTCGGTTATTAGGTTTACAGGGTTATTGAATTATGGTTAAGGGTTGGTGGAATTGTTTTTAACATTATCTGCCAATTACATCTGCCACCCTTCTCCAAATCTGTGCCCCTACCTGGCCACGCCACTGATTTCAGGGTCCCATCATAATTTCTTCAGAAGTAAGTACTGTATATGATGCCAGTATTTCCCCACATTTTCTAGATTCTGCACCAGTACTGTGTGTAAAATGGCATCAAAAAGTTCATTAAGTTGTATTCTTTCCCACCTGTCTTTCTGTCTCCTTTCACTTTTTAAAGGTTGCCATGTTAGAAAAAACATTTTGCGCCGTCATGGTGTTTATTGATGTGGTAAATGAATAGTTTATGAAAATATCACCAAACCTGTCATTTATTACTTTTAATATTCAGTAATGGCAGTGAGACCAAATCAGGAAAGTGTGACAGTGATTAGTGGAATTTTGTGTCAAAAGGTATTAGATCTTTTTCAACATTAAGCCCCAAATTGTAGACTAAGGTAGCTTTTACTGATTCCTACAGGGAAAATAACTTTATGCTGACCTTAAGATTAGGTGTAGTGGGCAGCCACCAGCTATAAGATTGCTTATTCTCTCAGGGAAACCTCCAAGAAGTTATGATGAGGTATATCCCAGACATTTGAGGACTGTTGTGATGAAACGTTTCTGAAAACACTGAATCAACTTTCTGGGTTTTTCTTACCAGAGCATGGATCAGGATGATACATTTTACACATTCGTCCCAATGTTTCTTCAACCCTATATTTTTAGTTTTAGCAACAGCCTGTTAAATGCACAGCTGCACTCTGAACATTACACAACAGGAATAAAAACAACTTTTAGTTGAGTCGCGGTCTCCTATTAAGAAGGCAGATTTAGAAGATAAAAATTCTGATATATATTTACTGATAACAGTCTGTCTGAGGTTCTGTACAGTTAGTTTGCATTATTGGTAATGCTCTTCACCACATTGCAGACTTTATTCAATTCAATCACCAAACCACATAAACAGTTGCTTTAAGGCACATTTGATTGTACGGTTAAGTGCCAGCAGAAACAGGCTTCTACAGAAGAGCAGGCTCTGCCTCCCATTACTACGTCTACCTGGGAACCACAAGTAAGCCAGCAGTCTTAGAGCAAAGTACTCTAAAGAGGAGATACAGTACAATGAGTTCTTGAAGATGAGATGGGTCCTTTTAGGGACATCATAAACTTTTACTTCTTTTGATAAACTTTTGATGGATGGAATTTACTGCAGTCACACAAATCCTAACCGTGGAGGAAAGGAGTTCCACTAGATCACAGCAGGTTAATACGAGAAAATAAGATGTATTGTGTGCACACTGCTGAGAAAGAGAATCTGAGTTGTGGTTGTTTTTGTAGTTTTACATGAAAATCCCAGAATTATTGAAGAGCAATACGCGGGGCTCGCCTATAAGCTTGAGTGCAAAGTTTTACTGAGACACGGTTTTGGCACAGCTTTGCAACATCACCATCTATCTCCTGTCTTTAAGCAACAAACAAACAAAAAGATGTAGCTATCACAACAGCAGCAGGCATAAGGCATGATTTTTGGGGCTTTAGATATTATGCAATTTGCAATAAACTGTGTGGCACAGATTTTGTAGTGACTCATTTAAATATTCTCCTCTTTACAAATACATGTCACAAGGCCATGTATTTTTACTCCCCCTTGCGTTAGTAAATCTGGCCTAATTTTTCCGTTTTCGTCAAATTTCCAACCTTTGTAATAAAGGTCCAAATACTGCCGAGATTCGATTAAAGGAGTAGAACGTAGTAGTTTAAATATGGCGGATATCCGGCATCACACTGATAATGAGACAAGCGCAGGGTCTTTCGGATTTTCAGAGCATTTTCCTAACTCCTTATCAGTTCTCTTACCACCTTTCCTGGACTTGGATTTGTTTCCCTGGAGGTCAAGGAAAAGCGATGGGAACGAATCTTTCTTTTTCTGCGGATGCCTTTCTAACAGCGTCACCGTGTGACGTCACATATGGCGAACCCCCTTCGCCAAGCTGACGTCAATAAAACAAACCGAAGCGGAATAACGCACTTAATAAAAGCACGGTGTGCGACAGCAAGAGCAGCCGGATACAACGCGGAGCCACTTTTACAGGCGACATGTCAAATTCAAACCTGTAGACTGAGTATGTGTATAGTTCATCGGACGGGGTACAGTGAGTTTTATGAACGGACCCAGACCCCCCGACCCACTGCTCGGCACCCACGTCGACTAACGCTAATACCCTTCACGGCTTGTTCACGGTCCAGACACATGAATGCTTTTATTTTGATGTTTCCCGGAAGTACGCCACATCCTCTGTTCTTTTCTTGACTCTACTGTATTCTCATTATCAACACAATAGGCAGGAAGGTTTACAGCTGGAAGAAAGAAAATTTCGTTTTACGTCCTCGGAACTAGACGGGCTTTCAGCCCAACAGGGACGTATTCCGGCCCGTGTCCCTCCGCGGGGCTGATCCGGGTCCACGGCCCGAGCAGTGGATCTGCCGCAGCTGAAGCCTCCGAGATGCTCCGAGCTCTCTGCAGCTGCACAATAACAGCGTCACCGATACCGGCCTGGGGACACAGCTATGATTTTCAGACGGAGAGCCAGGTAACTTGAAATAGCTAGCAATAGATGTGAGAATGGAACAAGTGGGCACAGAACAAGATGCTGATAGCAAAACCATAACGGGGTTATTAGGATGGAGAGACTGTGGTGTACAATGGGCGGCGCTAGGCTGCGATTTTGCAGACATGGGCGAAGGTGTGGGTGTAGGGATTCTTCACACGCCAAGTCTTAACATGGTCACAAGTTCGGGAACCATATACATATATACAGCCTCTCCCTCCAACTCCGCTTGGGCATTTCAGACTTGTAATATGTGGTGAACAGGGTGGTGGCTGCTGCCCTAATATTAATCTCACATTGGTCTGCAGAAGTGACAATCAGACGGAGAGGCAGTGTGATCAGATCTGATCAAAGTGAACAGTGAAATGCACAAATCTATTTAGAGGAAGTGTGATTTCAGCTGTCATATGACATACCACACTGTAACGTGCCTGACTGCAATGTTATGAATCCGTCTGGGTTTAAATGTCAAATAATCATAGAGAACTAGTCCATCACATATTAGGAGAGTGTCAGAAGATTATTCTAGTCATCAACGTCTCCAAGTCCACTGAAGAAGTTTTTCCCCAAACTTTTCCAGTGTCCCATTAGCCAGTAACGTAACTGGGTCGATTGAAATAGTAATATACATCAGTATAAGACATTTTTAACTGTAGAGGTTTTTTTAAATTAAGTTTTTAGGGTTAAATAAAAAAAATAAAGTTAATAAAGATGTTTTTACAAAATTGTAATAGAAGCATAAATTCTATGCACGTATTAACAGTACAAAGCTAATGTGGCAAAGTCGACAAAGTTGCCTTTATCCTCTGAAAACAATATTGCTGTAATAGTGTGAATGGTCTCTTTCTTTTTTTGTTCGCCCAGCTAGATGGAACGAGGCATCACTGTTAAGTTGGATAGATTTGAATATGAGCCTGGTTCTGCTGGAGGTTTCTTCCTGTTAAAGGGAGTTTTTCCTTCCCACTGTCGCCAGCACAGTGCTTGCTCATAGGTATCATATGATTGTTTTAGTAGTGTCTACCTTACAATATAAAGCGCCTTGAGGGGACCGTTGTTGTGATTTGGTGCTATAAAAATAAAATTGAATTGATGTGAATCATATGTTATGGTCTTTACACTGAGCCCCTCTCAGCTTTAAAGACCCGGGGGAGGCTTTGATAAGTGTATCAGCTCTTTATCAGTATGATAAAAACCAAAAGTGAGGAAATACGCTTCCTTTCAACAGAGTTGCAAGGTTGTTTTGGCAATATGTAGCAGCTTATTACCAATAAGCATTTTACTAAAATGCATTAGGTTAAATTAGGTTTAATATACGTGCAATTGTATGACATAACAGCCACTTCCTGTGAGTGTTCCTTTGTTATCAAACACAAAAAGACCATGCCAGTTGTGTTCACGCTCTGATGACACCTGTGTGTGATTCCAAACCAATGAACACACATCTATCACAAATCCTGTTACATTGATCTGTTCCAGTGTGATTGTGTGACAGCAATCAATGTCACTGAAAAACAGACTGTCTGAAAGTACTATTTCATTTGACAGCTCACTACAGGCTCTTTTACATAGAACTTGTTACATATGCATGAATATGTTAAAAAAAAGACTTTTATTGATGTATATTTTTATCCCTTTTCTAGTGGTGTTGGGTTTTTATTTAAATGCTTGATAATGGAAAGTATTGTCACACTTACTGTTTAAGATGGGCAAACCCTTTTAATAATTAGTAGTGCCAACTATGGAAACACCATAGACATCAATAGACATTAGGGCTGCCACGATTAGTCGACCAGTCACGATTACGTCGACTATCAAAATCGTCGACGACTGATTTAATATTCGACGCGTCATTTGAAGCTTTGTAAGATCCCAAAAGACGCAGGAATAAGTAGCAGGATTTAAGAGTGTAATAACGGACTGAAACAGAAGATGGCAGCACTGCATGTTCAAGGATGCCAGCTGCCGTTAAACCCCGAAGAAGAAGAAGAAGCTGTGTCCAGTATCGTAGCTGTGTACAAATTCAGGGGCTGCATCCTTCGCAGGCCACATTTGTTGGCTGATTACGTTACAGTGACGTGACAAATGTCTAAATTCGAAGACTCAGAAAAATGTGTCCTCCTTCTCCCCAGATTTGAAGGATGGGTGTATCCTTCGTGGACCAACCTTTCCCAGAATTCATAGCACAACTCAGCCAATTCCAGTTTCCAACAATGGCAGCAGCTACTTAGTTTTAATATTACTCTTATTATTTCTGGGTCACAAAATAAACCTTTAACACATTTTCAGGCAATACTGTAGCTGTGTAAACTTCAAATATCTGCTCGGTTTATCAAGACACCACATATTTGCAAAAGCGCTCCGACGTTTTCGGAGACGTTTGGCTGAGGTTAAAGTTACAGTTACAGACATTAATACATACATGTTTACAATGAACAGATACACATTTGAACACATTTTTAAAAATCTTTATTACATATACACCCCATTATTTTAGGTTTCACAATTACCTCATAATTTGTTCTAACATTACTACACAAATATGTATCATAGAATAGAGTGTTGTAAGAAAATGCCACACCCATACATATAAACCCACAGGAAAAATCAAGACACTGGTATCAGAGGCAGACTGGTACACGGATACTAACTAAAACACAGCATAAACAGGGAGGACCCCCCCCGTCCCCCCTTAGGAATTTTTGGGGAATGAATTCATTGGAGATGGTGCAGCACGGTACAAAAATTTCAAGGTGTCAAGAGTTTCACTCTCCAGTGGACTGACTCGAGAAGAGAGGCGGTTGCCATGGTAAAGTAGAGAGGAGTCGTCTTTCTTCTCATTACAGAGACAAGCCCCCTGCACAAAGTGTAAGGGGAAACATGAGCCAGACACCAGAACAAAGACCAGTAGGGAAGCCAGGTTTAAACTGTGACCCCTCCCCAACTTTTTCAAACCAATCACATTCATGCCTTGTTTGTGCCACATTATAAAAAACTCTGTTCAATGGCGAGTGGTAGCCTTTCCTAGCCAAGGAAAAGTCCATGGTGCTATGTAAAATTAACTTGAACCTTTAACTGATTAGTATTTAAATTTTGGTTAAAAGTATGCTTTGAGTTTATTCATCTTCTGTTATAAGAATGAACCGGACATCAGTATCTAAGGAATCTAAGGAATACAAGATCTATTTTCAGACTGGTTTCCTTCCCGAAGATACTTCAGTCGTTTTTGTTTTATGACTCATCCAGCTGTCCCCGTCTCTTCATGCCTTTTCTCCTCTTCAAACCCTATCCTGTCACTTTAATGACATTATCTTACTGTGTTTGATTCTTCCATCCATCCATACATCCATCCATCCATCCATCCATCCATCCATCCATCCATCCATCCATCCATCCATCCATCCATCCATCCAATCGTCTGACTACCATCCCTCCATCCCTCCATCCATCCATCCATCCATCCATCCATCCATCCATCCATCCATCCAATTGTCCGACTACCATCCATCCATCCATCCATCTATCCATCTATCCAATCGTCCAACTACCATCCATCCATCCATCCATCCATCCATCCATCCATCCATCCAATCGTCCAACTACCATCCATCCATCCATCCATCCATCCATCCATCCATCCATCCATCCATCCATCCATCCATCCGTATTACTCTCTTTCCACACACTTTTCCCCTTCTTTTTCTGTATCTTCCTCTTCCACTGACTGCTTTGGGCTCACAACTATGTGCATCATTCCATTCATCCATCCTTCTCTCCTCCTCACAGGATGTTGCGATCGCTGGTTTGTGGTCGGCTGGGTCCAGTTTGGATGTGGAAAGCGCTGCTATTCTTTGTGGCCATTGCTTTTGCCACCCAGCTGCTAGGAATCATCTTCAACAAGAGGTATGGTTTTGCTTTTTCAATTTGAACTGCATTGGATTTTTACATTTTTGCATCAGATTTAGTTTTCTTTCTCTCTATTATGAGGAAATTATGTTGGCAGTTCATGGACAACTGTGGGCTGCCCGTGTTCCTATAGAGTGGGTTTTTGTCACATGGTAACAGTGTCACAAATATGTGGTAGAGCTGGTACAACCATTGGATGTCCTTTTTTTGTCCATCTGTGAAGAAAAGTGAAGTTGTACAGACCGAAAGTGAAACAGAGATCACTGGTTTGTGGTCATAAACAGCTCTCTCTACGTTTCATACTAACTCAGCATAAACGAGTGTGTAATGTCTTTGTACTTGTCTCATTCCTGGTCAACTATTATCGCGCTAGTACCTGTTGACTTGTCAACCAGTTGGCATTAACTAACATACAGCATCATCCATGTCGAGCAACATGCAGTTGGTATTGTGGAGGACTACAGCATGGGAGTACATTTGCAGTGGTTGAAAACCCCCTCGCTGTAAGCTCTACATAGGCAAATTTATGCTCAACAGTATTGCATATAGCAATATATATACTATAATACAGTAATAGTAAAATAACAGCCACACCGCTAGATGCTGCTCTGGGTTCATTACATGCAAAGCGAGATATTTCAAGCCTTTATTTGTTATAATTTTGATGATTATGGCTTACAGCTTATGAAAACTTCAAATTCAAAAGCTCAGCAAATTTGAATATTTTGAAAAAGTTCAATATCGTAGGTTCAAAGTGTCACGCTCTCATCAGCTAATTAATCCAAAACACCTGCAAAGAGCCTTTAAATGGTCTCTCAGTCTGGTTCATGGGGAAGACTACTGACCTGACAGTTGTGCAGAAAACCATCACTACAGCCTCCATAAAGAGGGAACACCTCAAAAGGTAATTGCAAAAGAGGTTGGATGTTCTCAAAGTGCTGCATCAAAGCACATTAATAGAAAGTTCTGTGGAAGAAAACGGTGCACAAGCAGCAGGGATGACCTCAGCCTGGACAGGATTGTTAGGAAAAGGCCGTTCAACAGTGTGAGAGACCTTCACAAGGAGTGACTGAGGCTGGAGTTAGTGCAACACACAGACGGATCCTGGAGTTGAGCTTCAAATGCTCTATTCCTCATGTCAAGCTGATCCTGAACAACAAACAGAATCACCTGGCTAAAGAATAAAAGAACTGCTCTGTTAATCTGTGGCACAAAGTCCAGTTTCTGGTGGGAGCAAATTTTGCATCTCATTTGGAAACCAAGGTCCTAGAGTCTGGAGGAAGAATGGCGAGCAGTGTCGGTCAAGTTATTTGAAAAAGTAATTAGTTACTAATTACTGATTACTTTTCCAAGAAAGCAATCCTGTTACTTTACTGATTACTTATTTTCAAAAGTAATTAGTTACTTAGTTACATTTTAAAACCATGATAAACAACCTGAATATGTAATAGAGCAACAGACCTTTCAGCCCAGTTCTACTTTTTCTGCATAATCCATCATATAAAATGTAATCAAATGAAAAACTTGTTTTGTTAGTTTTAATCTTTTAACTTCATGCATGAAGCAAAAATTAAATAATATGCGACATTCTCTGACTGGAAGAATGTTTAACATTTAAATCTATTTTCTGCATATTCCAGCACATAAAATAAAATAATGTTTTGTGTTTTCACTCTTTCAAATAGATGCGAGTAAAACACAGCAGAAAATAAATAAAATCAAAGACTCAGCAGCTCTTAAATCTATTGTCACCTGTTTAGCAGGAGTGGGGCGGGTGGAGGTTTGCCCACAGTGGTCCTGTCAGTGGGAGGATCCGGGGGTTTCTCTGTGAACGTCACATTCCCGTGGCAGCGTGCTCGCTGCTCGCTCAGAGTTGAAGTTTAATGTTTCGGTGTAGAAAGAAGTTTTCTTTCCGCGCAGAGTGTGCAGCAAACGCTGATGTTTTTGTCACTTTTTACAGAATCAAACTCAAAGTAATGTGATTACTTTCACGCTTTAAACGCTGCATGGCCGTCCATTATTGATCTGCAAACATCTGTTGCTGCCACGGACGTCGCACGGGCTTACGTCATTGTCATGAGACACTCTCAGAAACAAAGTCATGACGGTTTAGTAAAACCTTGTTCAATGACCATGGGATAATTGTGCTTGATTGGCCAGCAAACTCACGTGACCTGAACGGGCTTTGCCAAGAGAAAGATGAGACACATGAGACCAAACAATGCAGAAGAGCCGAAGGCTGCTATTGAAGCATCCTGGTCTTCTATAACACGTCACTGCTGACGTGCCACGCCGCACTGAGGCAGTAATTCATGCAAAAGGGGCCCGAGACAAGTACTGAGTACATATGTATGGTTATACTATCCAGGGTTTTCATAAGTGTAAGCCATGATCATCATAATTATAACAAGTAAAGTCTTGAAATATCTCGCTCTGCATGTAATAAGTCTACATTAGTTTCACCTTTTAAGTAGAATTACTGAAAATCTTTTTGCACTATATTCTAATATTTCGAGTTTCACATGTACATGGTGAGACCCAGGGGAAAAAAATATTTTGATTTTGATTTTTTTCAGATAAATCAAGTGTTGGGACGGTAAAAAAAACACATTACAAAAACAAAATTGTTTTTAACTAATTTTATTTAAATTTTACAACATGTGCACTACAGTGCACAAGGGGAGTTCATTGATCACGAATGTGAAACTAACAACATTCAAGAGCTGTTTAAGAAAATTAAATGCTCCACTGAATTTGTTGTAAGCAGGATATTAAAACTTATTTATATAACAATATAATAATAAAAATGTAGATCAGGGACCAACTTAGAAGTCACTGACACTTCACTAGCTGTAAGCCATTGGTTCAGGAACAAGTGATTGTACTGGGCTTTCTATTTCACAAAAATCAATTCATTTATGATATCTGAGGAAGTACTGTGATTTTTTTATTTGGAGACACAAAGCAACATTTGGCACTTCCCACATCTCACATATGTTTTACTGTTGCACCCAACCATTCTACAACTGAAATGCTTTGGACTGTTAACCATCTCAGGCAAGTGGAGGGAACCATATTTTGGTACACTCTCATCTGATTGGGGCCTCCTTTTCTTGATCTTTGGAGAGAAGTCTTCATTACTGGTATTATTCAGGTCTTGTTCACATGTTTGTCCCTGGTTTCTCAGCCAAGAGGAGCTTGAACTCCAGATACTGGGAGTTCTTTTCGCACATTGAGATCATTGATAACTTTCAGCAACGACGTGATCTTGTAGAAACAATCAGGTGTCATGGATTCAGCTATAAATGCGACTCTTATTTTTTACTATACTGGAAAACATTCCTGCATTTTACCCATATTTTATTTTTAACTCAAAGCAAAAATTCCAGATTCTCCTACATGTTGGTTTTGGACCAGATAGGACGACAGATTTCAGGTGGCCCTGTGTTGTTCTCTATCACATCTGCCACTGCATCTCGATAATCTTTGTGTGGCTCCTCCTGGCTTCTCACCCTCTCCTATCTGGCTCACATGACTCTCATCTTCTGAAAAATCTATGTTTGAATCTCACTCAATGATTCTGTTAAGAATTCTCTCCGCCTTTGTTAAAGAGTTGTCTACTAGGAAAAAGTGAAATAAATATAAGTATAAAGTCCCGACGTGCACTAGAGTACACATTAATAGATTAGTCATGTTCTCTGTGAAACTAAATAAGCTTAATTTTTAAAACCCCCTCAAATTATTTACTAGATGTTTATTTTTGAAAATTAAAAAACATTTTAAATGTAAATATCAAGCTTACCTTTCTTTCTTCCTTAAAATATGCTGGTAGGCATGCCAACCATTTTGAAAAGGTGGGTAAAAGACAATTGGCAAGGCCACACCCCCACACATGTGATATCATTTTAAAGGTACTGTTGTCCTCTCTAAGAAACATCAGGACTTAGAAGAGTGGCAAGTAGACTATGAGAGCTACAAGCAAAAACTAAATGTGTACTACAGTGCACAAAAATGAATTACTGGGTCTCAGGAGGATAACAAGCCTCCACACTGCGCCCCCTGGTGGATACACAAGATATTACCACCGGTTTTCCTAAATGCTGCTTTTGGGACGTTACCACCCATGGTTGCATCGTCCAGGTGAGGGTATCATTACAGCCACCCATCAGCTGGCAATTGGTCAGAAATCCGTCACGCGCCCACCCACGGTCCTGTCAGGGATGAGACAGCCGTTTTTAAAGTGGCTGTATCTGTAAGCCTAGTCTTCAAAGTAGAGATACTGTCTGTCTCCTGAACCCTGGTTCCACAGAACAGGGCCCTGAATGTTGTGAAATACTGTTGTCCTTGCTGTCCCACTATTACCCAACCATTAAGCCACAGCTGCAGGACAAATGCTACCCAATCACATGCTTCTCATTCAGTTTGCTATTAATGATGAAGAAATGATTGCTGCTGCTTTCTTGGAGTATTTGTGCCTGTGTGAAATGAAATCCCCGTGCTACCACAGTATAGCTTTGAACATTTTGGCTGTGATGTGTCTGTGTTTATGTAACATCTGCTTAGAAGGAAACCATCCAGACAGGAATAAAACTCAGTTATAAAATCAGTTCACAGCAACTAATAAATTCAAAGCTCATACGTTTATACTTCTTTAAGACATTTTATCTTTGCATGAAGTAAGGAGTTAGGTTCAAAGTGTACTCAGCAACTGAACTGTTTCTGTTTGTTGTCCTTTCTTGAATCACCTTGTTGTTGAATTGTGCTATACAAATAAACTTGCCTTGCCTTTCTTTTACATTTCCTGTGAACAGCCACATCAGTTCTATCGGTTGAGACAGTGTGATGCTGCTAAGCTGTTTGGTTTAAACATGATTTCTGATGTGGGGTGAAAACCTACTGATTTTGTAGTACAAGTAAGACCAAGAATTGATTTGCATTGATTGTAGAAATGTCAATACTATCATATGGTGAGTAGATTTGAGTTGTGGTAAAATCCCAGAGATGTTCTGAACAATAATTATTTACAGTTTGCTCCTCTCTTCCCACTCGTCCAACAGCAGTGCCCAACCAGCTGCTCACTCCATCTTTTCATCCCCTGATGCCCAGGGGCCGTCTCTGGGCTCCTGTCAGCCCCACACTCACATCATGTTCCTCAAGACACACAAGACAGCAAGCAGCACAGTGCTCAACATGCTGTACCGCTTTGGAGAGGAACGCAACCTTCGCTTTGCCCTTCCACTGGGCTACCAGCTGGGGTACCCACTACCCTTCAATGCTCACAGAGTCAAAGGTTATCGAGGTCCCCGAGCCACGGAGTTTCACATCATGGGCAATCACATGAGGTTTAATAAGCCAGAGGTAAGTCGTTCACACGAAGAGAATGGTGGGTAAAATAGAAGGCTGACAGTAATGACTGAAAATGATTTGATAATCATACAGCCATCTGTATAATCCTCCACTGTTCAAATTTCCAACATGGCTGGACATCTTAAAGAGACTCATTTTATAGTTTATATATAGAAAATGAAAGTGTACAAACTCATATACAGATGTGACATCAGTAGCCTCAGCCATATAATAAAAATTGGCAGAAGATAATCAACAACAACTAATGAACAAAATACACAAAAATAATACACAAAGGTCGTTTTGTGGGCTAAAGTGATGTTCATTTAGAAATTTGCTCAAATTGGACTAAAAACACTACAGACACTAAACTCCATGCTTAGTCTGACTTAACCTAACCGCCTGTATGACTGTAGGAGGACTGCCAGCCCATCCAAACCTTCAGACTCTTAGGAAACTGAACCCTTCAACCAGCACTAGAAGGTCCCAGTGGGATTGGTTAGCCTAACTCTGCCGGGCTGTGCATTAGCACTATTTGTCATTCTGGCTAATCACCAGACTGCTAGTGTAAATACCTGTAAATACCCGTGTCAGCAAGCCAAACCCTCTGTCCAGATTGAGCATGCTCAGCGGTAGAATGACATCAGAGGAGCTTCTGTTGGTTTCATAATTAAAACAATGGATAGTTGAACCGTTGCTGATGTCAGAGACAATACGTGATGCTACTGCAGTAGTATCGTTATTTGTAACTGTTTCAATTTTTGTCTTCCAGGTGGAGAAAGTGATGCCTGCAGACACATTCTACTTTTCTATCATCAGGGATCCTGTTGCGCTGGCGGAGTCCTCTTTTGCTTATTACAAAGAAGTAGCTCCTGCCTTTCGGAAGGCAAAAGGGCTGGGCGACTTTGTCGACGACCCAAATAAATACTATGACCCTCGTCTTCGCAACAACCACTATGCCCGCAACCTGCTGTGGTTTGATTTTGGCATGGACAATAATGCTAATTTCTCAGTGGAATTAGCTCAGCATGGTGAGGCCATGATCCGCCAGACATTCAGACTGATTCTTGTGTCCGAGTACTTTGACCAGTCTATGATCCTGCTGAGACATGCCCTCTGCTGGCCACTGGATGCTGTAGTCTCATTTAGCCTTAACGCTCGGCAGCAAAAGCCCAGCAGCAACAGCGTAATGAGCGGAAGCTGGGTCGGCAAAGCTGCCGTAGCGGCTGGCGTCGGTGCTAGAGCTGGACGCTCACAAGGCAAGATGTTGCCCAATCTGTCGCTAACGGATCATCAGCGGGAGAAGCTACGCCAGTGGAACGCCTTAGATTGGTACCTATACAAAGCCTTCAACCGCACGTTCTGGGAGGATATCGACAAGTTTGGTCGTGCCCAGATGGAGCAAGAAGTAGCTCTTCTTAGGATGCGGCGGGAAATCCTGGGCCGGGTTTGTCTGAAGGATGGTGGAAAGCCCGTAGAAGCGTACCGGATACGAGACAAAAATATCCGACCCTTTCAGAGCGGAGTAGTAAAGATTCTTGGATACGAGCTCCAGCCGGGTCTCGACAATGCTACCAGGACGGCCTGTCTGAGGATGATTAGGCCCGAGATCCAATACAAAGATTTGCTGGATAGTAAACAGTTCCCACGGGCTGTCCAACCCCAGCTGGGACAGCAGGGACAGCTAGCAGCTGGTGGTGCTTTTGTAAGACATGATTCATCTAGGACAGGAGAGAAAATGATGATGGGAGAAGCTGAGATGGAAAGAGAAAGAGACTGGGATGGAAGCCGTATAATGAAGAGTAACCAGACTTTAAAAGGAGTGCGAGAAAAAGAAAGATTGAGATAGTTTAAGGTGAGTTACATGTTACCTTTGATTTGTGAGGGGAAACGGACCAGAGACGCCTGAGCCAAATTTAGTTTACATGTGAGAAAGAAACAAGCTTCTCTGCAGCACTTCCAGTTTTCTTTCTTTTCCTGAACACACTCTCTGGTTTGGTATGTTTTCATCTTTGGCAATTACTCCCAGTGACAGTCTATTTTATCATTGGAACTGCATTTTCTTATTGTGTTGATGCTTAAATTAAATGAAAGTTACAAGCTGTCCCAAGGTTACAGAGGAGGGGTACACCGCTCGGGTCTTGTGGCTGATCCGACACAGGCGGGAGTTTGTGAAAATAAAAACATGAAGACAGTCTCGCTGGACAGAGCACTGCAGAAAACCAAGACATTTTAGGTTTGTTGTTGCATTAACAGCTGTTATTGATTTCATCAGACAAATGATCGCTTCCTTGCTCAAATCTTTTTTTGTATTTTAACATACAGACTGTTTTTTACATAAGCTTGCCTTTAAACGCGGCTCAGAGACAGCAAATCTCATCTATAGGAGAAGTCCGCAGATAGCAGCTGTGGTGGTGCAGGTACATCTTCCAGATGAATTTTTAAAAATTCACTTTTAGGCAGGATTTTAAATGTTTTGATTTACATCAGGTTTGTGTAATGATTTTTTTCCCAGTGAAATTAAGGTAGTGCTTCAAAATAAGTGCCTGTGGGCGTGTCTCCTGAAACACCACAGGCTTGTTTGTGCTGTTGAGTGGTGAGTCTGGACTCTAAAAGCTATTTCTGGATTATGAGTTTCAGTTTTCTGCCACAGTTTGTTTACATTTAGGAAAATACATCTTTTAGCTTTAGACTAAGATTGCTATATTGTTTCAGATCCACACTTTCAGCAACATTAACCACGTCTGCACCTGTCGGGCAGAAGGCTTATAGCTCGCTGTTGTTTCCAGTGACTCCCAGCAGTCCCAGTTTCATTTTGTCATTGAGCTGCTCTTCCATACTGAGGTCCAAAGCTACATTGGGCAAGTGCAGGGCCAGCATGCTTACCTTTCCCTCCTTTCTGAGGACGTGCCTGTGGAAGGAAAGTAGAGTCACAGACCATATTAGGAGTTTTAGCAGGTAAAGTGCTAAAGCTAGACGACTGTTTCAGTTGTGTTCTTCACCAACTGCTGTCCGTACAATCTAACACAGGCTGAAAACAACGTTTCTTTGATTGCATAAGAAGTGTCACAGAGTGGGTTCACTGACAGTGTTGGCCCTGCCTTAGTGAGGGTCATCCCTGCATGCGAGGTAGCACAGGTGACAGACAGCGTCAGACGTGACTGCATGCATATACAGGAAATATGCATGCGCCACTTTGTTTTTAAATGAACCTCCTTACAACAGGTTGTTTCCTAGATCGTACATGTTCGTTCATTGTTGAAAGTATTGAATTTATTGCCCAGTGTCAAACATTCGATTGTCTTGTTCTCCGTCCAGAGTCGGCCACCCTACACAGCGCACATCTGGTCACCTCAGCAGTGGCCCGTAAGGGAGATTCAGGCATACTGTGTTTGAGTGGCTACCTCCTCTGATGAAAGGATATTATTCATCTCTTACAGTCAGTCTGTTTAAAGAGAGTCAATACTGAACAACGTCTTAAAATCAAAGGGACATAAAGTGTTTATTTCCCTTCACTCAGGAAACCAGTGATTTATTTTAGTTTACTCTAAAACTGACTTTCTCTTCATTCATAAATAAGCCATCATTAACAGTGAAACTCTTGCTTCAGGAGTGTCATAGTCCTGTCTGGGGTCTCAACAACATTGTTTCAGTCGCGCTAATTAAAATGTGCTCGATGTCACATCCAGAAAGGTCTCTGGAGGTCAAGCCTACGCAGACGTTTGGAATGACAGAAGCTGCTTCTATGTCACAGCAGCGTAACTGAAGTAAATGGTTTCCTTTCCCGTGGTTTTCCTGGTTTCCAAGTCACGTCGTGTTGACTTTACTGAAAGAGACCTTTCTGTCTTTTGCACCTGCCAGCTTTCGTTTAGATTTCGAAGAATATCGCTTCCTATTCTGCTTGTTCGTGTTTTACACCCGTAACAGCTGAACATTCAAAAAATTACACAATATGGATTTTTTTTAGCATAGAGTGCTACTACATGCTGTAACATAAGTGTCCCTTATATTTTGGTTATTAGATAACTGTGACTATTATATCCAGGTACATTTTGTCACTCTCTGAAGGTTAGTGGTGATAAGTCATATTTACACACAGCATACATGTCGGTACTCAATCGCTGACGAATGCCAATCAATTCTTGCCAACATGGACGACAAACAGTTAATACACTGAAAACTCCATCATAATGTTTTTGTGCTTTTTGAGCGCCCTTCTATAGGATACCACAGTCGTGTCATGTAATCAGCACAGTGCAATAAAGAAATAAAAAGACTTTATTAATGCTGAGGAAATTTCTTTATTACACACTTAATTCCAATATAAATATGGAAGATGGCAAACAAGTTGAAAAATGTAAACAAGTAAAAATAAAATGAGGTGAAACATTTTCACATAAATAAATAACAAAGTTAAGCCTGTTTCTTAAATTCAGGACAGTAACTGTGTTGTCACCTCTGTCTGCTCATACTTTTTATTGGTGTTTAAACACGTGTGTGTGTGTGTTTTCTTCCTTTTAATTGCACTCCATTAAAAACAGCTTCTGGTACTAGAAGGTACCAGAAAGTCAAACTTTGCTTCCCGATCTAGGATAAAGCTTTATTTGAATTTTCGCAAATACTGTAATGTGACTCATTTTGTAGCTCGTTTTCAGTATTAAAGTTCCATGTTGTACATAGTGGACAAGAGCGGTACAGGTCAGAGTAAGAAGCAGTGGTAGGTGGTGTGATTTACCTTCTGTCATGCCCACTTCGCCAACGATCTCTATTCAGCCACTCCCACAGCCCTGACAGGACATTTCACAGAGAACTCCTCATGTTGCTCCAGATGTTACTGAGCAGGCCGAGCAGCTGCAGTATATGTGGCTATGATCTTACTTGAAACTGTATTCTGTCGGAAATTTGTAGTAGATCACGCTCTTTGTGTGCATCTGTTGTGTTTGTTTTCTTGTACTAAATAATTAAAAAAATCTTTAACTCTCCTACGTCTTTTTGCCTCCTTGTTTGTAACATTTGACAGCAGCTGTGTGATACGGTGGTTGTTCTGTGCTGCATTAAAATGTCCTGAGTAAAAAGATCAAAGAACTTTATGTGTAAATTGTTACATTTATAATCATGAAACAGAAAATGCAGTGAGTGCAAAGCAAACTGTAAGTTTACAGCTGCCGTTGCATCTGTGCAAATATCAGCCTCCATATTTGTGACTATTTTCACAATTGTTTCATCTTTAAATTTAAGAATTAAAACTTGTTATTCAAGCTTGTGTACATCGTTAGATCATATTCAAGTTGAACATATTGAACATCTTCATAGACTCCACATTTTATTCAATGAAAAATGTCTTTAAAAATCTTTTTACTGAGCTCACAGACCTACACAATCATTTCCCGTAGACTTCTATGCAGTGTTCATGCAACCCGAGGATGCCCTGCCAGCATTAGAAACACTGCAGGTTTAAATGACGTAGAATTAGTAGATACGTGAAACCATGTCCATTTTATAACTATTCTGTGAAACAACCATATTTGATCGACAGGTTGGACTGCTCAGTTATCAGCTAAAGCTAGTGAGTTTAGTTAGCAGGCTGCTTTGTACATTATAGTTAGCACTCAGAAATATACTGAGGTATAAACTGTCTCGAATCAGATCATACAGCAGGCCAAGGAGTTCATAACACTCCTCCCGAGACATGTTTTGATATTTAGATAATTTAATTTCACAGAAACATTTTTTTTTGTAATATTCTGTTCCTTGACGTGGACATCAGCTTGTTTGATCACAGAATATGAAGCTGAGTGAAGCTGAAAAATATTTTATTCAGAACTGTGGAAGTTGTCAGAGATGCAGGACAGACAGGGCAAACAAAAAGATTAAAGGACGTGCCAGCGTTTGAGGAGCCTGAGAACGGGCAAAATGATGACACCCACAGTCTATTCTGGACAAGATGTATAAGCTCTGAAGTTATGAGGTTTGGTTTCTCAGACAGGAGATCGCCTGTGAAGGGAAACATCTTTCCTTGGCAGCCTTGTTGAGGACATTTGTTCTCATTTGTTGCCTTAATGGACTTGCTAATATTTATTTCAAAGTGTTGCCTATTTTCTGTTTGATGTAGTCAGAGAATCACGTGGTTGTGGGCCACGTTGTTTGATACTGTTGTGCCTAAAAACTTCACAGCCCTACATTTAACAGTTCTTATTTTGGATGAGGTGCATCAACTCCTTTTAGCTTTCACCTTCCCTCTCTGATGTCTGGCCTTCCTCCACTTCATCCTTTGACTGATTCCTTTTCGACAGCTCTGAGTAAAATCCTTTCTGCCTCATTCTGCCATCTACTTCCTGAAGTATAGACACTGTTCGAATCGGTTATGAGGTAGTAAGTTCTGCCGACTTAAAAGAACACAGAATAAAAGTTTTGTTTTGGAAAGCCTGTAATTACTACGCATTTGAGAAATCTAGATCTAAGTTAAGATGCTCAAATTAAAGAAGGAACAATTTGAGTTTAAGCAATAGAATCTACAAAAAACAGAAGTATCACTTAATCTCTCATGGCCATAAAATATGGAAGCTGATGTGTTCTGTTTGCCCAGCCCACACAAAAGCCAGGATGCCCCCTGACAGTACAGCAGGAGTCATATATATGGTGCATGATGTAGAAGTATCAGACTCGTGTCCCCAAAGGAGGACAAAAGTTAATTGCTGGGTCTTAGGAGGATATCGCCAACTGACACAGTTATAATGAAGTGGACGTGATTGGGAATGAAAGAGGCTGCCAGCAAACCTCCAAGACTGTGGCTGTAATATTACCTTAAGAACAGTGTGCAGAGAGCTTCATGGACTTCAGCTTCATGCTCCCAGTGATGGGTACGACCCCTCCCTGTTCATGGATCAGACAGTTTGGTGTGAATGAACACCTGACAGAACACCTGAGGAAATAACTAGAGCAGAGATTGTGATTCGGGCGTCTGGTTCAACATCAGTGTCTGACCTCACAAATGGTCAGACTGGTCAGATTTCCCATAAACACAGACCTGCACCTTGTGGAAAGCAAGGTTCCCAGGTGAGCTGATTAAGAATGGGATCTCACTCAGGTTCATGTGTGTTTGCAGATGAGCAAATATTGTTGGCAATATCGTGTGGCAGCTGTCAGTTAGGGCTGCATGGGCTTAGAGTTAAGCTTTAGTAGGAAGTCACTGCAAGGGGACGTAAAATGATCTTATTATAAATGTTATTTATGTAAACTGCATCCTGGTACAGCATGCCTTCGTTTTTCTGGTTTTCGTCACTGACTTTTGATTGCATTGGTCTGATTCGTCTTCTCTACATCGATTAATCGTCCTGTTGTTTTGTCGCTATTAGTGAAAGGAAGCAGGATGCACACATCGGTGGGCGCTTTCAGTAAGCTCCTGTTCAGGCGCGGTGAAATGCAGAGGCAGAGTTAGCCACCGCCACGATGGAGTCGCAATACAAGTTTTGTTTGTATTTTCCTGTCGCCCAAATATCGAGTTTATCAGACGCAGCAAACTACACAACGCTTCCTCAGCGAAAGAACGTCTACCTCGGGGAGACTCTCCAGTTTCTGCTGGTGTTGCGGTTTCGGGGCTTAACGGACAGGGACGATGGTGCTCTGTCTCGGAAGGACCTGGGGGGTTCTTTGTGCGCTCTGGCGAGCGTGTGCGCCGCGGAGAGCTGGAGGCAGACACCGGCTGAGCAGTGTGACCGCATGAGCAGCTGCAGTGAAGACAGCGAGGATGTAGAGTGTAGGACCGCAGAACAGAGCGGAAGAAGACGGGGGGACAAGCAGACCTTCACACAGTGTCACCAACTCCTCAGTCATAAGTGCTCACCCAGTAGTGCAGCGATGCACAGCGAGACAGAACAAGCCAAGGTAAAATAAGCCAGTACTGAAGAAGAGGAAGTCCATAGATTTACACACATCTAATGTTTCTGCAGAACTGTCATCACTCATTGTCGCATGTTACCTACAACGAGACAGGAAAAAAATTGGTTTTTAAGTAAGCTACACATATGTCCTAATTAGATAAAAAACAAAACAAAAAACAGGGTGGTTTAGATTGTCTGTACTCGAGTAGAAGTGCAGATACTACTAGTAAAAATACTCCAGTAAAAGTTACAGTACTGATTCTACTTATTTACTTGAATAAAAAAAAGTAAAGGCTCTAAATGTGCTCGAAGTAAAGGAGGACGCTGAACCCTGTGCTATGTGAACACAATGATAGAATAACAGAGGGGAACACAAACTTTAGTCTATTTTTGATTCTAATTATACTCAGCTAGAGTCTGAAGAAAAAGGAAAATCAAATCTATTTGCTGTTGCCTCCATTGTAGAGGGGACTTTGCCTGTAAACAGGAAGTGTGCACAGTCAGAGGTTAAAGTGGGTTCAGCAGGTGGGGAACCTAAAACTGGTTGTCACGGCTCAGTGTGGGGAACTGAATCAAACTCACACTCATTTCTCCTGAGAGCTCCAGTAGGTGTTCTTACTGTGCAGGCTGTGATCAGCTGACCTGCTGCTCTCTGTGGATGGACACACCTGGATTCAACCAGATGTGAGCAGATGTTTCATCCTCCACAATTTATACTGTCTTTATACTAGATGCTATAAAACCAGTATCAAGGTGGAGTTCATCAAATTCATGTGACTCTCTGCTACATGTGATTTAAGCTAACTGTGGCCATGAACCCACAGCCACTGTGCTTTACTTTAAGTCGTCCCAGTGCAGAAAACTAACCTGCAGAGGGTTTTCATGCCTTAGTTTGATTTGCAGCATGTTTCAAAATTTAAAAAAAAAGTCACATATACAAACAAAGTATCTCGTTTTAAAAAATCCCACGAGCATCCTTACCTTTAAATGTAAGCTCTCTTCTTCCTGCCACGTCCTGTCTGTCTGAGTGAAGTTAGCTCTTTCTTTTCTCTCCCTGTCAACACACTGTTACACAAACTGCGCAAAAACTATTTGTGTGTTTGCAGAAATGCTGCATTTGAAATGACCTTCAGTAACACATTACTCCCTTTATGTTCACTCACCTTCTGTGGGGCTGACTAGATGCTGAAGCCCTGCAGCTCATGAAGCCCAGTTTTAACCCCTGACTTTGACACACTTCAGCTCTTTTATGCATCATCCTCTGCTGACGATTACACAACAGGACTGCCATGGATGTGTTACTGTTTAGACTTAAATCAGTTTGATGTTTGGAGGCTCGCAGTAACAAATAATAACTCCTCTTGAATGCAAAGTAATGAGTCTGTTTTTGAAAATGTGAGGAGTGAAAGTAAAAGGTTACTTTTAGAAAAACAAACTACATAAGTACAAAAACACTCCCAGCACTCTCCTGTCTAGTCCCTGTTGTTACAACCCGTCTGCGGGCCAGGAGATGGCATGGATGAGGCACTTGCTCCCCACCAACACCCACGCAGCCACAGGAAACAATCACTGGTCATTACATGGCATTTATTTACAAAGTAATGAGGCAAAAACAACAGAACAGGAGTGTCAACACTTCAGGGTGACCTGAGGCCAAAATAGTAAATAAAACAAAGCTAAGGTCTGATGGATGCCAACATACACGACCTCACAGAGGAAAGGAACCAAAATAAAGACAGAGTCTGACCTCCTGTCCAAAAACAGGAGAAAACGATGTGTTCAAAGTAACGGCAGCTCACCCACTCCACTTCCTCAGCTGTTAGGAGAAGCGTGTGAAGCGCTCCAGGCTTTATATATAAGGCTGCAGCCAGTCATACAGGAGCCGTACATCCATGCACCAGTGGCAGCAGGGCACCTGCACAGTTGAATTACCATAACATGCAGAGTTAAAAGAGTTGCTACAACAAACTGTTCAGGAAAAAACAAACACATACAACAAATGATTGTAAAACTATTCTTTAAATTTTAATTTATCAGCTGTTGTAAATGTCTATACATAAATATCTGCAAACAGAAAACTGAAACGCATACATTATTTTCCACCACAATTAAAGCTAAACTAGCATTAAGCGAGCACAGGTTTCATTTTTTATTTACCAAAGTGTTTGTTTTAAGAGTTTTACCTGTGATGGCAGCTGTTAGATATCGTACTGTTGTGACTGATTGTTTAACTCAGTCCATATTATTTTATTTATTTAAACAAAAATTGTCTTATGTTGATCTCCTGCAGTCTGCTTGGGTGTTGGAAGACCAGCTTATCTTCTGTCTCACTGTCTCTTTGGACAAGCTGCCAGTCAGTACACGTAAAGCCAAGGTTGGACACACCTGTATGCATGTACACGTAGTGTGTGTGTGTGTGTATAGATGTAGATAGATTGACAGCGCTGCAAACCCTCGGCCTTCTCTCAGTGAGCTTCATGCTGTCGTCACCTGACGTGTTTCCCCTCACAGGTGAGCCTGTCAGGGCTCATTTGCTGAATTTCTTGCCTTCTTAATGAAGTTGGGACCATCAGGTGTGTTGTGCAGCAGTCAGGTTGGTGCACAGCTGGCAGCCATATTTGACGACTGTCAGAATTCATATTATGGCAAGAACCAATCAGCTGAGAGAAACAACAGCCCATCATTACTTTAAGAACTGAAGGTCAGTCAGGCTGTAAAACTGCTAAAACTTTGAATGTGTCCCCAAGTGCTGTCACAAAAACCATCAAGACCACGATGAAACTGTCTCACATGAGGACGCCCCAGGAAAGGAAGAGCAGGAGTCCCCTCTACATTCATCCGAGTCACCAGCCTCAGAAATCACAAGTTAACAGCAGCTCAGATCAGAGCCCAGATAGATGCACACAGAGCTCCAGTAGCAGACACATCTCTACATGTTCAGAGGAGACTGTGTGGATCAGGCCTTTATGGTCAAACAGCTGCTGAGAAACACAAGGAGTGGACATTAGACCAGAGGACATCTGTGCTTTGGTCTGATGGGTCCTGGCCTCCACAGTCACCTGACCTAAACCCAGTGTGGATGGTTTGGGATGAGATGGAGCTCAGAGTGAAGGCAAAGGACCAACAAGTGCTCAGCATCTCTGGGAACTCCTTCAAGACTGTTGGAAACCGTTTCAGGAGACGACCTCATGAAGCTCATGGAGAGAACGCCAAGAGGGAGCAAAGCAGGACGCAAAGCAAAGGCTGTTTGGAAGAACCTGAAATATCAAACATGTCCTGAGTTATTTCACACTTTTTTGTTATTACAGAATTCCACATGTGTTCATTCATAGTTCTGATGCCTTCAGTAAAAGGAATTTAAATGGTGTAAAAAAACGTAAACATGTATTGTATAGGTTCTAGTGTTTATATTTGTTAGTGTTTGTTTGTACTGTGCTTATTGTTCCTAAATGGTACAAAACTGTTCAAAAGTCTTGACTCATCCCTGATTTCTTTATACACTCAAACTAATTACAGGAACACTTTTTAATCAAAGTAAAGCATTAAATAAATTCAACCCTTGGTATATTAATCTGGTCAGTTAAGTTGCAGAGGGGATTTTTAATCGGTTTCAGTTGCTTTGGTGTTAATTACATTAACTACAGGCCTACTAGAGGGCCAATAACAAGACCACTCCATCTATCCTTTCATTTTCTTCCACAAATCTGCGACCGGGTCACGGGGGCAACAGCCTAAGCAGAGAAGCCCAGACCTCCTGCCTCCTCCTCTAGCCTATCCCGTGGAACACTAAAGCGTTCGCAGGCCTGTAGAGACATATAATCTCTCCAACATGTCCTGTGTCTGCCCCGAGGCCTCCACCTGGTAGGACATGCCTGGAACACCTCACCCAGGAGGCACCCAACTCCTGAACAACCTCAACCAGGAACTTGTCGCTGACCCGGCGTGGGCTCTCCGCCCTTTGCCAGCTGAGGTACATGGCCTCAGACTTGGAGGTGCTGATAAAAACCAATTCATTTACCTCTTAACAGGTTCACCCTGAGTGGATGTGGCAAATGTGAAAGTAATGGAGAAGTCATGGGGGATGTTATGCTGCCTGTAATAATGCTCAGCATGACTGGTTTGTTTGTAGGTTAGGGAATGGGCAACCTCATCCATGGAGGGATGCACATCCCTCTGCAAGCTAGGCAACGGCAGCTTGATGGCCGTTAGGTGTCAGAGTGAAATCTTTGGAGCCACTGTCAGATGATACGCTGGTGTAGCAGGTCCTGGGTTTCTTGTGTTGCACCAGAATGGTCACATGGTCTCATGTGACAAGAGTATGATGAAGGAACTGATACTATTGACCAGCCCCCACACATGCCTGACCTCAATCTAGACATTGTTTCGGTCAATCTGAGACTATGCACCTGAGACGATCCAGCTCAGTGATACCCTGGATCAGTTCTGCCTGATATTGTCAGGCTCCCACACTACTGAGTAGAAATGTTATTACAATCAACCAAAACTAAACTAAAAACAAAAACTAGATGACAAAATTTTTAAAACCAAACTAAAGTAAAAAAGAGGAGTAAAAGCGTACCTGAAGAGAAAAACACACAATGGAGTACATCATGGATCGGCCTCCTCGGAGCCCGCATCATCTTTACAGAGAACAGCAGCAGCCAACAACCCTATTAGACCTCTGGAAAGCCCTTCAAGAAGCCCGGAAAAATCTTTGTGAAGACAGAAATGACAAGAAAGCTTATCTTATCTACAAACTCTTGTTTTTGCCTTATTTCCACTGTGGTGGACTCCACTCACACGCAGGAAGTGTGTTGCTGAGTTTTGTGGTACGATGTTTGCAGTTGTTGTTTGTTCAAGAATAACGTTAGAGTGAGAAACGTTGGCGTGTGAGAGCTCTCGTCTCGTCTGTGTTTACCTCCACATTGGTGACCCCTGACTCGAACACGTTAGGAGCCGAGGATGACGACGCTCCAGCAGCTGCTGGCCCTCTGCCTCCTGCTGCAGCTGCGTCTGCTGTGGCGCATAAGCTGCCGGATCCCCGGGAGGCTGGAGGTTCAGTTCGCCCTTCGCAGCGTCTCAGGGACAAGGCTGGCACTGGCAGTCAGGAAACGCTGCAGACAACTTGAGTTTCAGTAAAACTTTATGTATTTATGTATAAGGGCGATCGTGGCTCAAAGAGTTGGCAGTTCGTCTTGTAACCGGAATGTTGCCGAGCCCCGGCTCGGACAGTCTCGGTCGTTGTGTCCTTGGGCAAGACACTTCACCCACCGCCTACTGGTGTTGGCCAGAGGGGCCGATGGCGCGATATGGCAGCCTGGCTTCTGTCAGTCTGCCCCAGGGCAGCTGTGGCTACAACCGTAGCTGCCTCCACCAGTGTGTGAATGTGAGAGTGAATGAATAGTGGCATTGTAAAGCGCTTTGGGGCCCCGAAAAGCGCTGTATAAATGCAATCCATTATTATTATTTCCAGTTTTCCTAACAAAGTGTAAGAAATTAAAGGTGGCTTAAGACTTTTGCATAGTACCCTGTATGATGAACTCTAGAGGTGGAACCTGTAGTTGAATGCCTCTCTGTGATGACAGATTGTAGTCACTGTGTGGAAGCAGATGGAGGAAAATGCAGAATTAAGGGAGCTTGGCTACCTGACTCTGCTGCAGTTTAGGAGTCCAACATGCACCTTCAGACAAGATCTTAGCACCTTCAAGGCACAAGGTAAACACGCCATCTCAACATACTGAATGAGCTCTGTGTGTCACAAGAGTTAAAAAGGATTGTAGTCTAAAACCTACAACTAATGAGGTCATAAGACTAGGAAACCAGTATCTGTCCCATTGGATTACATATAAATTATAATTCCATTGTCCAGTCTGATAGTAAACAAACACCATGGTTTCCTCTTTCCTAGTCAGCACTACCCTGGATGTTCTTCCACCTCCCAGTGTCCAGTGTCGACATATGACTGTTTCTGGAAAACATCTGACCGTCCTCAAGGGTAGAACAGCAGCTCATGCACACACAGACACAAAACGTGGACTTTTATAATTTTTTTAATTGTATTTTCCCAAATCTGGATCTCTCCTAAACGACAGCTACCTGTCTCAGTATTAAGTGAAACAGCAGCCGCTATATCACGACCCTTAAACTAAAGCAGCTACGTGTAATGTTTAATGTTGATCATTAACCATGTCAGACGCCACACAGTTAAGCGCCATGATTCATTACTAAACAGTGTGATACGTGGTTTCAAATCCCTTTTGTTATTATGGAATTGACATTTTTTCATCATACAGTTCTCAAATGAATATTTGAGTGTTTCTTAGTTTTAAGCAAGTGTCTCATTTCCCCCCCACATAGTTAGTCAAGTAAGAAATTCGTTGCCAGGAGTAGTCCTAACATAAACCCAAACACGTTTAAATACGGTTTAAATGCAACAGTAGGGGGCAGCCCACTGGGGTTTAAATAGGGTGTAATTACTTGTGACTCGCCACTATTTGATTTTAGAGCTTAAGTATGAGGTGAAACGTCTTCAAGAAACTTAAAGAAGCCCAGCTGGTTGCTTTCCGAGCTCCTTAGAATTATCCATCACGTAGTCCTGCCTCATTTTTGTGTAATCAAAGTAAACGTCTGTCACGCTACCTTCATCTGATTTTTACTGCATTTTAAACTTCAAACAAAATGAATATACACAATATACAATACTATTCTGTTAAATTTAGCAAAAATTGGGAATTTGAATGGTCCAGAAAACTGCGTCAAGTTAGCAAAACACCAAAATGATGCAATTGTACCTAGAAGTACAATAAGCTCATAAACAGCTAATGATTAGTGGGTTACTTTTTCCTCAGTGATGAACTGCAGCTCACAGGACAGAATGTGTGTCAAAGATGTGAAGATTCTTCCAAACTATAACTCGTCTTACCTTCCCATGATGCCTGATGGCTCAGTGCTCGTAGTCGACAATGTCTGGTAAGTACATATGCACTCGGTGTGCAAATGCTTTGTAAGCAGGGAAGTAATTGGCAAGTTGTTTTCTGTGTTCTTTAGCCTCCTAATGAGCATAACGCTTTATACTTTCTATTAAAGCCACCAGTCAGCAGAGATCAGCATGGCTTCATTCTGTCGGATAGACAACAAATCATCACATTTACCTTGTATGCTTAGTGCCCTGGAGGAGCAGACCTTCATTTTTCAGCTGCAGCTACAAGAGAAAGAAGAACAGCAATCCAGCAAGGTGAGAAGGCACACTGGAGAGTGTGTCGTTACTTTTTTAAAACCAGTGCGATTTTGTGAAAACAGGTTTTAGTGCAAAGTTAAAGCTGCCAAATGATTACAATAAATAGTAAGGAAGTAAAGTTTATTTATATATTACCTTTCACAGGCACGTGTCACAAAGTGCTTTACAAGGTAAAAACACATATATCATAAAACCCTGTTCCAATTAAAAGCTTTTTGAAATAAACACGTCTTTAGCTGCTTTTTGAAGGTCTCCACTGAGTCCACACACGGTAGAAATAAAGGAAGTGATTGTACTAACAATTTGCTTGCATAAACCGTGATTTATATATGATTTACAGACGTGGACAAAATTCTTGGTACCCTTCAGTCAATGAGCGAAAAACTCACAATGGTCACAGAAATAACTGTAAAACAAAAGTATAAGTAAATACAAATTCTATGAATGTTAACCATTGAAAGTCACACATTGCTTTTTAACCATGCTTGAACAGAATTATTTAAAAAAAACTAAATGCATGAAACAGACCTGGACAAAAACGATGGTGCCCACAACTTAATATTTTGTTGCACAACCTTTTGAGGCAAACACTGCAGTCAAGCGATTCCTGTAACTGTCAATGAGACTTCTGCACCTCTCAGTAGGTATTTTGGCCCACTTCTCCTGATCAAACTGCTCCAGTTGTTTCCAGTTTGAAGGGCGCCTTTTCCACACGGCATGTTTCATCCAAAGATGCTCAACAGGATTGAGGTCAGGGCTCATAGAAGGCCACTTTAGAATAGTCCAGTGTTTTCCTCTCAGCCATTCTTGGGTGTTTCTGTGTGTTTTTGGGTCATTGTCCTGTTGCAAGACCCATGACCTGCGACTGAGACCAAGCTGTCTGACACTGGCCAGCACATTTCTCTCTAGGATACCTTGACAATCTTCAGATTTCAATGTACCCTGCACAGATTCAACCCCAGAGGACGCCCCAGAACATAACCGAGCCTCCTCCTCCTTCATTTTTCTGTCAGTGAACATAGAGCTGATGTGTCTTGGCAAAAAGTAAAATTTTGGTCTCATCTGTCCACAGGACATCTTCCCAGAAGCTTTGTGGCTTGTCAACATGTAGTTTGGAAAATTCCAGTCCGGCTTTTTGATGATTTGTTTTCAACAATGGTGTCCTCCTTGGTTGTCTCCCATGTAGCCCACTTTGGTTCAAACAGCGACGGATGGTGCGATCTGACACTGATGTTCACTGAGCATGAAGTTCACCTTGGATCTCTTTAGAAGTCTTTCTGGGCTCTTTTGTTACCATTCGGATTATCCGTCTCTTTGATCTGTCATCAATTTTTCTCCTGCGGCCACGTCCAGGGAGGTTGATTACAATCCCATGGATCTTAAATTTCTGAATAATATGTGCACTGTAGTCACAGGAACATCCAGCTGCTTGGAGATTGTCTTATAGCCTTTGCCTTTAACATGCTTGTCTATTATTATTTATCTTATCTCCTGAGACATCTTTCCTTTCACTTCCTCTGGTCCATGTTGAGTGTGATACACACCCTGTCACCAAACATGACATAGGTAGGTAGGACCGCAGAGTCATAATTCTCCCTCACAGACAGAATTATGACTTTGTTTTCTGCTTGGCCGTCACCCAAGGATTTACGTCCCTGATAAACAGGAGGCTCACTATCTGTTTAACCTCTCCCATGAACTAACACTGGCCTCACTGCGTCAAGTGTGTGTGTGTAGAGCATAAGGCCCATTTGTAGTGCACATGCATACAACTAAGTGACAGGAGTGCTCTTGCTATTACTATTACTAATGTGACACGATAAAAATGTATGATTAATACATCAGAAAAGAAATCTGCCACATCACAGTGCTGCTTTCATTACTGGTCACCACCGTTTGTATTACAGAGGTTAGAACATGCCATAGGAATTAAAGGCACTCTGCCTTTTCTGTTTACTTTGTACATGCTTCCCTTAGCCTGTATTATTCAAACTCTTGCAGTCTCAGGCGCCTGCTCTGTCTACCAGTAGCTGGGGATTCACTCCTCTAGTATTCCTGCTGATTCCTTTCTGTGCGCCGCTCATGTATTGAACCATTTGCCTGTTCAGCCTCCGATATGATGCCTGACAGGAGCTTCCATGTGGTACTGAGGAAGGTTATCGTGCTTGCTGTATTTCTTTCTACTTCAATACCGATAACTTCCCTCCACGCTACCTTGATCTTGACCTCCAGTCTCCTTCTCCAGGGTACTGAAGGGTATTGATTAGTCTCAGTGATGGTTACAGTAGGAACTGTCCGTAGTGCTGCATTCACATCATCTAGTAGACCTTCAGAGAGTGCTTCACGTAATCTTGGTAACCGAATACGGAGGGTCCAAATTTAAAGCTTCACCATGATCCTACCTTTCAGGTCAGTTTCTCTCACACTCAGCGCTCCTTCTTCCATCGTACCTGGGCTTGGTACCCAAGCTCGGGTGGGGGTGATGATGATATCTCCCCCCAACTTGTCTTTCTGGCTCCCCCTTGCCGTAGCTTGTGTGTTGTACCTCGTCAGTCTCTAGCTGTGACAGCAGTTCCTTCCTCCAAATGTTGGAACACTGAGTTAGTAGTTGTTTTGCTGACAATCTGGATGCTGGAGATACCAGAGGTCCCACATCCCGCTCATGTAACCTCTTCTCCTGGGGTTACTTGCATATTAGTACTCCAACAGTGCCCTGTTCTCATCTCTTGCCGACTTGAGCCTTCTTGTTTCAGTACACTTTTCATCAGTATCCTGGCTCCTCAACACCTGACAGGGACCTTGTTAATCCTGGCGATGGTATGGTTTCCCTTTTCTCTTGCCCATATCCGAGGTAGGCTTGGTTAGCATGGGGCATCTAGCCTAGGGACCTTATCCCACCTGTAAAAACTGAAAATTTAATGAGGATGCATGGAAATCACATGGAAAGACCATACCTCATAATGCCTCTCATCACCTTGTCACTTCTCTGCCCTCTATGGGGCTTTCAGTCTGAAGCCTCCCGGAGAGTCCAATGTGAGAGGTAGAGGGGTCGAAGAGGAGGTTTTAATTATTAAATAATGTTGTTGTCTTTTCATAGGGTTTGGAAGTCCCATTGTTGGCTGTCCTACAGTGGCACAGTCCAGTACATCCTGCCATGAGGTAACTATTTGTCTTCTTGTTGAGGTATTTCTGTAGCAGTAGCAGTACATAACAATCCTGGAGTCTGCATGTACTGTGTATATGAAACGACTGCCGTGTATTTTAAAGTAATTACAGCTGCTGCTTGCATCCAGTAAAGGATGGCAAACAGACTTAAAGTTCCCTTTGAGTTTTTATTTATCTTTTGCTTAGTGTGGTCTACAAATAAAGATCGTACAAGTTTATTTAACAGAAATAACATTAATTTCCCAGTTGATCACTATTTCACATGAGTCACTAGAGGGCACCAAAGGATCATCAAAAGGCTGCAGGCTGCTAAATACAAATAACCTTTAATATACATATATATATATATATATATATGTATATGTATATGGAGGGAGAGAGAGAGAGAGAGAGAGAGAGAGAGAGAGATCTATAATCCTATATTTTTGGATCTACAGCACTATTATGTTATTTGACTGAACACAAACATATAACAGGATTTAGAGAAAATTAGTATAAAAATAAATTGATTAATTTCACCAACTGTGGCAAAATAAAACAATTTTTTTAACAATTTAAGAGATGATATTTATATGACTTCCAGAATTTGTAGTTTAACATCTATTTTAAATAACAACTGAGTGCGTGTTTGCACCCTTAGCGCAGACTGTAGCAACTATGGATCATGTATGTGGCTGCACTACATTAGACCTTTGACCACTATGCATTGCTGTAGAAGGACAGCAATTGCTCAACAAACGCAAGCAGGAGTAACACAGTTCCAGCGCCTGGGGCCTTTCTGTGTGGAGTTTGCGTGGGTTCTCTTCCTCCCACAGTCCAAAGACCAAAGTTTAGTGGGATTAAGTTAACTTATAATTCTAAATTGCCCATAAGTACGACTATGAGTGGGAATGGTTGTCTGTCTCTATGTATCAGTCTTGCAATAGACTGGTCGACCTGTCCGGGGTGTACCCTGTCTCTCGCCCTGTGGTAGCCGAGCTAGGCTCCTGCCCCCCGTGACCCTGATAGGGATAAGCACATTGTGTCATTTTGTATGCCTTTATGTGTGAAATACAAAATGTATTAAAGAAGAAACCAAAACACTCTCCATATAAGAACATTAAATGACTTTTTTCTGTTTATAATTGTATAGAATTGAAATTGTAGTCTTGTTGTGCTATTTGTTTTCTCTTATAAGAAGAATTCCTGCTATATGTTCTAATAATAGAAATATAATACTTATCATGCTCTCTCCAGATGCATCTCTACTTGTTACTCGATACCCAGTGTTCACTTAAATCGTCCGGAGTTGGTGATGATGGCGTCCTGCCCAAGGACCGTCAGGCCTCAACAACACTTCTGGGTGAAATATACGCTGCTCAACAATTTGCAAGATTTCCTTGCTGTTCGTCTGATCTGGAATTCAGAGGGTGAGTATCAAATCCTACAGACAGTTCCTAGTGTGTGGGAAATAATTATTTGCTCCCTCTCCTGAATCTGCAGCGAGTCAATGGACAGAAACTGAGGTTTTGGACTTGATTAGCATGGAGAGAAATTGATAGACTGCTGCAACAACACCTACTAGATCCGTAGCCACCATTTTTACTTCAGAGCGCGTTGTGTGTGACGTCTGCTTTTGCACATGCGGGCCACTTTGAGGGTTCACCCTAGAGCGCGTTTGCTGTCACATTTTATTTGTATTGTGAACAAGCAGCCAAAACAATTGGATTTGATAAAAAAAATCAGATTTGAGCATTAAGACCTGCAGTGTGAACGTAGCCTTAGATTCTTGCATTGGATAAATATTCTCTGCTCCAATCCTCTATCGGATACCTAATCCAGTCTAAATTCTCATTCTTCCCCCTGCTTATGTTTGTTACCTGCTCCTCACTGTCCATGCATCCATCTAGGAGGAAGTGAGCAGGATCCCAGTGTGGGAGCGGTTGTGTGCCAGTCTCCACTCAACAACCTGGGCCAGTGTAAGAAAGGTTCCATGCTGTCCTTCACTGTGGCCTTCCAGATTCTCAAAACTGGGATTTTTGAGGTACCAAAGGAAATAAGTTGTTAAATGTATTGACATTGTCTTAATATTAACAGTGCACAAACCCAGCCCAGTAAATCCTGTTTATGCTCCGTTTAATGTTTGATCCTTGAAGAACTTTAAACCAGGAATTACTACACCGCTCATACTGCTGTATTGTTTTTATTTGGCACAGTTTTGCTTGACAAAAAATGTAAGTAATGGCTTTCCATCTTCCACATGTCTATGATAACGCGGTAGCTGAGCCAGCATATGAAGTTTACAGCTTCTGTGCCCGCACCGCCCACGGAGCCTCAGTCACCTTTGAAAAACACCTTCGAAGGACGAAGCCTGAGCCGGTTAAAGAGCTTCCCCCACCACCAGCCATTTTGGTCAGTAAATCTCAGGTATGGAGGGTCATTGTACAAGACTGCTTCTCAAACTGTGGGGCACTGAGATACTTCCACTGGGGTGTGGGCGACTGGGAAAAAAAGTTTTTATTAAATGAGTAAAGTTAAGTTGAATTAATTGAAAACTGTAAAAAGGGAAGAAATGACCTTTTATCAACTTGGGTGGGCGAGGGTTGTGACCAAGATCAAAGATACAAGCAACAGAAACGAGCTTTCTCCAGAGGGTGGCTGCCCTTTCCCTTAGAGATGGTGAGAAGTTCAGTCATTCAAGAAGTGCTCAGAGTCGAGCTATTGCTTCTGGAAATGAGCCGGGTCATTGTTTTGGGCATCTATAGGTTGCCTCATTGGCTCCTCTCAGGTCAGGTGTTCCAAGGTGTCCCACCTGGAGGAAACCCTGTAGCTGACCCAAGACAAACTGGTAAGACTATATCTCTCTGCTGCCATGGAAACGACTTGGCGTCCCCCTGAATAAGCTGTGGGAGGTGGCTGGAGACTTCTCTGCTTAGGTTGTTTCCAGAAGAAGAAGATGGATGGAAATTCCTTTGAGCTATGTCAGATTTAAGCCAAATATGTTTGTATAAAAGATTCACATAATAGACGATACACTTTTTAGAGACATTGTAGTAGTTATGCAAGATTGGAGACGCATTTAAGACAATCTTTCATATTGCAGTCCACAATGATGTCTGTGATATCTTTGTTCTGGGTCCAGGTCAGGCGCTATGGCAGAGCTCCAGACAACAACCTCTCCTGCAGGAACTGTTAATCGAGCCCCTCACCTGCCCCCCGACCCCAGCTTTGTTTCACTGGTAAAAATAGCCAAGAGAGAGTGTAAGGTGCTAGTGCTGGAATGAATCAAAGATGTACACAAAAGGTAGGAAACTTTGGTGCATGTACTGTTCAACATTACCTGTTTTATTGAGGTGAAACATTAACCGCCTTCTGTAGTTGCACAATCAAAATGGACTGGCTCTTAATGTTGTAAAAATAAGACAAAACTTAGGAAGCTGGAGTGAAATACGTTTCATGTTACTTAATGTTCATGGTTAACATTCAGCTTCTGGCTGTAGAAAAACAATACAACAAGCTATCATGGGACTAAAGCAACACGACAGCCGAAAGTGTTAGTAACCTTTGTCCAAGCTGACTGGAAGGAGCGGTTTGATTCTAAGTAACTTTAGACCCCCTAAAATTAATTGGAATGAAATTTGTATTTCGATTATTTGCCATCAAATGGATAGTGGTGAAAAATGTCCATCTATCAAAATGTACACAAATGTAAATCTACTGCAAACTGGTCTAATGTTGGTACATTTCCTAGGAGCATTTTAAACTTCTTCTCACTCTCTTTCTCCGTTCAGGTGATCTGGACTGTGGGAGCTTATGACAAAAGCATCACTGTTCTGTGGCTGTGCTTCAACACAGAGCAGCCGTCAGATCTTTGTCTTCATGAAGAAGAAGCAGCAGTCCTACTATAATAAATGGTAAAGATGGAGTCAGTGAATGAGGAATGAAAGATGAGTCAGAGGACTGGTGCTGATGAGAGTCTGATGTGAGCTCAGGTCAGTGGAGGGATACTTCTGTTTGTTACGCTTCTCCCTGATGACAAATTCCCTCCATCACATCAACATTTTTATTTCCTTTAAAGACCTTTTAAAAATGTTTGTTTTTGCTAAACCTGTTTAACTGTGTATAACTGTTCATACACGTCTCTGTTTATGCTTGAATCTGTTGGTTTCGCTCGAGTTTCCTTTTAGCATCATTGAGTCAGGCTCAATAGCACAAAGTAAGCTCCAGTATGTTCATGTCTCAAAATGTGGACGTGATAACAAAACTTTTTACTTTTTACGTTTTTGTAAAGAAATGTTTTTTGTTTTGTTTTGCATACTGTGCCATGTGGCCTTTATATGTAACAATAAAAATGTAATTACTCATTCTATTTAACATGTCAAAGGTTTACAGCTGGTTCTTGGCTTCTTGCCTCAAACTTAAAGGATTTATGTCTTAAACTATTCTTATGTCAGCCTCTATGGTTTGCACAGAGACTGATGGGCTAAAAGTTTTGTTTTATAGTAGGATCCAGTCAGAGTGTGTCGAGCCCTTGCAGTAGTTACTTACTTACTTTCAGTTTATCTTTTGATTTAACTTCTAGCAGCACTGTCTAATATTTCAGACCTTCCTGCTGTGATATTTGCCCCCTCCTTCATTTCCTTCTTGTTTTTGATTTATTAGACTTGCATGTTCCAGATCATAAAAAGACGAGGATAACCAGAGTAAATATCCCAGCAGCTGAGCTGGCGGGCAGCGCACTCAACTTTGTGAACGTGGACCAAAAATGGGCCCGATGCGGCTTAGAAACAGCTGCTTGATTTTTTTTTACATAAAAAACATTAACAATTATAAAATCTGCACTTTAGTTGTGAATATAATTTTTGCTAACACTGATTTTATTAAAACTGCTTTTTCTGTGCAGTAGAAAACGAGCGATACTGTAGGAGGCTGACAGTTTAAAGAGGACATACAGTGGGATGCAAACGTTTGTGCAACCTTGTTAATAGTCATTATTTTCCTGTATAAATCGTTGGTTGTTACAATAATTATTGCACACTTTCTGTAAATCCAATAAACTTCATTTCACTTCTCAAATATCACTGTGTGTGTGTATGATATATTTAACTGACATTTTTTATTAAACAACGATTTATACAGGAAAATAAGGACTATTAACAAGGCTGCCAAACGTTTGCATCCCACTGTAACTCATTTTTATTGAGACTGAAGATGATTGCATGTGCGAGTGCATGTTTGGAGTCATTGCACTGGTGGTACCAATGTCTTAGAATCTGAGCATCTGCCTAAACATTGTGCACAGTTTAGTAGAGTTAAATGCAAAAATAGGCTTACAATTAAAAAACGGACGTAACAGTTACAGGTATGTGCAGTGACTGTCAGGGTCAGATGATGTAATACTTTGTGAATGTATTAGGGTTAGGGCATCATGGGCCAAAGTTCTCATTCTCATTAGAACAGTTGTGTTCAGCACAGTGTACATAGGACACAACATCCTGAATATGTGCGGCTGAGACTGTAATCTTAGTGAGTCTGTGCACAGCTGCTGGGTTTTTGCTTTTGTTAAAAGTATTGAGCGACCTTTCTAACAACGTAACCCAGTTTGGAAATATACGTTCCTGGTTCTCTAGTGCAGCAAGTGGCATCAACCACACTGTGGGTGCTACACAGTACTTCTGTCATGGTCCTGGGTCGTGTGACCCAGTGTGTTATGCTTAACCTATTTTGATGTTTATTGTTTGCTTAGGTTCTTTAAGGTAGTCCAGTCCTTTTTGTAATTATGTTACCCTTGCATTACGTCTCCCTTGCCCTTCGTGTGTTTATGTCTGTGTGTCTTGTACTGTCAAGTTCATGCTGTCAGTTATGTCACCTCCCCCTGTACTACGTCTCCCCGGTTCATGTCTCATGTTTCCTGTTTTACTTTGAAGGCCTGCATTCACTGTCTGTGTATTCAGCTCACTCCTCCTGTCCTGTCGTTAAGTTCATGTGTGTCAGCTGCGTTCCAATGTGTGGCCACTTCCCCTGATCATCCCTCATGTGTATTTAGTCTCTGTGTTTCTTACAGTCTGTGTCGCGTCGTCTGTGTTCCCACCCTCCGTGTTTCCATGCCTGGTCTGTTGTCTTCCAAGCCATAGCCTCACCATAGTTTGTTCCCAGTTTAGGTTTTTGTTTAGCCACGCCATCCCTGCTGTATTTGCACACCTTGTTTTCAGCCATAATAAAGGCTCGCCTTCTGTTAAAGCTCACTCCCGTCTGTTCACTTGTGTACGCACCTGGGTCCATTACACGCATTCTCCACTCGGTCCGTCACAGCGGACCGTGACAACTTCCTGATTATTTAGTATTTTGTACCGTGTGAGAAACTATGAAGTCTGTGCGTTTGTGCGTGCGTGCATAGATCGATCTAGATTTTTCTTTTTTATGACTGACTGTAAGTTTGAGCTCACTTTCTTAATAAATTTGGGATTTCATAGTGTCATCAGTTGTTCTACACTGTATAAAGCTGTGAATAAAAATATGTATAAAACCTCTGCAAAATATTCTCTATTCATACTTTCAGACGTGTATTTTTAGTAGAGTTGACCAGCTGGTCATTAGTTAGATGTTCTCCCACGTTTTAGAGGCTAAACTTGTAAATATAGGAGTTTGTTTTTTAAATATATGAATAAAATCCTTTGCAGTCAGTGACCCTAAAATCTAGAGCTCATTTACATCATCAGATGCCCGTGACATGCTCTGGCAGGCTTTTATTGCCCTGCCTTCAGTTCCTGGGTTTTCTGCATTGTTCTTTGATAACTCTGTTGAGTAGAGGACAGTTGACTTGCTGGGCTCGTGAACAATTTCCTGTGTTTTGCCTTTAAAAACATGTAGCTTGCATTTACAGTATACTGTGTAAGATAAAGGTCTAATCATCTCTTACTTTACTCAGATTGCACAGAATGTATATTTGTTAATAATTTGAATTAGTTTGGATAAGTGTAAGATAATAGGGAATTTCAGTTTTTACTATATAATTTTGTTTAGCGTAATATTTACAATTAAATTGTATTTTCTTTCCTTATTTAATTTTGACGTACTGTTCCTTTAATACATGGTAACCGTGCACGAGTGTGGAGTAACGGGGCTTTAACTAGCTGTGGAGTCAAACAGTTTTCTTACCGTGTACAGGAACATTCAAACGGATCACTGTATTTCAAGACTGGAAATAAATGTTTGCCTGTTTGTTTTCAACTACAAGCGGACTTTGTTGATTATGTTCAACTGCACAAGGACACGCATGTGGCCCGACTACCAGCTACTGCTTGCGCGGTAATAGTATACATTTTTCCCCCATTTGCAGTGTGTTATAGCACTTTGCTGACTCTCCACAGTGATTGTAGCCCGGCACACTTCACGTTCCACGGTGTTTCACAGATGATGATGTGCTTTGGATCATGCGGTGTTCCTTTCCTTCTCTATATTTTTATCTTCCCATCATTTGGATACAAGTTAAACTTGATTGTATCTGTCCAAAGACTTTTTCCAGAAATGTGCCACCCCTCTTACAAATGCTCTGAAAACGTTTGGGCTCCATGTAAAAGGTAAATACAAACAGAGCGGGCCAGTTTTGTAAAAACATTTATTATTCACAACAGAACTTCCAGTATTTAAAATGGATTTTTTGGGAAAAATAATTTGAAATTTGATAACAGCAACATTTATCAAAAAAGAGGAGATATGGCAGTGCGTACTAATGTGCAGCGTTTCCTATTCAACAGTCTGCAAATATTTCAGAACAGGTTTCTTTGAGAGGAATGTTGTCCTATTCTTGTTTTAATATATGATTTTAGTGACTCCATCAGATTGTCTGGAGTTCATGTTTTCCCAAAAGAATAAAAAAATGTTTGATTTGCCTGAATACAGAATGGTTTTCTACTTTCAGTCGTTTTTTCCATGAGCTTTGGTGCAGAGGGGACAGTGGTGTTCCGCTTTGCTGTCTCTCTCTACATCTACTGGCTGGTTATTAGACAGCAGGTTAGTAATGGGCACACTCTGAAGTAAAGACAGGGTGGAACTTATTACTCTGAAAAACTGTGGGCAGACACTACAAGAAGCACATACACATATAACTATTTATTTAATTAAACATTCACTTCAAATGACATGTTCAAGCATAACTTAAAAAAGCAACAAATAAACAAATAAGCAAGTCTTATCTTCATTTTTACTCTTCTTTGACATGACAAGTGGTTACATAGAGAAAAAATAGTTTCATTGAAGTTTGTCATCAAAAAGCAGTGACTTTCTCCTTTTTCTGGTTATCAATGTTTGTGTATGGAACACCTAAAACAGAAGACATGGGAGACATATTAGAGCTGAAAAATAAGTAAAATACACACACATTATATACATACGAGTATTTATACACAAAGCTTTAGTTGTCAGAGAGATGACATCACATTTGACTCTGGTATACAGAGGAGTTCATGTTGCCCCTTCATCACCCCCTGTGGTGGATTTTTGTATGACATGTATACCTATATAACTCTATACACTGTATATCTATCTGTACTAGATAGCTTTCACGTAGAATATTAGGCACGAGGTATTTTGCCCTTATGCACACACACACACACGCACGCATGCACACACACACACACACACACACACACACACACACACACACACACAATAAACATTTTTCATGCAGCTCTTAGAAAATAGTAACATGGTAACAGAGATACTGAAACACACTATTAACCTACGATGGAGTGTTTATTATTATGTAAAGTATTTAACCCATATATTTGATGTAGTTAGGCCAAGTATTATTCACATGTACATCATAAGATTATCACAAAAAGTACGCTGTTTGCTGTAGTAATGTGTGACCTTTGACCATGTTGTGACCTATTGTCAGAAGGCAAAGCAAAGGGTTAATTTAAGGGTGCCCCTTTGTGCTGGGCCCTCAGCCAGAGTTCTGGCCCGTACTTGACCCTGCACCTGCTGTTTTTGGGCGCGTGGGAAAGTTACTCCACAGCAGGGAGGTGGGTTCCTGTAGAAGGGGATCTGGGAAAGTCCTCTGGGCTTTTTCCTGCTGTCTGTCCGTTGGGGTTGGTCCCAACCTGCATGCGCTAACAGCGAACACCCTAGGGGAGCTTTGCCTTTCCTTCTGTTTTGCTGAGCTTCTCTGTTTAATAAAACAGCTGGCGTAGACCTTTGCTCCTCTCCTGTGATTTTTGTGTTTTTGACTTTAATTGGACTCGAGAAGCAGAAACCCACCTACTTCTAATCTGTGGAATTACTCACACTTGCGACCAGCACATCCCTCCTCTACTATTGTTGACAGTTTGACAGGAAGAGGAGTCTTTGCAGACCTAAGGTGGGCTGCCATGCTCCTTTTTTTAAGAGAGAAAAAGCTTCCGAACAAGCGACACTTATTCTTATTCGAAGGACGCTGTCGTGGATTTTTACCCATAACATGCTGAGCGAGGCACACAGAGTCTGAGATTTTTATATTTTGCTCTTTTGTTGTGCTTTTTACTGTCAGACCTTTGAGTGGATTTGCTGGCACATCCTTGCCTGGTGGTGTAGTGTTAATATACACCTGAATGTTCCAGCCCAGCAAACTGGTCACTCTGATGGTCATGTGGATTTGATGAGCAGGAGCTTGACTGCTACACACCCTTTCAATTTGATGCTTATAGTGACATTATGGAAACAACAACAACAACAACTACTAACAGTAGTAAGTGTTACACTAACTAGATGTTTATTGTGGTAGAGCAGCTATATTGCGTTTTGGGGATTTTTTTTAAAGCTCATTTAATCTTTTTCCTGATCCTTACTTGTTGATTCCATGCTGATATTTGTCTCCTTCTTCTTCTTTTTCCTGAAAAGAGAAAAACGGAGGTTAGAGACTTTAATGTGTGCATGCATACAGTTATTTATTTATTTGAAGTTTTATAATGGTATTTGGAAAAAACAAAAAATATTGGCCCAGATATATTTTTAAGACATGTATTTGTGTTCATACAGTGGACACAGACATACTTATTCAAGCGCATATTTTTGTTAAGATGATCTGTTAACACTCACATGGTTTTCTTTTTGCAAACAAGAACAATGGTAGTCACGGTGATGATAATGACAGCAACTGGGACCAGAACCGCAATCAGGATAATCCACTTAGTTTCTGAAACACACAAAAATGAGAAACAAAGTCTTTAACCGTTAACCACATGTCCTCCACTCTCAGTGAAATAATTAATTTGACCAATCACAGTGAGTGCAGGGTCCTTACATGAATTTGAAACTGAGCTTGGAGGAGATATTAAGTCAATATTTTATATGATACCTCTTATCTCGACATTATATTGTCACTTTTCTGGGTTATATCAACCACGGACATTATAATTCTACTTTAGTCCAGAACGCCGTGTTGGCTAATACCTCTGATATCAGCTGATCCTAGTGCAAACAGATCTTATGATGATAAACAGTGAAGTATGAGACATCTAGCTGAACGTTAGTTTTTCAGTGTTAGATACTAAAATGTTTCTGTGTTTAGTCTTGCATCCACAAAGACACACAAAGACATCGCAGACACAAAGAGTAGTATAGAAACAGGAAAGTTCACGAGGAAATGTGACAGCTTTAAAGAATGAAGTCATGTTTCAGTCGTACCAAGTCCTCCACCGGTGGGTGGCATCACTTCCATCTCACAGTTTGTGCCTTCAAAGCCTTCTGCACACAGACAGGTGTACGTGTTGTTGCCTGAGTCCTGACATGTGCCTTCGTTCAAACAGGGGTAATTGAGGCAGGGACTTGCTGCAAGAAGACAAAAATAGGTGTTGTTGTTGACAGTTTAATTTAGTTCATTTCTCAGTTAATTTGTAAGATATTTTATTCACAACAGGAAACACATAATCACGGAATTAAACTGAGAATCTATAAAGTTTTAGGAAAAAACGAGGTAATTGTGAAAAAACATCAGTTTTTTAACAGCTGTCCATAAACAGCTGTGAACTGGGACCAGTTAGTGGAGTGAATGTTGTCCCATTCCTGTTTACTGTGGGATTAGAGATGCTCCATGGTCCTGGATTTTCTTTGTTGTATTTTTGCTTTTATGTTATCAGCCTGGACTGCACACAGACCAGTTCAGCACCCAGACTCTCCCACACAGCCCTGCTGTATGATTGTATGATTCAAAATACACAGTGCTCAAACACTTGCATGAACACGTACCTTTGTAGCAGTCACGTTTGAAGTTGTAGATGGTGCACACGTAAGCGTCCTGGCAGGTCTTCGGCTCACACACAGCACCGGTACTGCTACACTCACAAGACTGAGAGCAGTCCTCGGTCACAAACTTCTCTTTGAGCTGCAGGATGGAGAGATATGAGCGCACATCGTCACGTGGTCACATAGATACACAGTCACTCGTGTAACTGAAGGCCACTTACAGGGTAGTATCTGTTTAGGAAGGTGCAGCCACACTGTGCATATGGCACACAAGTCCCCTCACTCATAACAAAGCCGGCGGCACACTGGCAGCCTTCGACACACGAAGTGACTTCACACTCCGAGGGTGCTGCCAGGTTGGCGCAGGAGGCGGGGCAAGATGACATGCAGGGGGAGTAAGTGCTGTTGGCGGTGCAAGAGAGGACTGGGAAAGAGAAACGTGATGTTATTTACAGCAAACCGTTCGACAGAATGTAATTCTTTGTTTTGCAAATGTGTTTTAGTTCAATGCCTCACGTTTACAGGAGATTTGATAATGTGCAAGAGTATCTATATAAGAAACTATAAAGAAGAAATAAGAAACTGTAAACTATATAAGATGAATACAAACTGCATTACCACATATCTGTCTCAGTGAGGACAGCACATTACAATCTGCGTTTTCTGACAGTTTTGGAATGCAGTTTGTTTGTTTTTTACTTCAAATTATGAATACAAACAAAAACACACAACAGGTGGAGTGAGGAGATGGACTCTGAACTGTTTGTCTTCCCACATGATGTGAATGAAGGGCAGCATTTCTTACCGCAGTCCAGCTGCTGCCTCCACAATCCTAATGTAACTCCAGCCTGTTGACAAGCTGCTGCATATGCTTCATAACTGGCACAGCGCATAGCTTCACTGCCTCCCTCAGCACACAGGTCAAACAGACAGTCACTGAAAGGACAAACATGAGCACAAGCAAAAAGCTCACACATGCACGTTGGTTCATACAGCTGCTGTCATGTGTTATATTGAATATGTCTTGATGCACGCTCAATCATCCAGGTACGTAAATCCCAAAAGGCTGATTCTGTTCATCAAGACGTTGCGTTTTTCAGATGAATTATATCGATTATGCTCAAGTTAACATTGTACTGAAATGTGTCCAGAAGACAGCTTCATACATATCCCCACTTAAGTGCAGACTACTTACTCCTGGTAGATTTGGGGTGACACGGTGGCGTGGCAGGCAGCAAATGGCCCACTGGAATCAGACAGCGCCCCACACTTCGTCGGGCTGTTGTAGTCGCTGAGCTGTGACTGAGAGCAGTCTGACACCTCGAACCCTGAGTCTGGATCAGTCTCTGCTTCTTGTCTGGAGACAGAGAAACTGTTGTGTAACAGCCGTGTGTAACATGAAGTTTAGTTTCCACAAAAACTGTAACATGAAACGAGCCTATTCCGTTTGAAGATTTTCTTTTATCAAGCACTTAACAGGCAGACAGACTTGGGCCAAGCTCTGCTAATTATTGTCGGGCAGCAATAATTATCTTTATTTTATAACATAAGGCAGTTTTCTTTAACAACAATATTCTCTGTTAAATAGTGACAGAAATCTGTAGAAGCAGTGAGCCTGGTTGTAATCGTACCTCAGTGCACGGATAGGACGGTCCAAGATCCTAAGTCTGTTGGCAGGTCGATCATTGACCTTCCAACTATCTCCAAATTCTTTAAGATCCCTGACTACTGTCCCATCTGGCTTCATGTATTCATTTCTGGTGATGCCATCATAGTTCCCACACAGTCCTCTAACAGAATTCTTATAGGTACCAGGAAGTATGATTTCTGATACACAAACAGAGAGACATAAGAGGAACGTGAACAGATTTGTACAAAAGCCTAAGACGTTCTCAGACAGAACTGTCTTCTTCTTTTACCTCCTCGACTGTTGCCATCAAAGCGTACAGTGAGTCCAAAGTCAGTGGTGAGCTGGATCTGCCTGGAGTTCCTTGTGATGGTCAAACCATCAACTGGTGTGAGAGGAGGTGTTACATACTCCCCGTTGACCTACAGGAGATCAGGTAGGATTGCGTTACATCATTTTTACCATTAGAAATGCATGAAAACCTGCTCTTTTTTAACAAAGTGTCAGCTGACCAGGACAGTCTTCTTCTGCAGGAATTTAACATTGACACCGTAAACATTGATGTCCATCTCCTCCAGGAACGACACCCTCTTGTTCATTCCACGTCTAACGTTCTTTCCTCTCACCACCAGGGGCGTCAGGGAGCTCGACAGGTTGTGACCCAGAGCAAGTTCATAGGTGTCGACACCTTGGAAGTGATGCTTGAAGCCATCGAATGTTAGGTAGTGAGGATCCCCACAGATGCTGCACTGATTGAACTCTAACGATGGTGGAAAATGGGAGGATTCATGGTCAAAAACCACAGTCATTTTTGTTACTTTGCTTGTTTATTAAGGTTTGAAGTCTCTCAAACTCACCGGTGGGTCTGCAGTAGCGGTTTCCATTCTTGTCCAGGTCACACAGTGAATTCGAATTACAGCTGTGGTCCTCACATCTGACTTCACCACCAGGGTTACAGGTACACGACTCAGTGCATTTATCTGTTAGCCACAAATCTCCTACCTGTGGGCGCACACACAGACATGCATGGGACTGGTTATACCTGGACTTAGAATAAAGGGTTTTCAATATGCTAATATTAAATCCTCATAGCCTCTGTGTACTTTTGAGCTCAGGATTTTCTATTATGGAACATCCCACTGAGTCCATCATCTAGCAACAGTACGGGCAGTACTGTACTCACATCATGGTACTCCCTGTTTGAGTCCAGACAGCCACACTGGTCCAGAGTAACACACTTGCCGTCACTGAGGACGTAACCAGCATTGCACTGGCAGCCCTCGAGACAAGTAGTTGGAGGCAGATGGCAGAAGACAGGGAAGAGGTCAGAGCACGTGGGAGGGCAGGGGGCTGTGCAGTCTGAGTAGTGGCTGTTAGGAAGACAGGGCAGGGCTGCAGAGAGGGACGAGAATGAGGTAAGACAAACAATAAATTCAAATCTTTATGTGAATCTTTGTTACTGTAACTCACGGCAAAAGCTGCTGTTTCTCCAGCTGATGGTGACACCGGCACTCTGACAGGCCTGAGCATATGCCTCCACGTTGTCACAGAGCGTAGTCTGCATGCCGTCATACTCGCACATGTCATAGACGCAGTTAGCCAGGAAAGCCTCAGGGGGCACTAGAGCGTGGCACGGCTTGAAGTTATTGGAGAGAATGACCCCACCACACTGAGCCTCATACAGCATCTCTTCTTCTTTGCTACACTTTGGGTGGATGTCTGGACGGGTGTCTGGCTGACAACTGAACAGAAGAACATTTGGATCAGGGTGTAATTTCGCCAACATGGACAGCATACATTTGATTCATTAGAGTAACCACTATCTGGAACCAGGGGTGTTTTGCGTGTTTGGTGAATCTGGAGACCACTACTATCTTTAAGTCTGACGTCCAAACTCCGCTGCAGGTCCCAAAGTCAAACGATCACTGCAGCATCACTGAGAGTTAAAAACTGTCTAAATTCTTTCATCTTTAATAAAATGATCAGCGTTGCTGCTTTACCAGGTGGAACAATTAAGTTTAATGTCCAGGAATCCATGGAAACCGAATTTATGAAATGTAATGGAGTTAGAAGTTAGCAAGCAGTTAGCTCGCTAGTTTCCATCTATATGTAATATAGCATGTTTGAATGAGGGATTTCCAAAATGTACAGCTCTGCTATCATTTCCAGCATAAATGAAGACAGAAAACTAAACAGCAGTGGCGTTTGTAGGCTAGCTGGTATATAATCATGTGCTACATGTTTATATATCACTTTTTCCACTCGATAAAAGTTAACATGAGGGTTCCAGATGGTTAGGGAAAAATGCAATCACATGGCAGGATGCTGTAAACGGACCAAACTTCAGTCAGGAGAACAACTGAGATAATCCATCCACAATACGAGGTTAGTCATTAATGTACTGCTGCATGGGCTGGGCTGTAGTTACATGTAAGGTTTTAAAAACTGAGCTTTAAAATGAACAGTGGTAAAAAAACAGAAAAGAAAAACAAGAGAAGCCGACTGTTTTTAGGGGCTTGTTCAGATTAAATAGAACAAGATACAAAGCATTAAAACATGTTAAAAACACAACAGCCTTATTAAACGCAGAGTAGTTTGGACCTGGAAGCAGGATTCAACATGTCATCACTTAAAGACCGGATAGAGTTACAACTAATATCCGCATAACAACACTAAAAGTTGTTCACTGGTTGTTACCCACTGACCCAGGATCACTGTCTCCATTTGATTTCCAGCTGTTTCCCAGTTCAATGTCATCCTTGGCTGGTTTCTTGTTGGGCATTAGGTTGTCATCAGAGGGGTTCTGGTTGTAGTTTCCACACATGCCACACACCTGGAGAAGAGGCCAGTGGAACAAGGTTATTGCAATGTTTCTGTAATATACAGCAGAGCAGCTACTACAAGCAGCCATGACTAGCATACACAATTTGTAATTTTTAATTTCCTCATGTGACTTGACATTGAAAGAGTTGTGATGCAGACACTAGAAAACATGGTCTTAATTTCTGATACCTTATCAAAATATTCTCCTGGAACAGTGATCTCAACGTGATGGACTCCGTCAAATTTCACCTGTAGACCAAAGTTTGTGTCCAGCAGACTATAGGCTCCACTGGTTATCACTTTAGCTCCAGCCAAGTCAACGGAAACTGGGGTTTTCACCCGCTGTCCGTTCACCTGAGCACAGAAAAGTGAAATCATGTCAGCTGCTGATTGTTTCAGTATGGCGTAGTTCCTCTATATTTGAATGTCTGTAAAATCATAAACTATGTCACATACCAGAACTCTGCGGCCCTTTTGCAGTTCAATAACAGTGCCAGGGTACAGGGTGACTTTCACAGAGCGAACATATGATGCCTCTGGTTGACCACGTTCCTCATTCTTAGCCACTATGTTGAAAGGAGTGACTTGGGTGGCGTTGCACACCTTTAAAATAGTGTATATTTTGTTTTCAAAGACAAAACAGCGCCACAGGAATATCTGTTGTGTACAAAGTAAGTTAAACTCCTCCCATACCTCCACCAGAGTATATGTGCAAGTTCCCATGAACGTATGCATCACACCATCAAAAGTGTAGTAGTGCGGATCTCCAGCTACATGACACACTCCTTTACCTGAGGTCGGATATGAGACTCGGTAAAAGGGCAAAAACATACACTGACACAGCTTTAGGTGACGTGAACATGTAATTATCCAGCCCTTCGTTCAGTTTACCTGTAGAATGACAGCCTAGTACTCCTTCCACCACTTTGCACTCCTGTGCAGGGCTGCACTGCCAAGACTCACAGCTGATGTTGTTGTTTCCAGCACACTTGCATTGCTCTGAGCAGTCAGCCTTTGTGAACCAAGTGTCTCCAACCTAAACATATACCAAAAAAGTTTAATGCACCCTTACATAAAACACATTTTCTTGCAAAAAGGAAAATCTCCCACTGCACACCCACCGGCCTGTATTTCCCATCACCATCAGTGCATCCACACTGGCTGATTGGGACACATTTGTCTCCGCTGAGGATGAGGCCAGTGTCACAGATGCAGCCCTCCACACAGGGAAGATCGCAAGAGCCGCCGTGTCCTGCAGGGTTCTGACAGCTCGGCTGAGGACATGCAGGGCCGCATGAGGTGTAATGACTGCCTGGGGGGCACTTCAGAGCTGGAGGGAGTCAAGCAATTTTTAGGGTTGTTTGTAAAAATGCACAACAGTTGTTACATATCTATAAACAAAAAGAAGGTTGTATTTGTCTACAGGAAACATGTTACAGCAAAACTCATAAAGTTTGTGTACATCATTTCTTTTTGAACCATTGTTGGCCCCTAACTCAGAAGAGGGACAGTTTTGGTGCTCGCAGTGGAATTATCTAAACCTTGTGAGAGATGTAACCTAGTGAAAGTGAAACAAATGAGAGTATATAGTTTAAACTGCACTATTTTCACCAGGATATTTTTCTGAAAAAACAAACAAATATTGGTAAATTTTCTTGAAATCTGGGAGGGTCTGGAATGTCCACTATATGTTTCTGTGGACCAATAAACCTTTGTGTTTCCCATAAAGCGGCATATAAGCATTATTCCTTAGCACCTAAAAATCAAGCGTATGTAACCTCTGTTAGACAGCAGACGCTGCAGTTTTAAATGGAAATATAAACTACGTACTATAATGTAACTAGTAGTAAAGAAAGTGGAAGATGACCTGGGTGTATTGGACAAATCATGGGGATTTTCTTACTTTATACTCAACTTTTTATATTTAAACTGATCATTTTGTCACGCTCAAAATGAAGGCACTGATTTCTCAGGGAAACATCTAATATTGTTATTATTACTTTAGTAATACGTTTGGTAGCAATGGAAAAAGTATTACTTAAGATCCTATTTTTTCTCTATACACACACAAAGAAAAACAGGACTCACGACAGAAGGTGTTCGTCCTCCATTCGATGGGGACTCCTGCAGCAGCACACATGTCGGCGTAGGTCTCTATGGCCTGGCACAGAGCCACGGTCTCACCTCCAGTGGCACACATGTCGAATACACAACTCTCAAAGTATGGCTCAGGGGATACAACAGCGTGGCAGGGCTTAAAGATTCCTGAGGTTAAGATCAAAGATAGAACAAAGTGTAGTTGAAGCGACTGCTTGGGGATGATTTTCACCACATTGTCTAGCCTAACAGTGATATATATCAGAGAGGCCAGCCCAAAAGTTTTAAGGTAAATGTAAAGATTGTTTAATATATGTGAAACATATACAAAGTGGGAAAAAGGCATGAAGGGCTTACTTCAGCTAACAGCACATATCTATATTTCACATCACCAAACCAATTGGTTGTTTTACTGCATGTATACATCATATCATTTCCCAAGCATCGCTTCCACAGTTCCTGGCTTGTGCTGAGAGCCATGTTTTGTCTACAAGGGTGCTGAAGTCATCAAATGTCAGTGCTTAATAAGATTAAGTACACACTGTAAACCAGCATATTGTTTCAGTGGAGGAGTTTGTGTGTTCTAGTCACGTGCTTGTGACAATACAAAGCATCATATAAGAATCAGTCTATTTAGTATTTACAGGCATCCAACAGGTACCTGCGGGCCAAATGGAGTGAAAGGCAGTAGATGAAAAAGGAGGAGTTTGGTGAGTCCATTAAAATGGCAAACAATCCTCAATCCTACAGTCAGGTCTTCTGTAATGGAAGCAGAGTCTGTGCACCAACTATAAGGGATCACATTTCTCACCCTCCCTGGGAAAATCAGTGGTAGGCTGCCAGGGGCGGCCTTTCTCACTGATTCTGTTCATAGTTTTTATGTAAGAATATCTCGGCACAGCCAAGTAATGAAGGCTGTCCATTTGGTGGCATCAGGATTCCATCTTTGCCTTTTGCAGATTTTGTTGTTCATCACATGGTGAGCTCCAGCTTTCACTGGAACGTTTCGCAGCTGAGTGTAAAGTGAGAACCTCCAAGTCCAAGACCACGGTTCTCAGCCAGAAAAAGGTGGAGCACTCACTCCAGGTCAGGGATGAGTTCAGGGGTCTTGGGATCTTGTGCATATGTATTATTGTAGGGTCTACCTTTCAATATAAAGTGCCTTGAGGCAACTGTTATTGTGATTTGTGGCTGTACAAATAAAATTTAATTGATTTGACAGACGGATTGGGATAGCATCTGGGTAATCTATGATCCTTCCCTGACCTACGGTTCAGAGCTCTGGGTAGCGACCGAAAAAAATGAGGTTATGTACATAAGCGGCGGAAATGAGCTTCCTTTGAAGGGTGGCTGGGCTCCAAGATAGGGTGAAGAGCTTGGAGTAGAGTGGCAGCTCCTCCACATTCAAAGGAGCCAATTAGGTGGTTCGGGCATTGACTAGGATGCCACCTGGACACATTTGAGTTAAGGTATTCTGTGATTGAAGGAGGCGGGTCAGTTCCAGGACTTGTTGGAGTGAGAGATCGCTGGAAATATAACTTATTAATGTCAGAAGAGCTGACTAGGATGAGGAAAGTCTGGGCTTGTCTCCTTAAACTACTGCCCCCAGGACCATAGATGGATGGATGGATGGATGGATGGATGGGTAGATGATATTAGACTATTAGTTGTAATGATAACATTCTTTTATGTGTGCGTGTGTGTGTGTATCTTAGTGAGAGAGAGAGAGAGCGCGTGCACACACATATGTGTTTTTCATACCGTTGGGATCAGTGATCATGCCACAGCTGGTAGGCTTCGTGGCCTCTTCCTCCACCTTTACATCACAATCTTCTTCTTCTGTACCATCAGTACAGCTGAGAGGAAATGGGAGAATTCATTGCAATGGAGTCAACATGTTTGTGTTTGGTAATTCTAAGGCTAAGATTAGCAGGAGACTGGTGACATGTACAGGACAATTTCTGGGAAGAACTTGAAATATATTAATGCAGACGTAGCAGTCAAAGCCGAATGACAATGAAATAAAAGGAACTTAGGAATAAAGTAGGATCAACAATTCTTGTATTGACATAATGATGAAGAAATGAAAATCTACAAATAGATAAAATTAAAGGTCTTATATTCTGTTTCTGTAATGTGACTCACTCGGGGTCTGAGTCAGCAACCTGCCAGCTGTCTCCTAGCTCATTGGTGTTAGCAGCTGGTGTGTTATCTGGTTTCAAGTTGTCATCGTTAGGGTTCCCATTGAAATTTCCTGTGGAGACAACAGATATTCAAAATCACTCTATTTTAATTAGCAAATCCTGTGTTTTATTCACTTAGTAAGGAACAACAGCAAATAATTGCACTGGCTCTTACCACACATCCCACAGAGTAGGCCATTGTAGGAAGTTGGCAAAGTGACATCAGCATGATGGTTTCCATCAAAACGCACCCTCAGATTAAAAGATGTTTCTAAGACAACAAACTTTCCACTCAAGTAGATCTTAACTCCCCTGATGGAGGTAACAGGTGGAACAACCGCAGTGCCATTGACCTGACAACAGCCAGAGATCACAATATTATTGCCAGAAAAACACAGCTTATTATGTGTACTTGTTCTTTGTTCCTCTACAGTAGACTTTTCCTTTAAATCAACCATCTTTATAACAAATGCAGCAGGGGACAGTTTCCACCTTCTACTGAGAGAGGCTGAATCTGTTATTAAAACACATGTTAGGAAAACACATTCAGTAAAGAGGCTGCTATAAATATAGCTTTGTTATACTTGCATTCTGTTGATTTAAATTTGGTGGAGAACTAGTTTAATTTTTTAAAAATTGTGTTTTATTTTGACTGCTGCAGATTATAAAATCTTAAATCTGATTATGAAGAGATTTAAAGAAAATCTTACAAGTGGTTCTTGTTCCAATAGGCCTAGGCTGTACATATTGGCCTTAAAATTATTCAGTTGGTAGTAAATAAAATGGGTAAAAGCACTAAGATAGCAAACAGAGATACTGTTTATTGTATGAGTGACTGGAAGAACCCTCTGCCTACCTGGACCGTGTGTCCCTTGCCAAGGATGACAGTGATACCATTCACATTGATCACCACAGCCCTCACATAGGAAACCTTCTTATTACTTCCTCTGTGCTCATTCTGGGTATGGACCGTGAAATGTGGCAAGCCAGAGGAGACATTGCAGGGTTTGGTCAAGGTGTAGGAGCATGAACCCATGTAATGGTGAGTACGTTTATCAAAGGTTATGTAGTGAGGATCACCAGAAACTGAGCAGATACCATTTCCTGAACAAAGAAGGCAGGGAGTTACTTTATCATTTACCATGATGAGCAAAACAAATGCAGATTTCAGTGGAACTATATAAAATGGATAATGCACTGAGATGTCAGATGTGTTAAATGAAATAATAATCTTTAGATGTATGTGAAGCGGTGTGATTAATATACCCAGAGGGTGGCATTCATATTCTCCATCTTGTAGTTGGCAGCTCTCAGTAGTTGGGTTACAGCTGGTGTTATGACACTGTAGAAGACCTCCACTGTGACACATACACTTTTGTTCACAACCCTCCAAGTACCAGTCATCGCCCACCTGAAAAATGTACACAGAATACAAAAAACAATCAAAATTTTGTCATGTAATTCTCTCTTATACATCACACGAATATAAAGATAAGATAAGATAAGATAACCTTTATTAGTCCCACACGTGGGAAATTTGTGGGAAAGATCAAAAATGATAAATAAATATATAAATATAAATGTATCAAAATGTATATAAATATACATTTGGATGCAAACCAGGGATTCTGTATGCCACTAACTAATTAGGCCAACCTACACTCATTTATTTATTGATTTTGGGCTTGCTAATTGTGGTGGCACCAGTATGTAAATGCTATGACATAAATACAAATTCTATAACACCAGTGTCTTTTAAATTCAGGTATAATACAGTATAATAAATATAATCTGTGCTTGATAAGTTGAAAGTAAAAATCTGTGTTGTAAAACCAATATTTATGTGCCAACAGTTCTCTGCAGTCTATGCACCCTTAATTTAGTTGAGTTTTAATTTCTTTTGTACTGTAGGGTCTTTGTGTCTCTTGGCGTCTCTCCTGTTGAAGTCATAAAGAGAACTGAAAATGATGTTAGCATGAGCTTAGCACATTTTAAAGGTAAATGGAATATGGTTTTAATTGTTTGGAGGCTGTTTCCACTTACAGGGTGATAGGTTCCACTGGGGTCCACACAACCACAGTCTCTCAGTTCCACACATTTGTCATCACTGAGAATGAAGCCAGGGTTACACTCACAACCCTCCACACACACTTCCTCACAGCCAGGTGGTCCCACCACACCAAGACATGTCTCAGGACATGAACTCACACAAAGGGAGTAGGAGCTATTGGGAGGACAGGTCAGAGCTGTGTGGACAAACACAGGGATGAACAATAATGAGAGGGAACAATGGTGGACAAATAGCAACAGAGAACGGAGTGGGTAGTACGATGATTCAAAGACAGGGCACCTACGTATCTCATATTGATTTAACTCAGTGTCATAAATGAAAGCAAGGATAATATTAACTGCATTGAATATTTTACATTGGTTTCAGCATTGTGCGCTGTATCTTAAACTCTCCTCCCTATACAATTATAAATATGATTATAAGTTCAATTATAATGTTGGTGAGCAGGATGTAATATATCGTGGTTATATTTACAGGTGGAGACAACTTCCAAATGGAGAAGCTATGGCATGCACCCCATTTAAAAGGGAAAATGCTGAAGGCTCATTTTCCAAAATGAAAAGGTATTATTCAAGTCTTTATTCATTTATGCTTCAGAATGGGGCTTATCAAGCCAATGGGTGATGTCACTGTGACTATGTTTATATATCATATATCTTTTAGATATATTTGGTATATCTCAGATTCAAACTTACGGCAGAAGTCTGGAGTTCTCCATTGGTAGACTTTGGCTCCAGCACTATGACATGCGTCAGTGTAGGCCTGGAGCTGGTCACACAGCACGTGCTGCTGGCCGTTGAACTGACACATGTCATACACACAGCTTTGGAAGAATGGAGTGGGATTAACTACACTGATGCACTCCCTGTAACAGAGAAAAGCACTCACTTAGCTTAGGTAGGAAAAGGCAGAGGCTCATATACTGAAAATCTGAGTTCAAACAAACAAACAAGCTACATTTGGTGGTGAAACAGTCAACAACTGTTGCATAAGTTTAGCAACAATTCACTAGCTGGGGCCAGTGAATAAAGGTGAATGGCTTAAACATGAATTGAACTGCGGTTTGGGGAAGGCCTCGCTGGGGACTGGCGGTGGCTCCTGGGCTGGCAGATCCCCATGTACTAATGAGAAGTGAAACAGTGAAAGAATTGAAATTGAAAAAGGGGAGGGAGGGTTGGGAATAAATGGAAGAACAAACAGCTAGTAGTACTGGGGATTATATATAGATAAGAACAGGAAGGGAAGTGTTTGGATACTTTATCTCTAACTCACTAACTGAGTCCACATTGTCATTTTACATTTTACAGTGTTCCTATTAGAAAAAGGTGAATGGCTTAAACATGAGTTGAACTGAGCTTTAGGGAAGGGCGCAAAGGGGACTGGTGCCTCCCGGGCTGGCAGATCCCCAAAGAAGACATCCCCTAGAAGCAGCAATAATTGTGCATTGTGAAGGTGAAAGACCTCTGCAGTAATAATTCAATTTTTCAATTCAATTTATTTATACAGCCCCAAATCACAACAACAATCGCCTCAAGGCGCTTTATATGTAAGGTAGACCCTGCAGTAATACCTACAGAAACAACCCAACAATCATATGACTCCCTATGAGCAAGCACTTTGGCGACAGTGGGAAGGAACAACTCCTTTTAACAGGAAGAAACCTCTGGCAAAACCATTCCCATGGAAGGACAGCCATCTGCCGCTACAGGTTGAGGTGGAAGAAGGAAAGCAGGACAAAAGAGAAGCGCAGAGAGAAGGTGGTCAAGGATTCCAGAGAGTGGAGTGGTTGAGTTCGGAAAATTATGAAGGAATGGTGGGAGAAGACCACAAAGCAGATTTCAGAAAACGAAAGACCTTAATAGCTGAATGAGGAGAGTGGCAACGTGGCTCGACTGGTGTGGAGGCTGGATGGATGCATGTCTGTATTTTAAGACATCAGGCAATGGCTTGACGGCTCGTAAAAGCTTTTACTGCTGTGTTTGAAAATGATCGATATGGAGACAGAGACTGGCAATACGGTGTCAGGAATGTGCTTTGTTACATTTTGTGAAAGATAGATAAATGCATGGACCCTGGCATCCAAGTTATTGGGGAAAGAGGGAAGAGAAACTGGCTTCGAGGTGCCAAAAAGCACGCTGCTGCATTTTGCTCAGGAGAGATAGAGGGAAGAAAAGCTTGCTACTGCAAATGAAGGAAAAGAACTGGCATCCCGGTACCTGATGTATGCAGCCGAATTTGAAAAAGAAGGACAGAGAAATAGAACCTGGAATACCATTGCAAAAAGTATTCACTTTTGCAATGGTATTCCATGGTTTTGTAAAGGAGGAAAAGAGAAAGAAAACATGGCATCCCAGCGCTAAAAGCCTGCTGCTGCATTTGTAAAGGAGGAACAGAGAAAGGAACCAGGAATCCCGGGCCCAAAAGCTTGCTGGTATATTGCAAAGGAGGACAGAGAAAGAGAACCTGGCATTCCAGTGCCAAAAAACATGCTGCTGTATTTTTGTGAAAAGGGAGGGACGGAAGAGGAACTGGCAACCCGGTGCTAAAACTTGCTCCTGCATTTGTGAAGGAGGATAGAGAAAGAAAGCCTGACATCCTAGTGCCAAGAAGCATGCTGCTGCATTGTGCGAGGGAGGGATAGAGGGAAGGGAAACTGGAATCTCCTGGGTAGAAAACCTTGTTGATGCATTTGCAAATGAGGAATAATAACTTGGCATCCTGGTGCCAAAAGCTCACTGTTGTATTTGCAAAGGAGGGTTATAGAAAGAACCTGGTATCCCAGGTTTTTTGCAACGATAGATAGAGATAAACTGGCAAGTCATTGGTAAAAACTTGCTGCTGCGTTTGAGAATGAGGGACAAAGAACAAAACTGGCATCCCAGTGCCAGAAGGGTTCATTACAGCATTACAGTAATAGTATTGAAAATATTTATTCATATTTTACAGGTCAGTTGGGTGATTACCAGGCATGCTGCCATCTATTTCATGATTTTATAAGGTCAGGAAAAAAACGTTGTAAAAACCCAGGAATCCCATCAGTTTAACCAAGTCGATAACCAAAAGTGGAGGGGTTGTGAATTCTTACCGGAAGGGTCCAGTAGGGTCTGTAATTTTACCACATTTCTCTGGTTTTACAACTTCAGCTTCCAAGTTGGGGTCACAGTCTGGATCAGGCTTTGTTCCTGGGTACATCTGGTCAATACAAATACAAAACACAGTTACATCCTCTTCAGTTTGTCAGAAAGAGTCCGACAGTAAGGTAACAAAAGACGTAACCAGAAGAAATCCAAACGACAGAAAGATAGATATGTTGGAACTCACGAGTCATCTTCATCGTCTTTGGTCTGCCAGCTGTTCCCAAAGTCATTACTATTTCCTGCCACAGTGCCATCTGGTTTAGTGAAGTCATTGTCTGGGTTCCCATCATAGTCACCACAAAGGCCACACATTTGGTCATAGTAGGAGCTGGTAGGACAAAGTCAAGGCAGGATATGTAGGATTAAAATAAGACAAGCTTAAGAATATTTGCAATGTTTAATAAGGTGTTGCTTGGCCTTTTATTGTAATTCTAGAAACAAATGAAGAGAATGCAAAGATCCCTGATACAATAAACCAGGGCATCGTTAGTATATATTAAAAGTTGCATAAGTCCACAATATGCACACAAATGGACTGCTTTGTTTTCACAACATACATAAAACAACTGGTGACGTTCAGCAGTTTAGATCGTTATCTATCAAAATTTCTTCAGATCGTTAGGTTATGGTTGCATCAGAGGAAAGTGGTCATCAAAACAAGAATGATAGAGCAATGGAGACAGTGGTCAGGTGTATTGTATGAATGTGTGAAGCAAATAAAAAGAAGTTCTACAATATCAAAATAGTTCAAACCAATATTATACTAACCTGGGAACTGAGATCTGGGCATAATGGTTTCCATCCCAACGCACCCTCAAGCCAAAGGATGTTTGAAGCGTGATGAACTGACCAGCAAGACTAATAGACATGAGAGGAAGGGGAGTGGGGCAGAGCCACCCGTACTCCGTTCACCTGATTCAGTGATGAAGAAAAGATGTTAAGAACATAAGAATATAAAGATGTTAAACAGACTGTGTAAACGTCTAATTGGTGACAGGTCAGGGAGTATAAAAGTACAAAGAGTGTGCAATGTGCAGTATATCAGGCAAAAACAGACTTTGTATAGTTTTAACAAGCAAGAAAGACATTGCTTTATGCCTATCACACTGTGTTATCTTTGGCATAGATTCAACTGACAAAATGGGAAAAATCTGTTTTGTTTTTTTACATGCTGTTAACAACAAAGTAACTAAAGATATAATTTGAGTTCTTTGCTAAAATGTCAGTTATGTGTAGACATAAGACATACATGGTGATGATACAAATACTGTGTGGGATGTCTGCTGGCACACATTTTACTTAAAGATGGGAAATATAAGAGATAGTAATTCATTCACATACTGACCAGTGTTCTACTGCTCTTCATCAGGGTCACAGTAATTCCATCCACTGTCACATATAGCTTCCTCAGGTATGACACTCCTGCAACTCCTCTCTCTTCATTCTTTGCCTCCACAGAGAACCAAGGGCCTGCACAGGGAAGACCACGACAATCAGGAATATTGTGTGTTTATATTAAAGGTGAACATTGGCATTAACATACAAACCACCACTGACATTCAGTGTCTTCTCTTTGCAGCAAACGTGAATGAAAACAATATATGTCATGCTTTGCGATGAAAATAATAAATGAGTAAATTTAGCTCATTTAAACTTTCATTTGTGCGTGTGGTGTGGCAAGACTAGAACAGGTGCAATGAAACCCAAACATCTTAATGAATAAATGTCTCAAAATAGTGTGTACCTGTGCTGTTCCTACAGCTTCTGGCCAGTGTGTAAGTACAGGTTCCCATGAAGCTGTAGTACTTCTTGTCAAAGGTGTTGTAGTGTGGATCCCCAGAAACTACACAATCCTGAAAGCCTGAGAGAGGGAAAAACATCAGGAACATCAGACTGAAACACAGATGAAGCCACTGTAGAACAATTACCTAATAACAGTGCAGTTCACTGCTGCTTTGGACTTATACTGGCATTAAAATAGATGCAAGGAATATATCATTTCCTGACTAGACAAAATTTGTATTATTCCAATTTCTTTCTGCAACTCTGTGATTTTGCATTATAAAGAATCGCATGTAACAAGTGTTGTTATAGACAAACCGTACAGAAGAGAGCAAAAGAAACATAACAGCAACACACACATAAATATTTCACTGTTATTGAAAGTAAAAGACACCTCTGGGTTGTGCTTCTCTATCTTCCATTACTCAGTCTAATTATGTATATTAGAGCAGGATAGAAAATGCTAGGTGTGAACATTACAAACATACTCGTAGGATAGCAGCCCAGCTCTCCATCCTGAAGTTACATTCATGCATTGGGGGCATTCAGAGGCTTCACAGGTAATTCCAGCTGCACCACACCAACATTTTCGCTTGCAGTCTTCCTCAAAAAACTCCTCTCCAGGCTGACAAACAGACAACAAAATTGACAATTAAGCATAGCAGGCACAGATGATTCTTTGTAGATCATTTTATGCATGTATGTATGAAAATGTTGTTTTAGAGAGGACATAAAGAGACTGCAAGTGACCTGACTTGAAATACAAAGGACCAAATGATTCACTGCCGGCCTATCAGACCCACTTCACCATACCTCATAATACTGGCCGTTCGTGTGGTTGCAGCCACACATGTTCTCCTTAACGCACTTGCCAGCACTCAGGACATAGCTGGGATCACACACACAGGACTCAGAGCAGGGACCAGAGCAGGAGGGGGGTTTTCCAAAGCATGTTTCCTGACAAGGATCTGCACAAGGTTCGTAGTGGCTGTTTGGGGGACAGCTCAGTGCTAAGCAGACCACAAGAGTTGAAGTTAGTGATAGGAAACAAAAGTATGTGCTGGTTAAAATATAAAATGACAGCTTTTCACAAGAAAAGAGATACGTCTTTGGCACTTCCAGCTGTGTTGTCTTCCGTGTAACTAGATTGTTTGAGTTTGGTGGTAACCCAGTCTCCTGCAGCCTCTTGCATATGTTGTCTGCCCAACTAGGTATGTTAAAGCAGCACTCCCTCAGTTAACTTTAGTGAGTAGGAAGCCCGTATGAAGTACTCTTCCACAAGTCAAAACTGACCAAAAACTCTCTTGTGTTATTATCTCCCAACTACTCAGCCAAGCTGATTTTTACCTAATGATATACCTAAAGATATTTTACTACTAAATTAAATCATTTGTCCTTCCAATACTCACGGCAGAAGGTTTCATTCCTCCATGGTCCAAGGTTGACCCCACGATCTTGGCACTCATTGACATAGGCTTCAATGGCTTCACACAAAATGGGCTTGGCACCATCCAGCTCACACAAGTCAAAGACACAGTCCCTGAAGTAATTCTGAGAACAAACAATCACTTTGTTACAATGCTTTATATTGTGTGACCATCTAAAACCACATATTCAAATTATTCCACTATTACGAATATCACATTTTCACCCTGAATGCACACACACATAGACAAATACAACAAGCTCAGAATAAGGACTGGTTCCACATTTGTTCATTATATGTGCACTATCCTCTACATGAACATACATTGGGGTTGACTTTGGGATGGCACACAGCAAAAGGTCCATTTTTGTCCAGCAGAATGCCACAATATCCAGAGCTTTCATACAGTTCCTGTTCTTCTTCATTGCACCCAGGGATGGTAGTGTTGGGTTTCTCATTACATCTGTCAAGACAGACCATCATCTTAAGAACATTTGTCTTTTGTCAATGGTAAATGTTTCTTTACACTTGCATCTCTGCAATACTCACTCTGGATTCATGTTCCAACTGTGTCCAAAGTCATTGGCATTTTCAGCTAAGCTTCCATCTGGTTTGCGGAAGTCATCTTTAGTATCTCCATCATAGTTGCCACACAGGCCACACAGCTTGTTCTGATAGCTGCAGGTTGCAGAAAATGATTGTGTTAGAGTCTTATGCAAGAAAGACTAACAAGTCAGCCAGAACTACAACGTGTTTTAATTCCAGCCAAGTTTCTTTTCAGCAGTAGACTAAACCCCACACATTAGTAAGACTAAAAGATCAGACATGTACATTTGATGCGTTTGATAGCATCAGCATAGAATTAACTAGTCAGGAAATTAGAAGTTTTGTGTGATTTTATCTTGAAATTTTGAGGGAGCTGTTTGTGTTGCCCCTGCTAAATTGTTTAAATAAAATATCCTAGCTGTGTCATTAATCTCTGCCTTTATCACCTTACTACTCCTTACAGATAAAGGAGTCATGTTCAGTATATGAAAATGTGTTATAGTGTCATGGTCCGTGGTCCTGTGTCTGAGGAATGCGTGACGCTCGGGTAGCCACACCCCCGGGCTATCACCGGCACATCTGTTCTCCATCACGGTGACTACACGGAGATCTACTGAACCCGGCACTGATGGAAGGCTCCACGCCAGTCCGTTAGTCCCCCCACAGTGGTAACTAGACTTCCATGAAAGCGTGCATTCCCTTCTGGTTGGAACTGTGTTTAATCTGCCTACTTGTGTCCAGGTTTCGACTCGGCGTCTGCCACCTGCCTGTCCTCCGGCTCAACTGGATCACTCGGTGCATCATCTGGCCCATTCGCTATTTCCACGGACTTTCTGCTCACGGACTGCCACACTTCCCTCCCGAGCTCCCACAGTCCCGTTCCATCGTAAGCCCCCTACTCTAACTCAGTCCTGATGTGTTTTCCCTACTTTCCGGCTCCCTAGTAATCATCTCCCCTTTCTATTGCAGCCTCCCATGGTCCCGATCCTGGCTTCCTCGTGTCATTATTCCCCGGGTTTTTAGTTTCTTGTTTTGCTCTCTAGTTTTCCCGGGTCGCCTTTCGTTATTTCAATAAAGTGTCTTTTCTGTTAGCGCGGAGTCTGCATCTGGATCCTTTTGTGCACGCGCGCCGTGGCGCATGACATATAGTTTTAGTTGTATCAGTATGGATGTAGATTTCTGGACTGGTGAACTTGTGATTAAAACACCACTTTATAAGGAAACCATGAATTTGGTCTTCACTCACTCTTCGATTACTTTGATGTCCATGAAGGCGTTTCCATCATAGCGAACCGTCACACCAAAGTTCATGGAGACAGTGTAGTGTTTTCCTGACTTGAACACAGAAATACCAGGGGACGGAGACAGTGGAAGATTGACATTGGTCCCATTAACCTGTATGGGAAAATAGGCAGAGTACATCAAATCTGGCCAACATTTTCATTTTTTAATTACCCATGTCACAACATTACTATCTGTAACTGAAAAGAAACGTTCCTTTAGTGGGCGATCGTGGCTCAAGAGTTGGGAGTTCGCCTTGTAATCGGAAGGTTGCCGGTTCGAGCCCCGGCTTGGACAGTCTCGGTCGTTGTGTCCTTGGGCAAGACACTTCACCCGTTGCCTACTGGTGGTGGTCAGAGGGCCCGGTGGCGCCAGTGTCTGGCAGCCTTGCCTCTGTCAGTGCGCCCCAGGGTGGCTGTGGCTACAATGTAGCTTGCCATCACCAGTGTGTGAATGTGTGTGTGAATGGGTGGATGACTGGATATGTAAAGCACTTTGGGGTCCTTAGGGACTAGTAAAGCGCTATATAAATACAGGCCATTTACCATTTCTCATGCCAATGATGTCTGTAAATGTCATGCCCGACATGTTAAACGCAGCTGCCGGCATGGCAAGCGAAAGTGGATCGAAGCCAAAGGCATGAATGCACAAGAAAACAGTCGACCAGAACGATACCCGAATATTAAATCGCATTGTACGATCTAACAGGGGCTCGCAGTGGCCGCTCTGTCCCAATCCGAGACAAAATGGACGAGTCCTCCTCACTGACGCTGAGCAAGACCAACGTTGAGCCAAACAGTTCTGCGATACTTTAAACCAGCCCGAGCCACTCCACTTGTTCGAGGCCGAAGAACTTGCACCCTCCATGGATCTTCTTCCTTTCGATATCGGAAAAATTAGCAACGCCGAAGTCAAGACAGCGATGTTGGCCTGGACGAGTTCCTCCCCACAATGCTGAAGGACGACGAAGCCCAGTTGGATGCCGCCCTTAGAAGTCCCCAAAATGCCTGCTGGTCAACATCGCATGTACCCTATGAATGGGTAATTTCAATGACTTCAAGAAAGCTTTTGACAACGTCCACCGGCCGACTCTATGGGCTATCCCACGTCAATATGGAGTCCCCCAGCAGTTTGTAGACGCCTTTTGTGGTCTCTGCTCCAACTCCCGGTTCTGCGTCCAGACAGATGATTGGATGGCGCCCTTAGAAGACCCCTAAACGCCTGCTGGACAACATCGTGTGTACTCTATGAATGGGCAAAAGGTGTTATCACCAAACTTCCCGAAAGGCGATTTGGGTGACTGTAACAACTGCCGGGCATCACGCTCCTGTCGGTACCCGGGAAAGTGCTTTGCCTTATTCCTTTGAATTGGCTACTGGGCCCCTACTGGGCTCGACTACGGAAGACCTCCAAGAATGGACTGCAGCTTTGCAGAGGCAGGTGAGGAAGTCGGATTACGAATAAGCGCCAAGAAAACCAAGGTACTCGGAGTTGGCTACACAACTGCCCATGTTCCCGTCATAATCAACCAATAACGTGCTGATAAGTTGGAAAATTTCACATATCTGGGCAGCATCATCTCGAATTATGGGATCTCTGATCAAGATGTAAACTCCAAAGTAGGGAAGGCTGCCGGTGTTCTCCGACGTCTCCAATTCAATTCATTTAAATTCAATGTTTTTTATATAGTCCCAAATCACAAAAACAGTCACCTCAAGGTGCTTTATATTGTAAGATAGACCTTACAATAATACATACAGAGAAAAAAAACAACAATCATATGACCCCATTGACCAAGCACTTTGGTGACAGAGGCGTCTTTTAACAGGAAGAAGCCTTTGGCAGAACCAGCGAAAGCAAGGCCGACCAAATATCACATGGCGTCGAATGTTTATGGATGATCTGAAAACAGTCGACATCGCCTGGGACGAAGCTGAAACATTCGCCCCTGACCGTCATCGATGGAGATTGTTAGCTGCCCGATGCGTCGCTCGGCGTAGGAGGAACTAAGTGTTAAGTGTAAGTGCAAGTTTCTTTCCATGGTCAATTGCAGTGGTTTTCAGAAGTGTTCCTGAGCATGTGCAGTGATTTGTACCACAGAATGATGTTTGTTTGTAATGCAGTAGTGCCTGATAACGTGAAAGCGTGATTGGTTTTCACATGCAAAACATCCTGTTTCTTCCTCTCATGTCTTACCTGCACAGTGCCACCTTTGAGAATGGAGATCTTTATCATCTGTGCGTATACATGTACGGCATTCACATAGGAGATGGTCGGCCTGTTATACCGGTTTTCATTGTCAGTATGGACCTCAAAGTAGGGCACAGTTGTGTCATTGCATGGACTAGACATCAGATAGCTGCAGTTGCCCATGAAGTCATATTTGCGTTTGTCAAAGCTGGTGTAGTGTGGATCGCCAGATGCAATGCATGTGGATGTACCTAAAGGAATAATATAAGAGAAAATTGTAATTTCCACACTGTCAACTATCAAGTTATACCGACTGACTGTAAAGCACAACACAAGGTGCTCCTTGTGCAGATGTAATTTATTACACTGCATTAAATCAAGTCAACAACAATAAAGTCAACAAACATTATTACCTTTAGGATAACAGCCTGCAACACCATTAACCTCTCGACACTCTTCAGTGGGGTCACAGGAGTTATCAACACATTCCAAAGTGTAGTTCCCTACACAGCGACACAGCTTTGTGCAGCCATCTCCAAATACTATCTCACCAGGCTGGATAAAATGAAAACAATCAGTACTGAGAAAGTATACTGTATGTCTTTAAATGTACACTGTACACAGTACTAACTAGGACATCTGACCTCATAATAGTTATTGTTGTCATCTAAACAACCACACTTGTCCAGCGGCACGCAGTGCCGTCCTTTGAAGACAAAGCCTGGTTTGCAGAAACACCCAGTGATGCAGGAGCCAGAACAGTTGGTAGAGGGTTCCATACATGTAGGAATGCAAGCTGGACCACACTCTATATACTCTGCGTTAGGAGGACACAGGTCTGGGTAGAAAGAAAAAGGATTACTGGAAAATGAGCAGATACTCTTTCAGGAACTAAAAAGGTAGGAAGTTATTATGCAGTGTTAACAAACTCAGTCCAAACTAACAACATCAGTTGAGACAGTGGAGGTTTGGAGCGCCTGTTGCTAAAATGACTGCATTTATTTACTGCATTTCTAGGGCCAGTCGGATAAAGCACTTGACACTGTAATCCACATCCATGCATTCATGCAGCTATTTCTATGTGAAGCTGTGTGATTAACATACCCAGAGGGTGGCATTCATATTCTCCATCTTGTAGTTGGCAGCTCTCAGTAGTTGGGTTACAGCTGGTGTTATGACACTGTAGCAGACCTCCACTGTGACACATACACTTTTGTTCACAACCCTCCAAGTACCAGTCATCGCCCACCTGACAAATGTACACAGAATGCAAAAAACAATCAAAATTTTGTCATGTAATTCTCTCTTATATGTCTGTGAAGGTTCTCAGTCATCCAGGTCATCGTAGTCAAAGGAGCTTGCAAAGAAAAGCGTCTGGACTTCTTTAAGTCTTTAAGTCTTCAAGCAACTTAAAGAAGTCCAGACGCCTTTCTTTGCAGACTCCTTTTACAATCTCTCTTATACATCACACGAATATAAAGATCAAAATGATAAATATACATTTGGATGCAAACCAGGGATTCTGTATGCCACTAACTAATTAGGCCAACCTTTACTCATTTATTTATTGATTTTGGGCTTGCTAATTGTGGTGGCACCAGTATGTAAATGCTATGACATAAATACAAATTCTATAACACCAGTGTCTTTTAAATTCAGGTATCTGTGCTTGATAAGTTGAAAGTAAAAATCTTTGTTGTAAAACCAATATTTATGTGCCAACAGTTCTCTGCAGTCTATGCACCCTTAATTTAGTTGAGTTTTAATTTCTTTTGTACTGTAGGGTCTTTGTGTCTCTTGGCGTCTCTCCTGTTGAAGTTATAAAGAGAACTGAAAATGATGTTAGCATGAGCTTAGCACATTTTAAAGGTAAATGGAATATGGTTTTAATTGTTTGGAGGCTGTTTCCACTTACAGGGTGATAGGTTCCACTGGGGTCCACACAACCACAGTCTCTCAGTTCCACACATTTGTCATCACTGAGAATGAAGCCAGGGTTACACTCACAACCCTCCACACACACTTCCTCACAGCCAGGTGGTCCCACCACACCAAGACATGTCTCAGGACATGAACTCACACAAAGGGAGTAGGAGCTATTGGGAGGACAGGTCAGAGCTGTGTGGACAAACACAGGGATGAACAATAATGAGAGGGAACAATGGTGGACAAATAGCAACAGAGAAGGGAATGGGTAGTACGATGATTCAAAGACAGGGCACCTACGTATCTCATATTGATTTAACTCAGTGTCATAAATGAAAGCAAGGATAATATTAACTGCATTGAATATTTTACATTGGTTTCAGCATTGTGCACTGTATCTTAAACTCTCCTCCCTATACAATTATAAATATGATTATAAGTTCAATTATAATATTGGTGAGCAGGATGTAATATATCGTGGTTATATTTACAGGTGGAGACAACTTCCAAATGGAGAAGCTATGGCATGCACCCCATTTAAAAGGGAAAATGCTGAAGGCTCATTTTTCCAAAATGAGAAGGTATTATTCAAGTCTTTATTCATTTATGCTTCAGAATGGGGCTTATCAAGCCAATGGGTGATGTCACTGTGACTATGTTTTATATATCATATATCTTTTAGATATATTTGGTATATCTCAGATTCAAACTTACGGCAGAAGTCTGGAGTTCTCCATTGGTAGACTTTGGCTCCAGCACTATGACATGCGTCAGTGTAGGCCTGGAGCTGGTCACACAGCACGTGCTGCTGGCCGTTGAACTGACACATGTCATACACACAGCTTTGGAAGAATGGAGTGGGATTAACTACACTGATGCACTCCCTGTAACAGAGAAAAGCACTCACTTAGCTTAGGTAGGAAAAGGCAGAGGCTCATATATACTGAAAATCTGAGTTCGAACAAACAAAAAAGCTACATTTGGTGGTGAAACAGTCAACAACTGTTGCATAAGTTTAGCAACAATTCACTAGCTGGGGCCAGTGAATAAAGGTGAATGGCTTAAACATGAATTGAACTGCGGTTTGGGGAAGGTGTCGCTGTGGACTGGCAGCGGCTCCTGGGCTGGCAGATCCCCAAAGAAGACATCCCCTAGAAGCAGCAATAACTGTGCATTGTAAAGGTGAAAGACCTCTGCAGGAATAATTCAATTTTTCAATTCAATTTATTTATACAGCCCCAAATCACAACAACAATCGCCTCAAGGTGCTTTATATGTAAGGTAGACCCTGCAATAATACCTACAGGGACAACCCAACAATCATATGACTCCCTATGAGCAAGCACTTTGGCGACAGTGGGAAGGAACAACTCCTTTTAACGGGAAGAAACTTCTGGCAAAACCATTCCCATGGAAGGACAGCCATCTGCCGCTACCGGCTGAGGTGGAAGAAGGAAAGCAGGACAAAAGAGAAGCGCAGAGAGAAGGTGGTCAAGGATTCCAGAGAGTAGAGTGGTTGAGCTTGGAAAATTACGAAGGAATGGTGGGAGAAGACATCAAAGCAGATTTCAGACAACGAAAGACCTTAATAGTTGAATGAGGAGAACCCCTGATCGAGTGGCAACGTGGCTCGACTGGTGTGGAGGCTGGATGGATGCATGTCTGTATTTTAAGACATGAGGCAATGGCTTGACGGCTCGTAAAAGCTTTTACTGCTGTGTTTGAAAATGATCGATATGGAGACAAAGACTGGCAATACGGTGTCAGGAATGTGCATTGTTATGTTTTGGGAAAGATAGATAGATGCATGGACCCTGGCATCCAAGTTATTGGGGAAAGAGGGAAGAGAAACTGGCTTCCAGGTGCCAAAAAGCACGCTGCTGCATTTTGTGAAAAAGGGAGGGAATTCTGCTGGATTTGTAAAGGAGGAAAAGAGAAAGAAAACATGGCATCCCAGTGCTAAAAGCCTGCTGCTGTATTTGTACAGGAGGAACAGAGAAAGTAACCCAGAATCCCGGGCCCAAAGGCTTGCTGGTGCATTTGCAAAGGAGGGACAGAGAAAGAGAACCTGGCATTCCTGTGCCAAAAAACATGCTGCTGCACTTTTGTGAAAAGGGGACTGAGGGAAGAGGAACTGGCAACCCGGTGCTAAAAACTTGCTACTGCATTTGTGAAGGAGGGATAGAGAAAGAAAGCCTGACATCCTAGTGCCAAGAAGCATGCTGCTGCATTGTGCGAGGGAGGGACAGAGGTGAAGGGAAACTGGAATCTCCTGGGTAGAAAACCTTGTTGATGCATTTGCAAATGAGGAATAATAACTTGGCATCCTGGTGCCAAAAGCTCACTGTTGTATTTGCAAAGGAGGGTTATAGAAAGAACCTGGTATCCCAGGTTTTTTGCAACGATAGATAGAGATAAACTGGCAAGTCATTGGTAAAAACTTGCTGCTGCGTTTGAGAATGAGGGACAAAGAACGAAACTGGCATCCCAGTGCCAGAAGGGTTCATTACAGCATTACAGTAATAGTATTGAAAATATTTATTCATATTTTACAGGTCAGTTGGGTGATTACCAGGCATGCTGCCATCTATTTCATGATTTTATAAGGTCAGGAAAAAAACGTTGTAAAATCCCAGGAATCCCATCAGTTTAACCAAGTCGATAACCAAAAGTGGAGGGGTTGTGAATTCTTACCGGAAGGGTCCAGTAGGGTCTGTAATTTTACCACATTTCTCTGGTTTTACAACTTCAGCTTCCAAGTTGGGGTCACAGTCTGGATCAGGCTTTGTTCCTGGGGTACATCTGGTCAACACAAATACAAAACACAGTTACATCCTCTTCAGTTTGTCAGAAAGAGTCCAACAGTAAGGTAACAAAAGACATAACCAGAAGAAATCCAAAAGACAGAAAGATAGATATGTTGGAACTCACGAGTCATCTTCATCGTCTTTGGTCTGCCAGCTGTTCCCAAAGTCATTACTATTTCCTGCCACAGTGCCATCTGGTTTAGTGAAGTCATTGTCTGGGTTCCCATCATAGTCACCACAAAGGCCACACATTTGGTCATAGTAGGAGCTGGTAGAACAAAGTCAAGGTAGGATATGTAGGATTAAAATAAGACAAGCTTAAGAATATTTGCAATGTTTAATAAGGTGTTGCTTGGCCTTTTATTGTAATTCTAGAAACAAATGAAGAGAATGCAAAAATCCCTGATACAATAAACCAGGGCATCGTTAGTATATATTAAAAGTTGCATAAGTCCACAATATGCACACAAATGGACTGCTTTGTTTTCACAACATACATAAAACAACTGGTGATGTTCAGCAGTTTAGATCGTTATCTATCAGAGTTTCTTCAGATCATTAGGTTATGGTTGCATCGGAGGAAAGTGGTCATCAAAAAAAGAATGATGGAGCAATGGAGACAGTGGTCAGGTGTATTGTATGAATGTGTGAAGCAAATAAAAAGAAGTTCTACAATATCAAAATAGTTCAAACCAATATTTATACTAACCTGGGAACTGAGATCTGGGCATAATGGTTTCCATCCCAACGCACCCTCAAGCCAAAGGATGTTTGAAGCGTGATGAACTGACCAGCAAGACTAATAGACATGAGAGGAGAGGGGGAGTGGGGCAGAGCCACCCGTACTCCGTTCACCTGATTCAGTGATGAAGAAAAAGATGTTAAGAATATAAGAATATAAAGATGTTAAACAGACTGTGTAAACGTCTAATTGGTGGACAGGTCAGGGAGTATAAAAGTACAAAGAGTGTGCAATGTGCAGTATATCAGGCAAAAACAGACTTTGTATAGTTTTAACAAGCAAGAAAGACATTGCTTTATGCCTATCACACTGTGTTATCTTTGGCATAGATTCAACTGACAAAATGGGAAAAATCTGTTTGTTTTTTTTTACATGCTGTTAGCAACAAAGTAACTAAAGATATAATTTGAGTTCTTTGCTAAAATGTCAGTTATGTGTAGACATAAGACATACATGGTGATGATACAACTACTGTGTGGGATGTCTGCTGGCACACATTTTACTTAAAGATGGGAAATATAAGAGATAGTAATTCATTCATATACTGACCAGTGTTCTACTGCTCTTCATCAGGGTCACAGTAATTCCATCCACTGTCACATATAGCTTCCTCAGGTATGACACTCCTGCAACTCCTCTCTCTTCATTCTTTGCCTCCACAGAGAACCAAGGGCCTGCACAGGGAAGACCACGACAATCAGGAATATTGTGTGTTTATATTAAAGGTGAACATTGGCATTAACATACAAACCACCACTGACATTCAGTGTCTTCTCTTTGCAGCAAACGTGAATGAAAACAACATCTGTCATGCTTTGCGATGAAAATAATAAATGAGTAAATTTAGCTAATTTAAACTTTCATTTGTGCGTGTGGTGTGGCAAGACTAGAACAGGTGCAATGAAACCCAAACATCTTAATGAATAAATGTCTCAAAATAGTGTGTACCTGTGCTGTTCCTACAGCTTCTTGCCAGTGTGTAAGTACAGGTTCCCATGAAGCTGTAGTACTTCTTGTCAAAGGTGTTGTAGTGTGGATCCCCAGAAACTACACAATCCTGAAAACCTGAGAGAGGGAAAAACATCAGGAACATCAGACTGAAACACAGATGATAAAAAAGATGCAAAGAATATGTCATTTCCTGACTAGACAAAAATTTTCTGCAACTCTGTGATTTTGTATTATAAAGAATCGCATGTAACAAGTGTTGTTATAGACAAACTGTACAGAAGAGAGCAAAAGAAACATAACAGCAACACACACATAAATATTTCACTGTTATTGAAAGTAAAAGACGCCTGTGGTTTGTGCTTCTCTATCTTCCATTACTCAATCTAATTATGTATATTAGAGCAGGGATAGAAAATGCTAGTTTGAGAACTTTGACAAAGTCTACAGCATCACGTCAAACACAGTTGCAAAACTTTTCAGGTTGGCAGTCCAACCCATGAGATCTGGAAACCTACTTAGAATATAATGGCTACAGCTTTGCTGTGTTTTTTTTAGGTGTGAACATTACAAACATACTCGTAGGATAGCAGCCCAGCTCTCCATCCTGAAGTTTACATTCATGCATTGGGGGGCACTCAGAGGCTTCACAGGTAATTCCAGCTGCACCACACCAACATTTTCGCTTGCAGTCTTCCTCAAAAAACTCCTCTCCAGGCTGACAAACAGACAACAAAATTGACAATTAAGCATAGCAGGCACAGATGATTCTTTGTAGATCATTTTATGCATGTATGTATGAAAATGTTGTTTTAGAGAGGACATAAAGAGACTGCAAGTGACCTGACTTGAAATACAAAGGACCAAATGATTCACTGCCGGCCTATCAGACCCACTTCACCATACCTCATAATACTGGCCGTTCGTGTGGTTGCAGCCACACATGTTCTCCTTAACGCACTTGCCAGCACTCAGGACATAGCTGGGATCACACACACAGGACTCAGAGCAGGGACCAGAGCAGGAGGGGGGTTTTCCAAAGCATGTTTCCTGACAAGGATCTGCACAAGGTTCGTAGTGGCTGTTTGGGGGACAGCTCAGTGCTAAGCAGACCACAAGAGGTTGAAGTTAGTGATAGGAAACAAAAGTATGTGCTGGTTAAAATATAAAATGACAGCTTTTCACAAGAAAAGAGATACGTCTTTGGCACTTCCAGCTGTGTTGTCTTCCGTGTAACTAGATTGTTTGAGTTTGGTGGTAACCCAGTCTCCTGCAGCCTCTTGGCATATGTTGTCTGCCCAACTAGGTATGCTAAAGCAGCACTCCCTCGGTTAACTTTAGTGAGTAGGAAGCCCGTATGAAGTACTCTTCCACAAGTCAAAACTGACCATAAACTTCTTGTGTTATTTTCTCCCAACTACTCAGCCAAGCTGATTTTTACCTAATGATATACCTAAAGATATTTTACTACTAAATTAAATAATTTGTCCTTCCAATACTCACGGCAGAAGGTTTCATTCCTCCATGGTCCAAGGTTGACCCCACGATCTTGGCATTCATTGACATAGGCTTCAATGGCTTCACACAAAATGGGCTTGGCACCATCCAGCTCACACAAGTCAAAGACACAGTCCCTGAAGTAATTCTGAGAACAAACAATCACTTTGTTACAATGCTTTATATTGTGTGACCATCTAAAACCATATATTCAAATTATTCCACTATTACGAATATCACATTTTCGCCCTGAATGCACACACACATAGACAAATACAACAAGCTCAGAATAAGGACTGGTTCCACATTTGTTCATTATATGTGCACTATCCTCTACATGAACATACATTGGGGTTGACTTTGGGATGGCACACAGCAAAAGGTCCATTTTTGTCCAGCAGAATGCCACAATATCCAGAGCTTTCATACAGTTCCTGTTCTTCTTCATTGCACCCAGGGATGGTAGTGTTGGGTTTCTCATTACATCTGTCAAGACAGACCATCATCTTAAGAACATTTGTCTTTTGTCAATGGTAAATGTTTCTTTACACTTGCATCTCTGCAATACTCACTCTGGATTCATGTTCCAACTGTGTCCAAAGTCATTGGCATTTTCAGCTAAGCTTCCATCTGGTTTGCGGAAGTCATCTTTGGTATCTCCATCATAGTTGCCACACAGGCCACACAGCTTGTTATGATAGCTGCAGATTGCAGAAAATGATTGTGTTAGAGTCTTATGCAAGAAAGACTAACAAGTCAGCCAGAACTACAACGTGTTTTAATTCCAGCCAAGTTTCTTTTCAGCAGTAGACTAAACCCCACACATTAGTAAGACTAAAAGATCAGACATGTACATTTGATGGTTTGATAGCATCAGCATAGAATTAACTAGTCAGGAAATTAGAAGTTTTGTGTGATTTTATCTTGAAATTTTGAGGGAGCTGTTTGTGTTGCCCCTGCTAAATTGTTTAAATAAAATATCCTAGCTGTGTCATTAATCTCTGCCTTTATCACCTTACTACTCCTTACAGATAAAGGATTCATGTTCAGTATATGAATATGTGTATAGTTTTAGTTGTATCAGTATGGATGTAGATTTCTGGACTGGTGAACTTGTGATTAAAACACCACTTTATAAGGAAACCATGAATTTGGTCTTCACTCACTCTTCGATTACTTTAATGTCCATGAAGGAGTTTCCATCATATCGAACCGTCACACCAAAGTTCATGGAGACAGTGTAGTGTTTTCCTGACTTGAACACAGAAATACCAGGGGCCGGGGACAGTGGCAGATTGACATTGGTCCCATTAACCTGTATGGGAAAATAGGCAGAGTACATCAAATCTGGTCAATTATTAGCCAACATTTTCATTTTTGAATTACTCATGTCACAACATTACTATCTGTAACTGAAAAGAAACGTTCCTTTATCATGCCAATGATGTCTGAACAACTCAGCTCTTGCCCGACATGTCAAATGCAGCTGCCGGCATGACAAGCGAGAGTGGATCGAAGCCAAAGGCATGGATGCCCAAGAAAACAGTAGACCAGAACGATACCCGAATATTAAATCGCATTGTACCAGATCTAACAGGGGCTCGCAGTGGCCGCTTGGTCCCAATCCGAGACAAAATGGACGAGTCCTCCTCACTGAAGCTGAGCAAGACCAATGTTGAGCCAAACAGTTCTGCGATACTTTAAACCAGCCCGAGCCACTCCACTTGTTCGAGGCCAAAGAACTTGCACCCTCCATGGATCTTCTTCCTGTCGATATCGGAAAAATCATCAACGCCGAAGTCAAGACAGCGATGTGGCCTGGACGAGTTCCTCCCACAATGCTGAAGGACGACGAAGCCCAGTTGGATGCCGCCCTTAGAAGTCCCCAAAATGCCTGCTGGTCAACATCGTGTGTACCCTATGAATGGGTAATTTCAATGACTTCAAGAAAGCTTTTGACAACGTCCACCAGCCGACTCTATGGGCTATCCCACGTCAATATGGAGTCCCCCAGCAGTTTGTAGACGCCTTTTGTGGTCTCTGCTCCAACTCCCGGTTCTGCGTCCAGACAGATGATTGGATGGCGCCCTTAGAAGACCCCTAAACGCCTGCTGGACAACATCGCGTGTACCCTATGAATGGGCAAAAGGTGATATCACCAAACTTCCCGAAAGGCGATTTGGGTGACTGTAACAACTGCCGGGGCATCACGCTCCTGTCGGTACCCGGGAAAGTGCTTTGCCTCATTCTTTTGAATTGGCTACTGGGCCCCTACTGGGCTCGACTACGGAAGACCTCCAAGAATGGACTGCAGCTTTGCAGAGGCAGGTGAGGAAGTCGGATTACGAATCAGCGCCAAGAAAACCAAGGTACTCAGAGTTGGCTACACAACTGCCCATGTTCCCGTCATAATCAACCAATAACGTGCTGATAAGTTGGAAAATTTCACATATCTGGGCAGCATCATCTCGAATATGGGATCTCTGATCAAGATGTAACTCCGAGTAGGGAAGGCTGCCGGTGTCCTCCGACATCTCCAATTCAATTCATTTAAATTCAATGTTTTTTATATAGCCCAAATCACAAAAACAGTCACCTCAAGGTGCTTTATATTGTAAGATAGACCTTACAATAATACATACAGAGAAAAAAAACAACAATCATATGACCCCATTGACCAAGCACTTTGGTGACAGAGGCGTCTTTTAACAGGAAGAAGCCTTTGGCAGAACCAGCGAAAGCAAGGCCGACCAAATATCACATGGCGTCGAATGTTTATGGATGATCTGAAAACAGTCGACATCGCCTGGGACGAAGCTGAAACATTCGCCCCTGACCGACATCGATGGAGATTGTTAGCTGCCTGATGCGTTGCTCGGCGTAGGAGGAACTAAGTGTAAGTGTAAGTGCAAGTTTCTTTCCATGGTCAATTGCAGTGGTTTTCAGAAGTGTTCCTGAGCATGTGCAGTGGTTTGTACCACAGAATGATGTTTGTTTGTAATGCAGTAGTGCCTAAAACTGAAAGCGTGATTGGTTTTCACATGCAAAACATCCTGTTTCTTCTCTCATGTCTTACCTGCACAGTGCCACCTTTGAGAATGGAGATCTTTATCATCTGTGCGTATACATGTACGGCATTCACATAGGAGATGGTCGGCCTGTTATACCGGTTTTCATTGTCAGTATGGACCTCAAAGTAGGGCACAGTTGTGTCATTGCATGGACTAGACATCAGATAGCTGCAGTTGCCCATGAAGTCATATTTGCGTTTGTCAAAGCTGGTGTAGTGTGGATCGCCAGATGCAATGCATGTGGATGTACCTAAAGGAATAATATAAGAGAAAATTGTAATTTCCACACTGTCAACTATCAAGTTATACCGACTGACTGTAAAGCACAACACAAGGTGCTCTTTGTGCAGATGTAATTTATTACACTGCATTAAATCAAGTCAACAACAATAAAGTCAACAAACATTATTACCTTTAGGATAACAGCCTGCAACACCATTAACCTCTCGACACTCTTCAGTGGGGTCACAGGAGTTATCAACACATTCCAAAGTGTAGTTCCCTACACAGCGACACAGCTTTGTGCAGCCATCTCCAAATACTATCTCACCAGGCTGGATAAAATGAAAACAATCAGTACTGAGAAAGTATACTGTATGTCTTTAAATGTACACTGTACACAGTACTAACTAGGACATCTGACCTCATAATAGTTATTGTTGTCATCTAAACAACCACACTTGTCCAGTGGCACGCAGTGCCGTCCTTTGAAGACAAAGCCTGGTTTGCAGAAACACCCAGTGATGCAGGAGCCAGAACAGTTGGTAGAGGGTTCCATACATGTAGGAATGCAAGCTGGACCACACTCTATATACTCTGCGTTAGGAGGACACAGGTCTGGATAGAAAGAAAAAGGATTACTGGAAAATGAGCAGATACTCTTTCAGGAACTAAAAAGGTAGGAAGTTATTATGCAGTCTTAACAAACTCAGTCCAAAAAAACAACATCAGTTGAGACAGTGGAGGTTTGGAGCGCCTGTTGCTAAAATGACTGCATTTATTTACTGCATTTCTAGGGCCAGTCGGATAAAGCACTTGACACTGTAATCCACATCCATGCATTCATGCAGCTATTTCTATGTGAAGCTGTGTGATTAATATACCCAGAGGGTGGCATTCATATTCTCCATCTTGTAGTTGGCAGCTCTCAGTAGTTGGGTTACAGCTGGTGTTATGACACTGTAGCAGACCTCCACTGTGACACATACACTTTTGTTCACAACCCTCCAAGTACCAGTCATCGCCCACCTGACAAATGTACACAGAATACAAAAAACAATCAAAATTCTGTCATGTAATTCTCTCTTATACATCACACGAATATAAAGATCTAAATGATAAATATACATTTGGATGCAAACCAGGGATTCTGTATGCCACTAACTAATTAGGCCAACCTTTACTCATTTATTTATTGATTTTGGGCTTGCTAATTGTGGTGGCACCAGTATGTAAATGCTATGACAAAATACAAATTCTATAACACCAGTGTCTTTTAAATTCAGGTAAATACAGTATAATAAATATAACTGTGCTTGATAAGTTGAAAGTAAAAATCTTTGTTGTAAAACCAATATTTATGTGCCAACAGTTCTCTGCAGTCTATGCACCCTTAATTTAGTTGAGTTTTAATTTCTTTTGTACTGTAGGGTCTTTGTGTCTCTTGGCGTCTCTCCTGTTGAAGTTATAAAGAGAACTGAAAATGATGTTAGCATGAGCTTAGCACATTTTAAAGGTAAATGGAATATGGTTTTAATTGTTTGGAGGCTGTTTCCACTTACAGGGTGATAGGTTCCACTGGGGTCCACACAACCACAGTCTCTCAGTTCCACACATTTGTCATCACTGAGAATGAAGCCAGGGTTACACTCACAACCCTCTACACACACTTCCTCACAGCCAGGTGGTCCCACCACACCAAGACATGTCTCAGGACATGAATTCACACAAAGGGAGTAGGAGCTATTGGGAGGACAGGTCAGAGCTGTGTGGACAAACACAGGGATGAACAACAATGAGAGGGAACAATGGTGGACAAATAGCAACAGAGAAGGGAGGGGGAGTAGGATGATTCAAAGACAGGGCACCTACGTATCTCATATTGATTTAACTCAGTGTCATAAATGAAAGCAAGGACAATATTAACTGCATTGAATATTTTACATTGGTTTCAGCATTGTGCACTGTATCTTAAACTCTCCTCCCTATACATTATAAATATGATTATAAGTTCAATTATAATGTTGGTGAGCAGGATGTAATATATCGTGGTTATATTTACAGGTGGATACAACTTCCAAATGGAGAAGCTATGGCATGCACCCCATTTAAAAGGGAAAATGCTGAAGGCTCATGTTTCCAAATGAAAAAGTATTATTCAAGGCTTTATTCATTTATGCTTCAGAATGGGGCTTATCAAGCCAATGGGCGATGTCACTGTGACTATGTTTTATATATACTTTATGATATTCAGAAAGAACAGCTGATATTATTATTAAACTATCATATATCATTTAGATATATTTGGTATATCTCAGATTCAAACTTACGGCAGAAGTCTGGAGTTCTCCATTGGTAGACTTTGGCTCCAGCACTATGACATGCGTCAGTGTAGGCCTGGAGCTGGTCACACAGCACATGCTGCTGTCCGTTGAACTGACACATGTCATACACACAGCTTTGGAAGAATGGAGTGGGATTAACTACACTGATGCACTCCCTGTAACAGAAAAGCACTCACTTAGCTTAGGTAGGAAAAGGCAGAGGCTCATATATACTGAAAATCTGAGTTCAAACAAACAAACAAGCTACAATTGGTGGTGAAACAGTCAACAATTGTTGCATAAGTTTAGCAACAATTCACTAGCTGGGGCCATTGAATAAAGGTGAATGGCTTAAACATGAATTGAACTGCGGTTTGGGGAAGGTCTCGCTGGGGACTGGCGGTGGCTCCTGGGCTGGCAGATCCCCATGTACTAATGAGAAGTGAAACAGTGAAAGAATTGAAATTGAAAAAGGGGAGGGAGGGTTGGGAATAAATGGAAGAACAAACAGCTAGTAGAACTGGGGGATTATATATAGATAAGAACAGGAAGGGAAGTGTTTGGATACTTTATCTCTAATTCACTAGCTGAGCCCACATCCTCATTTTACATTTTACAGTGTTCCTATTAGAAAAAGGTGAATGGCTTAAACATGAGTTGAACTGAGCTTTAGGGAAGGGCGCAGAGGGGACTGGGCCTCCCTGAGATCCAAGAAGGCATTAGAACAGCAATAATGTGCATTGTGAAGGTAAAGACCTCTGCAGTAATAATTCAATTTTTCAATTCAATTTATTTATACAGCCCCAAATCACAACAACAATCGCCTCAAGGCGCTTTATATGTAAGGTAGACCCTGCAGTAATACCTACAGAAACAACCCAACAATCATATGACTCCCTATGAGCAAGCACTTTGGCGACAGTGGGAAGGAACAACTCCTTTTAACAGGAAGAAACCTCTGGCAAAACCATTCCCATGGAAGGACAGCCATCTGCCGCTACAGGTTGAGGTGGAAGAAGGAAAGCAGGACAAAAGAGAAGCGCAGAGAGAAGGTGGTCAAGGATTCCAGAGAGTGGAGTGGTTGAGTTCGGAAAATTACGAAGGAATGGTGGGAGAAGACATCAAAGCAAATTTCAGAAACGAAAGACCTTAATAGTTGAATGAGGAGAACCCCTGATTGAGTGGCAACGTGGCTCGACTGGTGTGGAGGCTGGATGGATGCATGTCTGTATTTTAAGACATGAGGCAATGGCTTGACGGCTCGTAAAAGCTTTTACTGCTGTGTTTGAAAATGATCGATATGGAGACAAAGACTGGCAATATGGTGTCAGGAATGTGCATGTTACATTTTGGAAAGATAGATAATGCATGGACCCTGGCATCCAAGTTATTGGGGAAAGAGGAAAGAGAAACTGGCTTCCAGGTTCCAAAAAGCACGCTGCTGCATTTTGCTCAGGAGAGATAGAGGGAAGAAAAGCTTGCTACTGCAAATGAAGGAAAAGAACCTGGCATCCCGGTGCCAGATGTATGCTGGCGAATTTGAAAAAGACGGACAGAGAAATAGAACCTGGAATACCATTGCAAAAAGCATTCGGCTGGATTTGTAAAGGAGGAAAAGAGAAAGAAAACATGGCATCCCAGTACTAAAAGCCTGCTGCTGCATTTGTACAGGAGGAACAGAAAAAGAAACCCAGAATCCCGGGCCAAAGCTTGCTGGTGCATTGCAAACGAGGGACAGAGAAAGAGAACCTGGCATTCCAGTGCCAAAACACATGCTGCTGCATTTTTGTGAAAAGGGGACGGAGGGAAGAGGAACTGGCAACCCGGTGCTAAAAACTTGCTCCTGCATTTAAGAAGGAGGGGTAGATAAAGAAAGCCTGACATCCTAGTGCCAAGAAGCATGCTGCTGCATTGTGCGAGGGAGGGACAGAGGGGAAGGGAAACTGGAATCTCCTGGGTAGAAAACCTTGTTGATGCATTTGCAAATGAGGAATAATAACTTGGCATCCTGGTGCCAAAAGCTCACTGTGTATTTGCAAAGGAGGGTTATAGAAAGAACCTGGTATCCCAGGTTTTTTGCAACGATAGATAGAGATAAACTGGCAAGTCATTGGTAAAAACTGCTGCTGCGTTTGAGAATGAGGGACAAAGAACAAACTGGCATCCCAGTGCCAGAAGGGTTCATTACAGCATTACAGTAATAGTATTGAAAATATTTATTCATATTTTACAGGTCAGTTGGGTGATTACCAGGCATGCTGCCATCTAGTTCATGATTTTATAAGGTCAGGAAAAAACGTTGTAAAAACCCAGGAATCCCATCAGTTTAACCAAGTCGATAACCAAAAGTGGAGGGGTTGTGAATTCTTACCGGAAGGGTCCAGTAGGGTCTGTAATTTTACCACATTTCTCTGGTTTTACAACTTCAGCTTCCAAGTTGGGGTCACAGTCTGGATCAGGCTTTGTTCCTGGGGTACATCTGGTCAACACAAATACAAAACACAGTTACATCCTCTTCAGTTTGTCAGAAAGAGTCCAACAGTAAGGTAACAAAAGACATAACCAGAAGAAATCCAAAAGACAGAAAGATAGATATGTTGGAACTCACGAGTCATCTTCATCGTCTTTGGTCTGCCAGCTGTTCCCAAAGTCATTACTATTTCCTGCCACAGTGCCATCTGGTTTAGTGAAGTCATTGTCTGGGTTCCCATCATAGTCACCACAAAGGCCACACATTTGGTCATAGTAGGAGCTGGTAGGACAAAGTCAAGGTAGGATATGTAGGATTAAAATAAGACAAGCTTAGGAATATTTGCAATGTTTAATAAGGTGTTGCTTGGCCTTTTATTGTAATTCTAGAAACAAATGAAGAGAATGCAAAGATCCCTGATACAATAAACCAGGGCATCGTTAGTATATATTAAAAGTTGCATAAGTCCACAATATGCACACAAATGGACTGCTTTGTTTTCACAACATACATAAAACAACTGGTGATGTTCAGCAGTTTAGATCGTTATCTATCAGAGTTTCTTCAGATCGTTAGGTTATGGTTGCATCGGAGGAAAGTGGTCATCAAAAAAAGAATGATGGAGCAATGGAGACAGTGGTCAGGTGTATTGTATGAATGTGTGAAGCAAATAAAAAGAAGTTCTACAATATCAAAATAGTTCAAACCAATATTTATACTAACCTGGGAACTGAGATCTGGCATAATGGTTTCCATCCCAACGCACCCTCAGCCAAAGGATGTTTGAAGCGTGATGAACTGACCAGCAAGACTAATAGACATGAGAGGAGAGGGGGAGTGGGGCAGAGCCACCCGTACTCCGTTCACCTGATTCAGTGATGAAGAAAAAGATGTTAAGAACATAAGAATATAAAGATGTTAAACAGACTGTGTAAACGTCTAATTGGTGGACAGGTCAGGGAGTATAAAAGTACAAAGAGTGTGCAATGTGCAGTATATCAGGCAAAAACAGACTTTGTATAGTTTTAACAAGCAAGAAAGACATTGCTTTATGCCTATCACACTGTGTTATCTTTGGCATAGATTCAACTGTAAAATGGGAAAAATCTGTTTTGGTTTTTACATGTGTTAGCAACAATGTAACTAAAGATATAATTTGAGTTCTTTGCTAAAATGTCAGTTATGTGTAGACATAAGACATCCATGGTGATGATACAACTCTGTGTGGGATGTCTGCTGGCACACATTTTACTTAAAGATGGGAAATACAAGAGATAGTAATTCATTCATATACTGACCAGTGTTCTACTGCTCTTCATCAGGGTCACAGTAATTCCATCCACTGTCACATATAGCTTCCTCAGGTATGACACTCCTGCAACTCCTCTCTCTTCATTCTTTGCCTCCACAGAGAACCAAGGGCCTGCACAGGGAAGACCACGACAATCAGGAATATTGTGTGTTTATATTAAAGGTGAACATTGGCATTAACATACAAACCACCACTGACATTCAGTGTCTTCTCTTTGCAGCAAACGTGAATGAAAACAATATATGTCATGCTTTGCGATGAAAATAATAAATGAGTAAATTTAGCTAATTTAAACTTTCATTTGTGCGTGTGGTGTGGCAAGACTAGAACAGGTGCAATGAAACCCAAACATCTTAATGAATAAATGTCTCAAAATAGTGTGTACCTGTGCTGTTCCTACAGCTTCTGGCCAGTGTGTAAGTACAGGTTCCCATGAAGCTGTAGTACTTCTTGTCAAAGGTGTTGTAGTGTGGATCCCCAGAAACTACACAATCCTGAAAACCTGAGAGAGGGAAAAACATCAGGAACATCAGACTGAAACACAGATGAAGCCACTGTAGAACAATTACCTAATAACAGTGCAGTTCACTGTTGCTTTGACTTGTACTGGCATTAAAATAGATGCAAGGAATATATCATTTCCTGACTAGACAAAAATTTTCTGCAACTCTGTGATTTTGCATTATAAAGAAATGCATGTAACAAGTGTTGTTATAGACAAACTGTACAGAAGAGAGCAAAAGAAACATAACAGCAGCACACATATAAATATTTCACTGTTATTGAAAGTAAAAGACGCCTGTGGTTTGTGCTTCTCTATCTTCCATTACTCAATCTAATTATGTATATTAGAGCAGGGATAGAAAATGCTAGTTTGAGAACTTTGACAAAGTCTACAGCATCACGTCAAACACAGTTGCAAAACTTTTCAGGTTGGCAGTCCAACCCATGAGATCTGGAAACCTACTTAGAATATAATGGCTACAGCTTTGCTGTGTTTTTTTAGGTGTGAACATTACAAACATACTCGTAGGATAGCAGCCCAGCTCTCCATCCTGAAGTTTACATTCATGCATTGGGGGGCACTCAGAGGCTTCACAGGTAATTCCAGCTGCACCACACCAACATTTTCGCTTGCAGTCTTCCTCAAAAAACTCCTCTCCAGGCTGACAAACAGACAACAAAATTGACAATTAAGCATAGCAGGCACAGATGATTCTTTGTAGATCCTTTTATGCATGTATGTATGAAAATGTTGTTTTAGAGAGGACATAAAGAGACTGCAAGTGACCTGACTTGAAATACAAAGGACCAAATGATTCACTGCCGGCCTATCAGACCCACTTCACCATACCTCATAATACTGGCCGTTCGTGTGGTTGCAGCCACACATGTTCTCCTTAACGCACTTGCCAGCACTCAGGACATAGCTGGGATCACACACACAGGACTCAGAGCAGGGACCAGAGCAGGAGGGGGGTTTTCCAAAGCATGTTTCCTGACAAGGATCTGCACAAGGTTCGTAGTGGCTGTTTGGGGGACAGCTCAGTGCTAAGCAGACCACAAGAGGTTGAAGTTAGTGATAGGAAACAAAAGTATGTGCTGGTTAAAATATAAAATGACAGCTTTTCACAAGAAAAGAGATACGTCTTTGGCACTTCCAGCTGTGTTGTCTTCCGTGTAACTAGATTGTTTGAGTTTGGTGGTAACCCAGTCTCCTGCAGCCTCTTGGCATATGTTGTCTGCCCAACTAGGTATGCTAAAGCAGCACTCCCTCAGTTAACTTTAGTGAGTAGGAAGCCCGTATGAAGTATTCTTCCACAAGTCAAAACTGACATAAACTTCTTTGTGTTATTTTCTCCCAACTACTCAGCCAAGCTGATTTTTACCTAATGATATACCTAAAGATATTTTACTACTAAATTAAATAATTTGTCCTTCCAATACTCACGGCAGAAGGTTTCATTCCTCCATGGTCCAAGGTTGACCCCACGATCTTGGCATTCATTGACATAGGCTTCAATGGCTTCACACAAAATGGGCTTGGCACCATCCAGCTCACACAAGTCAAAGACACAGTCCCTGAAGTAATTCTGAGAACAAACAATCACTTTGTTACAATGCTTTATATTGTGTGACCATCTAAAACCACATATTCAAATTATTCCACTATTACTAATATCACATTTTCACCCTGAATGCACACACACATACACAAATACAACAAGCTCAGAATAAGGACTGGTTCCACATTTGTTCATTATATGTGCACTATCCTCTACATGAACATACATTGGGGTTGACTTTGGGATGGCACACAGCAAAAGGTCCATTTTTGTCCAGCAGAATGCCACAATATCCAGAGCTTTCATACAGTTCCTGTTCTTCTTCATTGCACCCAGGGATGGTAGTGTTGGGTTTCTCATTACATCTGTCAAGACAGACCATCATCTTAAGAACATTTGTCTTTTGTCAATGGTAAATGTTTCTTACACTTGCATCTCTGCAGTACTCACTCTGGATTCATGTTCCAACTGTGTCCAAAGTCATTGGCATTTTCAGCTAAGCTTCCATCTGGTTTGCGGAAGTCATCTTTGGTATCTCCATCATAGTTGCCACACAGGCCACACAGCTTGTTATGATAGCTGCAGATTGCAGAAAATGATTGTGTTAGAGTCTTATGCAAGAAAGACTAACAAGTCAGCCAGAACTACAACGTGTTTTAATTCCAGCCAAGTTTCTTTTCAGCAGTAGACCTAAACCCCACACATTAGTAAGACTAAAAGATCAGAAATGTACATTTGATGTGTTTGATAGCATCAGCATAGAATTAACTAGTCAGGAAATTAGAAGTTTTGTGTGATTTTATCTTGAAATTTTGAGGGAGCTGTTTGTGTTGCCCCTGCTAAATTGTTTAAATAAAATATCCTAGCTGTGTCATTAATCTCTGCCTTCATCACCTTACTACTCCTTACAGATAAAGGATTCATGTTCAGTATATGAATATGTGTTATAGTTTTAGTTGTATCAGTATGGATGTAGATTTCTGGACTGGTGAACTTGTGATTAAAACACCACTTTATAAGGAAACCATGAATTTGGTCTTCACTCACTCTTCGATTACTTTAATGTCCATGAAGGAGTTTCCATCATAGCGAACCGTCACACCAAAGTTCATGGAGACAGTGTAGTGTTTTCCTGACTTGAACACAGAAATACCAGGGGCCGGGGACAGTGGCAGATTGACATTGGTCCCATTAACCTGTATGGGGAAATAGGCGCAGTACATCAAATCTGGTCAATTATTAGCCAACATTTTCATTTTCGAATTACCCATGTCACAACATTACTAACCGTAACTAAAAAGAAACGTTCCCTCATCATGCCAATGATGGCTGAGCAACAGATTATGACATAAAAAAAAAAGAAGAACAACATAATAATTGATTATTTTCAACTTGATTCCACTCTAACCCATTTCAATAACAATTGGCACATGGGCACATTTATAGCTGTGTTACACTAACGCAACAAAATCACAACCGGTCCTTGAATTGTTTGTTTGGGTCTGGGTGTAGTTGGCCCAGGAGTTCTTGGTTTGGGTGTAGTTGTTTTTGGTGATGTGGTATGGAAGCCTTTCTGGATCTTATTATATGTTTGTTTTCTTTACATCAACTCCACCGTTGCCAGTCCCCAACCGGTGGACGCTGTCAAAAGCCTTCTAGTTCAAAGTTGTTTGGTGAAGTTGGTTCAGGACCAGCTGGCCTTTGACCCGCATGCTCCTGCAGAGCAGCATAAGAGGGCCACGGCCGCATACTAAGACCTTGTCGGACAGGTCAAATGCAGCTGCCGGTGTGACAAGTGAGAGTGGATCGAAACCAAAGGCATGGAAGCCCAAGAAGCAGCCGAACGATACCTGAACCTTATGTCGCATTGTACGAGATCTAACTGGGGCTCGCGGTGGCTGCTGCGTCCAAATCCAAGAGAAAAATGGACGAGTCCCGCTCACCCTAGCTGAGCAAGACCAACGTTGAGTCAAACACACGCCGAAGTCAAGAAAGCGATCCGATTCCTCAAGAGTGGAAAGGCTGCTGGCCTGGACGAGATCCTCCCTGAAATGCTCAATTACAGTCATCATCATCAAACTTCGGAAGGAAGGTGATTTGGGCGACTGTAACAACTGGCAGGGCATCACATTGCTGTTGGTACCCGGGAAAGTGTTTTTCCTCATTCTTTTGAGTTTGCTACGATGTGCAGTGGGCGAACGACTGGGAGAAGAGCAGACTGGCTTTCGGAGTGGCCAGTCCTGAGTCAACCAAATATTCACCCTCCGCATGATCATTGAACAAACATCGTAATACCAAAAGAAGATTTCTATTAATTTCATCGACTTTGAGACGGCTTTTGACAGCGTCCACCGGCTGACTCTAAGGGCTATCTAACTTCAATATGAAGTCCCCCAGCAAGTTTGTAGATGCCTTTTGTGGTCTCTACTCCAACTCCTGCTGCTGCGTCCGGAGAGACGATTTCTCAATGGATTTCTTCAAGATTAATACTGGCATCAGACAAGGATGCGACTTCAGAGTAGGGAAGGCGGCCGAAGTCTTCCGATGTTTCCAGTTCTACTCAATTTAATTCAATTTTATTTATATAGTGCCAAATCACAACAACAGTAACCTCAAGGTGCTTTATATTTGAAGGTAGACCCTATAATAATGCATACAGAGAACAAACCCAACAATCATATGACCCCCCTATGAGCAAGCACTTTGGCGACAAAGGCGACTTTTAACAGGAAGAAACCTGCGGCAGAACCAGGCTCAGGGAGGGGCGGCCATCTGCTGCGACTAGTTGGGGTGAGAGAAGGACCTATCTCTAACCTATTTGGAACTCGACGTCCCTGAATGTTAGGATCAAGATCAGACTATTGAACTATTGTCATTCCGATGGCACTGGTAGCTAGCGAAACCTGGCTAGCGAAACCAGGTAGCTAGCGAAACCTGGCTAGCTACCAGTGCTAGCCAGGTTTCACTAGCTAGCACTGGTAGCTAGCGAAACCAGTGCCAGTTGAGTGATCAACAAATGTGATCACTCAACTCCTGACTCAACATGTGCAAAGTGGTAAGTGTAAGTGCAAGTTTCTTTCCATGGTCAATTGCAGTGGTTTTCAGAAGTGTTCCTGAGCATGTGCAGTGATTTGTACCACAGAATGATGTTTGTTTGTAATGCAGTAGTGCCTGATAACGTGATAGCGTGATTTGTTTTCCTTCCTTCTCTTATTTCTTACCTGCACAGTGCCACCTTTGAGAATGGAGATCTTTATCATCTGTGCGTATACATGTACGGCATTCACATAGGAGATGGTCGGCCTGTTATACCGGTTTTCATTGTCAGTATGGACCTCAAAGTAGGGCACAGTTGTGTCATTGCATGGACTAGACATCAGATAGCTGCAGTTGCCCATGAAGTCATATTTGCGTTTGTCAAAGCTGGTGTAGTGTGGATCGCCAGATGCAACGCACGTGGATGTACCTAAAGAAAATAACAAGAGATAAATGGTATATTGGCATTTTGATACGAATGTAATGTATTGATGTAATCAAGAATTTAAGGCAGATTTTTCCGTGAAGGTTCTCAGCCATCCAGGTCATCGTAGTCTAAGAACCTTGGAGAGAAAAGTGTCTGGACTTTTCTTTAAGACATTTCACCTCTTCAGCTTCTTCAGTTCTAAGAGCAACTGGTGGACAGTCACAGACTTTTAAGCCCTATTGGGAGTGTCCCTAAGAGGATGCCAATGTCCACATTTTGGACAGAGAAGACAGATGGTTTGAAAGAGGAATAAAATAAGCCATTTGTCCACTGTGAATGACCATCTTTCAACACAGGGACAGGTTTACGACACCGACTGTCTGCCATCTATAATGCAGTTTTGAGATCCTTCCCAGACGCCTTAACACCCATTCACATACTGGGTCATTTCACCTCAGTAAGTCACATGATAGGTTGAGGCTAGGTCTCACAATGGATTCACCCGAAACCTGTGCTGATTGTGACCCACACCTGTTTTCTAACCGTGGCTCATGTGATAATGGAGAGGAACATTAGGGGGTCCATGGCCCCCTTAGGTCCACTCCCAATTAGGGATGGGTTCTGACATAAACGGTATGACATAAACACTTGACCCCTGTTTCAATTCAGGGGGTCAGTGTTGACATTTTGGAGGACTATAAATACCTTGGAGTACACATTGACAATAAACTGGACTGGGCTGCAAACACCACAGCACTTTACAGGAAGGGCCAGAGTCGTCTCTATTTTTTGAGGCGACTGAGGTCCTTCAACATCTGCCAGAAAATGCTCAGGATTTTCTATGAGTCTGTTGTGGCCAGTGCGATCCTCTATGCTGTTGCATGCTGGGGGAGCAGGCTGAGGGTCGCAGATGCCAACAGACTTAATAAACTAATCCGTAAGGCCAGCAATGTTGTGGGGATGGAGCTGGACTCCCTCAAGGTGGTGTCGGAGAGGCGGATGCTGTCCAAGATAAAGACAATGTTGGATAACACCTCCCACCCACTCCATGACATGCTGGTCAGTCACAGGAGCACGTTCAGTGAGAGACTGAGATTACCAAAAAGCACCACTGAACGACACAGGAAATCATTCCTGCCTGTGGCCATCTCCCTGTACAACGCATCCACTTAACACACTGTTTGCTGCTACAACTACACACGTTTCTTTTCCAACTATTTATTTATGAGTGACTTATGTATGTATGTATGTATATATATGTATATATTGTACTATTCTTAGTTAGTGTATTGTCTGTCTTGTCTTAATGTTGGTTTAAAATGGAGCACTGTAACAAAAAATAATTTCCCCCAGGGATCAATAAAGTATTCTGATTCTGATTCTGATTCTGATAACCAGACCGAAAAGCAGCGCACATTTCGGTGCTTTATTTCGGTGCTTTTTTTTCCTGAGCTGTGATACACTTTAGATTCTAGCCAATCATTTTACGTTTCCGAGGATGCCCAAGGCGAAGCGGTCAAAAGTCTGGCTGTACTTCACAGCAAAAGATGCAAACTCAGCAGCCTGCAACAAGTGCTTTGAGGTGATACTGTGCAAAGGAGGTAACACCTTGAATCTGATGAAACACTTGGCGATGCATAGCATTTTTTTAAAAGCTGAGAAATGCACTGTATTTGATAGCTTGCTGCAAGACCTCGCACCAAGCACATTTACTGCGGATGTGGTGCCTGTTATTGACCCGGAGTTAGCAACATCCCCGAAGAGGAGAGTCCTGGCCCTAGCCCTGCCAGTGTAGCAAAAATGATGATGGTGGCGGCAGCAGCCATTCTTCTCTGGGTGAGTAGCTTACTGTTGTTCGTATGTAATTCACGTTGAGTAGGCTAACCACATTATTAAATTAATGCACATAAGGTGAACTAGCAAACACTGTCGGTGTTACATGCGGCCGTCTTCTTGTTTGATGGCAGATACTCCCTTCATGTTGTATCAACAGAAAAGGCTAACTTGGTTATCATTTTGCAGAAAAAAAGAGACTGCAAAAAATAAAAACATGAGAGGTTTTTGGACAAAGATTTTGTTCTCCATTCTTTAAGCACTGGTTCGAGCACCGTTTAAGCACCGGCACCGTTTCAGAAGTACTGGTTTGGCACCGGTATCAGATAAAACCTAAATGATACCCATCCCTAATCAGGACGCTACAACACAGAGCGAACACCATCCCCACAGACACAGCGGCCAGGGAGGCAGAAGAACATCACATCAAGAAGGCCCTGAGTAAATGTGATTATCCCAGCTGGACTTTTGTCAAAGCTGGTAAGGCGCCAAAAGAAAGCTCCAGCCGATCCAGGAGAGAAGGACAACGGCTGCCTATGTTAGGATGCCTGGGTCGTTGACCCAAGGTTTTGAGTTTATTATATTATTTATCATTTCTAGTCTTTGTTTTCTTTGTTAGAGTTCTGTCTTATGGTTTATGTCTCTGTGTAAACCTTAGTTGCTGTCTCCCCTGCCTGCTATATCCCCGTGTCCAGTCAGTGTCTGTGTCTGCCCTGGTTCCACGTCTCTGTTCCCTCTGTAGTGCTTGCCTATGAGTCTGTGTCTGTAAGTTCAGTCTGTGTTATGTTTCCTGTGTTACTTTGAAAGTCCATGTAAATGCATCTGGTTGTGCTTCCTTTGTCTCGTTAGGCCTGGTTTTCCTCAGCTGTGTTTCCCTCCTATTACCCATTCCCTGATTCCTCCCTCCGTGTATTTAAGCCCTGTGTTTCTCTGTGTCGGCGTTGCGATCTACCCTTATCTAGCTGCGTTTTCTATCTGTGTAAGTGTATTTTGTATTCCTAGTTTTGTTACCCTTTTCAGTTTACGTTCCGCCTCTGAGTGTCTGCACATTGCGTCCTCCTACTACCACCTAAAGAAAAGCCACCTAAAGAAAGCTCCAGGAGAGAAGGACAACCGCTGACTATATAGTGACCTATAGCTATCCCGTACATGTCAGGAGTATGTCAGGAGTATCGAAGCAGTCTAGATGCATTTTTTCTAAACACCGGGTCTCTGTGGCTTTTAAACCCCAAAACACGCTGCGCCAAAAATGGGTCCACCCCAAGGATCGGGTCCCCCGACACAAATAGAGTAACATAGTGTACGCTGTTAAGTGCCAGTAGGATTGTCAGGATTTATACATCAGGGAAACCAAACAACCTCTGGCTACAACACAGAAGAGCCACCTCGTCAGGCCAGGACTCTGCAGTCTATTTACACCTACAGGCCAGTGACACTCTTTCAATGATGAGGATGTAACATCCCGGACAGGGAGGAACGTGAAAATTTACGTGAAAAGGGAAAGACCATCTCTGAATCGAGGAGGGGGCCTAAGGGTACATCTGTCACCATCTTACAATGCTGTGATTGCAGCCATTCCCCAACTCTCTGTGAATGGGACTCATGGTTATTGATCAGTGGTTGTTGATCAATGGTCATGAGAATTTGCATAATTAAGATCAAGGAACTAACTGTGAAGGTTCTCAGTCATCCAGGTCATCGTAGTCTAAGGAGCTTGGAAAGAAAAGCGTCTGGACTTCTTTAAGTTGCTTACAGACATTTCACCTCTCATCTGAGAAGCTTCTTTCAGACCCAGCAACACACTCAGACCAAAACTGGTTCATCCTAAAGACAAAACTCCTAAACACAAACTTAACAATGTGGTGTATGCTGTACAGTGTAGCGAGGAATGCCCAGACCTCTACATTGGAGAGACCAAACAGCCACTTCACAAATACACAACATAGAAAAGCCACCTCCACGGGACAAGACTCGGCTGTCCAACTGCGTCTAAAGGACAAAGGTCACTCTTTCGAGGATGCCAATGTTCACATTTTGGACAGAGAAGACAGATGGTTTGAAAGAGGAATAAAATAAGCCATTTGTCCACTGTGAGCGACCATCTTTGAACAGAAGCGGTGGTTTACGACACCAACTGTCTGCCATCTATAATCCAGTTTTGTTTTTCCTTCCCAGACGCCTCAACGCCCACTCACATCCTGGGCCATCTGACATGCGATTATTTAGAGGATCATTAGGGGTCCTTTGGCCCTCTCAGTGGGGTTACTCCCACAGGGTTTAAATCTGGGACTCTCCACCATTTGACGCTATAACTGAAGAAGCTTCTCAGATGAGAGGTGAAATGTCTTCAAGCAACTTAAAGAAGTCCAGATGCTTTTTCTTTCCAGGCTCCTTAGATTAAGGAACTGACCTCCCAGCCCATTGTTCCTTCTGCGGGCTGGTTTCAGTCATTATGCAAATGTACTGTTTATGAGATTGGAGAAACCTGCAGTCAGCTGAGACTGAAGAAGTCACTTGGATGAGTGACAAAACATTTCTCCCACAAAAACGCTACGTCCAGATGAACAGAATCAACCTCTGGAGTATTATATCAACAATCTTTGAACAGTGGAGTGGTAGTTGTGGACGTGACTACTTTAAAATATTTTTCTCTTTAGATGTGACTAGACCATCCATTGCATATTCATCTATTAAAATTACACATTTTAAGATGCATGTTGTAGTTTCAAGACAAATTTTTTGTTGCCAAACATTATTACCTTTAGGATAACAGCCTGCTACACCATTAACTTCCCGACACTCTTCAGTGGGGTCACAGGAGTTATCAACACATTCCAAAGTGTAGTTCCCTGCACAGCGACACAGCTTTGCGCAGCCATCTCCAAATACGATCTCACCAGGCTGAAAAGAATTAACACAATCAAAACTAAGAAAGCGTGGTGTATAATTACATATTATTCAATTCATTCCATTTTTAGTTATTTAACAACAGTAGTCGCCTCTAGATTTATTTTATTTCTCACAACAGTCAGAAGGAAAAACTCCCTTTTGACAGGAAGAAATTCCTGCCAAACCCGGCACAGTGAGGAGTAGCCATCCGCTGTGACTGGTTGGAGTTGAGAAAAAGAGAAATAAAGGCAAATAAGAAAAAAGACACACTATGGAACACAGCCAGATAAGTAATGATGAGATGAAAAGTGTTTTATAAATAAACACAAAAAGTGAAAAGAGTTAAGGAAAGAAGAGACATTCAGTCTATCATACGAACGCCTTAGTAGCCTTGACCTATTGCAGTATAACTAACTATTTTAGGGTCACCTGCTTCTACCCTAAGTATGAGCTTTATCAAAAAATTGTAAGCATAATCCTAAAAGCAGAGAGGGCGTCTGTTTTGCAAATCTAAACTGAGGGCTGGTTTCACAGAAGAGGGACCTGAAATACAACTTATGCTTGCTATTTTGTTACTACAGTCGACCCCCGATTGTGGTTAGGGACCACAATCACTCTGGGAATACTTAAGAACGCCCTCTAAAAACGCTTATAACTGCCTGTTTTAATAGTTCAAACATGAAATCACCCTGATGAAAATAACTAATGAATATTTTAGATATGCTTTATCAAAAAATCCACAAATAGGCAAATTTTCTGCCAATAATTTAGAGTTACATTCCACAGAAAAATCAACAAATACTGAATAGGCAGAGGTTGACTGTATATCTGTGTTTACTGACCGGGAATTTATGTAGTATATGTAAATAGGACATCTGACCTCATAATAGTTATTCTCATCGTCTAAACAGCCACAACTCTCCAGTGGTATGCAACGCCGTCCCTTAAAAACAAAGCCTGGTTTGCAGAAGCAGCCACTGATACAGGAGCCGGAGCAATTGGTGGAGGGTTCCATACAGGTGGGTATACAAGCTGGACCGCACTCTATATACTCTGCGTTAGGAGGACAGGGGTCTGGATAGAAAGAATAAGATGGAAAATAAAAAGGAGCATGAATGAAAGAACTTCTGGACTTCTGGAATGAAGTATTAATGGAAATATCTGATAAAACAAGTCTTACTTGGTGGTTTAGATGTAGTTTGTTCAGGAGTTGGTGGTTTGGGTGTTGTTGTTTTAGGTGTAGTTTGTTCAGGAGTTGGTGGTTTGGGTGTTGTTGTTTTAGGTGTAGTTTGTTCAGGAGTTGGTGGTTTGGGTGTTGTTGTTTTAGGTGTAGTTTGTTCAGGAGTTGGTGGTTTGGGTGTTGTTGTTTTAGGTGTAGTTTGTTCAGGAGTTGGTGGTTTGGGTGTTGTTGTTTTAGGTGTAGTTTGTTCAGGAGTTGGTGGTTTGGGTGTTGTTGTTTTAGGTGTAGTTGGAGCAGCAGTTGGTGGTTTGGGTGTTGTTGTTTTAGGTGTAGTTGGAGCAGCAGTTGGTGGTTTGGGTGTTGTTGTTTTAGGTGTAGTTGGAGCAGCAGTTGGTGGTTTGGGTGTTGTTGTTTTAGGTGTAGTTGGAGCAGCAGTTGGTGGTTTGGGTGTTGTTGTTTTAGGTGTAGTTGGAGCAGCAGTTGGTGGTTTGGGTGTAACAGGCTGACCTATAAATGAAACAGATATAGTTTCTCATGTAAACACCGACACAACTGATCCATATTTCTGAAGGTTCTGAATGTGCAAGAAGGCAAATTAAACGTCTTGGGTTGATCTCTCACCTGTGCAGGTCATGATACAAACAGCATCGATAGCAATATCTGTCTGAGGCGTTTCTCCATAGGTACCCACAATTGCAAACTGAAATGCATATAAATGTGCATATGATGTGAAGCCTGTGCACACACAGGAATACACACATAAAGAGACTTGTGGTGTTCTACTATTTACCTTAATAGCATTATTTCCCAGAAAGCGGACGTTTGCCGGCTTCCAGCCTTGTCCCTGGTTCCCCGTTACAGTGAAGAGAGCAGGTCCGAGGGTTTCATCTGGTAAAGAGAAAAACAATTCAAAAAATGATTTTCCTCTTTTCTAGCTTTTGGTCAAACATTCTTCTATTATGATAGTGCACCCTTTTTTTCTTTTACCTGTGGTGATCGTGTGGACACTGATCTGCATAGTAGTACTAGTGCCATACAGGTAGTAATGGAAGGTAAGCTCGAGACATGCAGAGGAGGAGGGAGTTGTTAAAGGACTTGTGATCTGAGCACTGACTCCAGGTATAGCCTCGAAGGAATCCAACAACAGATAGGATCCAACTACATGTGTAAGGGTTAAAAGCATAATAATAACAATGCAAATAATATTACTACTACTAGTAGTAATAATTGTAAATTATTAGTAGAATTGTTATTATATTTCTGATTTATTGTCAGTACCACAATAGTGTCAGTTAGTGCTTAATCAGGCCAGAAAGCAGCGTTCTATGTTTTGCAAATATTGCAAGAGGAAAATAGAGCCAGTCTTGGTAAAACATTCACTTCCATTTAGACCTCACAAAGAAAAATCACTTACAACCAGGTTTTGAAAAGTCACCATCAGGTCCAGTGCCTTCAGTTTCAGTTCCTCCTGTCCACTGACTGAAGCCAAACATATTGGGATCCTCAGTTTGAGTTGTCCATCCACAGAGGTCACCGGAAGTGTCAAAATCACAGCCAAAAATACAAGCTGTGAACAAAACATTTATATATCAGCTCAAAATGTGATTGTGTGTGTGTGTGTGTGTGTGTGTGTGTGTGTGTGTGTGTGTGTGTGTGTCTTTATGTGCATGTGTGTGAACTCACAGGGACATGCTCCTTCAGTGATGACGATGTTGTCCAAAGCTGAATCACAAGAAGAAGATAAGCCTCTCTGAGCCTCAAAGACGATCTGTAGACATGCAAAGAAAATATCACCCTACACAAAAAAAGCTAGAGATTTATATACATAATATACACAGTAACTTAAAGAAAGAGTTTTTCTTCAATAAAGCCTTGATTTCCATCTAAGCGGTAGGAGCAGAAACAAACTGGGGGGGTGTAAAAGACTTAAGGGTTTATTTTCTTTTATTCCAGATACCCAAGTAATCCAATTCAATTCAATTCAGTTTATTTATACAGCGCCAAATCACAACAACAGTCGCCTCAAGGCGCTTTTATATTGTAAGGCTACAATAATACATTCAGAGAAAAACCCAACAATCATATGACCCCTATGAGCAAGCACTTTTGGTGACAGTGGGAAGGAAAAACTCCCTTTTAACCTCCGGCAGAACCAGGCTCAGGGAGGGGCGGGGCAATCTGCACCATTTGCTAGTAATTTTAATTAATTTATAATAAATAACAATCATATTTTAACAGTAATTTTTAAAGCTATAGTCAGTTTATCTAAACATCATTTTCTGATCAAAATGACAATTGCTCTGATGCTTTTAGAGATGGAAGGAAACATTTGCAAGTGAGATTAGTTGCCCAATAAAAGTCTGGCGGGCAAGTGAACAAAAAGTTTTCATGTCAGCTCAACCTCAACATAAACAGTACAAGTGTCAGTGATGAATAACTTTGTGTGCTTCATCAGTTTTTCAGCACATTGATGTTTGGGCCCTGAAAATATTTTTACAGCTAACTTTTAGGAAGCAGAAAATCATGTCTACACGTGACAAAGTGGACGAGTTGGCCAAACAATAAAATGTGAAAGATGATAAGAATCATTCCACTCCTCCAGAAATAGACACACAGAGGAAGCCGCCGCTGTGTGTCATTCCAGCAGCATTCTGCCGTTACACTTTAATGTACTCATAAGGATGTGTTTCAAAAATAAAGAAACTGAGACAGTAAAAACTGGTTACAGGACATGTCTTTGACATGTGGTAGTGGCTGGACTCTTAAATATTTGAAGCTTTTTCATTTAGTCATGAAAACAAAACGTTTTTAAGGATTTGGCCTCTTATGAACAAGAGAAGAAAGAGGTGAGAGATGAGAAGTGTGACAGACAGAAGAGGCACCAAAGGATTCTTAGAAAAGGTGAAGAAGTATCAGACTAATGAGACACAAAGGTATCATAGTTCAGACCATAAAGCTACGACCTTAGTCCTGCATGTAAGTACTTTGATTTCATGTTGTTAAATACTGCGATGTAACCGACACACATACATGACCAGAAGTGTCTGCTAGAACACACTGTGTGTGTTATATATTGATTTTACATAATAACCTGCAAACAATCTTTAATTATTGAGTTTCCTGACTCGTTTCAAATTCCTCCTCCTGAGCTTTCACTTCACCAAAAGTGAAGCGTATAACAGACAGTGTGGTTCTGAACAGCACTGGGTAAGCTGTTACATGATAAGCACTGTGCAAAAAATGTAAGAAACAGCACAGCTGTTACTTTAACCCTTTAAAGCCTGAATCATGAAATCATTGCCAGAAAATTGTAATTCTTTGAAAATAGTGTTTATTTAACCTCCTTTTGTTTAAGTTTTTAAAAAATAAATCACATTTCAATTTCTGTATATGACATTTAATTTGTATTTGCTTATCTGTTTTTTTTAATTGCTAAAAAAGGTATTGTGCAATTTATTTAGGTTTTTCAGGGGGAAAATTCACACTGATGATGTGGAAGTGCCAAAAACTGTATGTATCAAATATGATACACTAGACGTTAAGCAACTCCTTCAGAATACTGTTGAGGGTGTGACAGTCCGAAACTTTATGAACATGTTTTAAAGAGCAGAGCGTTATCATGGGCCTCAGCACATATCTGTCTGTTCTTGTCTCGTTCAGCATTTTGAATGGTTGTTTTACAGCTGTTGTTGCAATTACAAAGACATAAAAGCAGCTGTAAAATAATCTTTACGTGTGTTGACTATTATTACCTTCGACTATCTGTTTTGTAATGCTAAATATTGCTTATTGCGTGTATTCATTTGGCATGTAGAAAAATTGTTCTCAATTATCAGCGACAAAATGAAACTTTAAATTAGTTCCTTAATAAAATTAGAGGATAATAATACAGAAGGATTTCTATATTTGCAAAGCTGTTTAAAGCAGCTTCCTTCACCTTATTAATGTCACTTACTAATCTCTGATGAGAGTTTAGTGTCTGAATGACTTCACTTCATAGCTAAAGTCCCAAGCTCCTGTTGCTACTGTTGATGCTGTTTAAAGTTGTTAAAGTGATCTGGTAACACTCACGGTAATGCTCTGGCTGCTCGCTTTCGATACGGTAACAGAGCCGTTCAACCAGTTTGGACTCTGGAATCCAGTCCTCTTCCACACCTCTGCCTCACTACTGGGTAATTTTGCCAGAATTCTCAAATTATTGGTATTGTCAATCCCGTACATGTAGTAGTTGAACTGAACACAGATCTCAGAGGCTGATGAGGTGATGGGGGGGCTCAGCAAGCGAGCTTTCTGTCCATTAGACACATTGTCCCCCTCGTGATAGATGTAGTATCCCTCTGCAGAAAGAAGGACACAGACGAAACATGTTTATTTGTTTACACCCTCGAACTCTTAATTAATCCCATTCAGTACAATCACGACAATAGTACGGAATAAACGTGTTTTTAATAAAGCATGCAAACCTCCATCAGGGTAGTCTCCACTGGGACCAGTGCCAGTTGTGGGAGTTGGACCTCTGTGCCGGGTCCAGTCACTGCTGTCTGTGCTATCCTGGATGAAATCGCAGAATGGGCCACTGTCTTGGTTAAAGTCGCATGAAGTCACCACTACGGCTGTAGAAACACATTACAGACGGAACACAAGGCCAAACATGTTCATGAAGAATTCTCTATGATAGACTAGTTCAAGTGTTTAAATGCAAACAAGCATCTGTTTATTAGTGTCAGGTTTCAAGCTATGCCTAATCGTTACTGACAGTTAACATCCCAGTAACAGACATTAAACTGATTCGACAATGAGAGACAACTGTTTATTTTTCTGTACGTTTAGGCCGGACATTATTATCATTACTTAAGATAAGGAGCTGTAAAGAGTTAAGGTTCAAATCCAACACAGGGACTGTGTTGGATACAGCGTTGCAGTAATGTCACATCTCTGTGATAGTATGTTACCCATAAGTGCACTTTATATGTCTTGAACATGTCGTAGATGATAAAAAAAACCAACATACCATCTTCTGTCTGCTCATTCTGCGCACTGCAAACAAGAGAAAGATGCAGGTTAGAGTCTGGTTAAAACTGCGCAGGACATTGAAAAGAAGAAAAAAGACTCTCCAAGGAACACATTGATGGTGGAAGACAGGCCAAAGTGCATAAAGTAAATGTGCTTCAAACAGAATTCTCTGTGTCTCTGTTATTCATGTGGTGGCTTACATCATTAGAGTTAATTAATTAAGTGCAACTACTGCGATACAATTCGCCAAATTACAAAAAACACATGAGCACATGAACATGGATGGGCCGTGACAGTCATTTGTGAAGTAGGAAACTCGTCGTTTTGTCCATTTAAGAAGCACTTTACTCATTCCATATTCCAAAGAAGGCCTAGTTATCCAAAGAAACTGAAAGTCAAGTTAAAGGTAGAAATAAATAACTAAATAAATTCCCAATTCTTAACAAAAAAAAAGGTCTAATAATGACATATATTTGTGATTTAAGCCTTACATTTTTATACATAAGAGTCATAGTGGCATAGTGCTTTTCCAGGCTTACTGATCACTTAAAGCAATTATTAAAGAAGGCAGCTATTGAGAACAACCAGAAAAGAAACGACGCGTTCCTGCTCGATAAAGTCATAACTTATTAGAAGGATCCAGCTATATGAATAATTAGCAACTTAACTGATTATATAGTTGTTATGCATTAAGAACTCACCTGTACTGTAACTGTCCTGCTCTGGAATCACACATCCACAATAAGAAAATTAAAAACTTTAATATTTCCATGGCTAACTTTGAGATACCAGTGCAAGAAGACAGAGACACAGAGTACAGGACTTTTTATAGGCTGGGGATGAGTCAGGGGCATGCTGGGTGGAAACCAGGATGGATAAATTGAGTAGGTGGTGTGGATGCTGAACTGCTGTATATTGTGTATCAAAATGAGTAAATGAGTAACTGTGAATGATAGGGAGAGGGTGTGGTCCCGTTAGGCGTGACTGGATACGTGTGTGCATGTGTGCCTTTTGACCTCAGGAGTTCACGAGCAGGGTGGGGATGTTCCTCAAACATCATATTATAAAAAAGAACTTAAGAAATTATCAAGCTTATTGTGTAATAAACATGAAACTTTGATCAGAGGGACACACCTTTTTAGCTTGTAATGTATATTGACAGTGATTCTAGGAAGGCCACTTGCGTTCACATATTTGTTCTTCTTTACCACCAACTTACGGATGGACCGGTAACACGATGTGGACCGACTACTGCATGGACTCTCAACCAGTAAGCTTCAAGGAATCATGTTGTGAGGACAGCTCATACTGCAGCAAATACGAAACCTCACATCAGCATTTCCTATTCCTTTTCTTTATCTGATATACCTACATTTTATATCTGTGCATCAGCATGAACAGTACACACTACTTCTACATTCAGGTATCTTAGAAATGTTTCACACCAGAAAAACTAGAACGACCCTGTCTCAGAGTGACACTGAAAAACTAGTTCATGCATGTATTATCATCATATCTTAAAGAACTCTTAAAGAACCAAAAGAGCACTTCTCTCTCAGATTTCAGAATTACTTGTTGCTCCTCAGGTATTTAAAAGTAGATAAGGAAGCAAAACCTTCAGTTTTCAGACGCCTTCTGTGAAACAAGCTCCCAGCTTTTCTTCTTTGGCGGACACACTTTTTCTCCTCTCCCTTATCTTCCCTGCTTACATTCTCTCACAGTCTGTTCTCTAAAACCTAAAAGAGGAATTATGGATTGCAATTGACACCCCTTTCTCAACGAGAAGTTTGGGCTGGGGTGAGCCTGAGTACTACCTATTCGGAACCATGGTAACAGGGTTCTGGCTGATCGGAGCTGGCTTGGCCCTGACTTATCGAAGAATTAAGGAAGCGGAACCGGCTGTTCAAACCCCCACAAGGCTGCCCGCTGGGATTGAAACGATGGGAGAGGCGTGAGTTTCTCAAAATGGGCTCATTGAGCGCAGCACGGATAAGATCTTGGAGAGGCTACGGCTGCTGTGAATACTCAGAATAAGACCTCTGACTGCAGACTGGATACATCTCGGAAGGGCTTGCTCGGAATAACATCTCTGGGCGCAAAATTGGATGACATCTCGGGGAGGCACACTGCCGTGAGTTCTCAGAAATCGGCTCCTTGAACACAAGAAATGACAACATCACAGAACGCAAGTATGGCGAAGCTCGCGGCTCTCCAACGGGAGATTGAGAGACCAGTGTTGGACTGTAGAACTGCTTTGAAATTCATATGAGCTGTTCGCACTAAAGTAAAAAATACCATCACTTATGCGGATCCCCTCTCGGCGCCAGCTGCAAGACCGGAGCTGAACATCAACACCCTGATAACGACTGTGTTGAGTCTGTTCCTTCCCATTCCATGCAAGGCCACCTGGGTTGGCTGGAAGACTGTTTACTTAGCCTGGCAGGGCAAAGGACACTGTCTCAGCTGAACTATGGACACGCACACACATAGATATACTGATACTGATAAGCCCTCACTGACGCATCACCCTCCTTACCCCGGATCCAATGCCACCTCCAACGCTTACCTCCCCTCTGATGTGGACATCGGGTCAGTTGGAGGCGCAGTCGAAGATTGCAGCGGCCCCAGATCAGATGTACACACTGGAACTCTTTCCCATGTTGCTGTCTGTGTTTATTGTGCTATGGTGTGTTGATACCTGTGCATTCCTCTATTATCCTTCAGTGTTACACATTTCAATGTTTTTTTCCTCGCTACCTAGCCTGACCCGTCTCCCCAATGTGATGTTTGTGTATTGTATGTATGGTCGGCAAGGTCTGTCATCTCGGTTGTGGGTAAAAGACCTGCAACTGACAAATAAAGGCTCTCATCTCATCATCATCTCATCTCAGTTCAGATTTGAAGACAGACACTCTTTCTGCTTTCACAATTAAGCTCATTAAGTTTTTGCAAAGGTTTTTAGGTAGCGGTGGTGACCCTTCACTTTAAAAGCTCTAGAAAAACAGTCCTTTGGCATGATTGCATAAATAAGTCTCGAAGTTCTGCTGGTTTTAGTTATGGAAAATTGAATCCCATGCTCCACTTAAAATTATTAAGAGTGGACACAACATTAGATGACAACCTAAATGACATTTCTGATATGAAGAATCATCTAATCATCTTTTTTGAGAATTTGTGTGGTATCATATCAGAGATCTGAGAGTAGGGAAAAACCAAAGAGAAATTTGTAATAAAACACGTATAAAATAAAATATGATGGCCACACCCAGAAACAATCAACTTAGCAATGACTTTATCTCAACAATTCAGAATACTAGCTCTCATATTTCATGTCAATGACAAGAATTGGACAGAAGAGATTAAACAATAAAGATACAGGACGATGCACAAAATGATACAGGAGCTTGAATGTCATCGTAGATGCAGCTGATTCTCTCTCATATTACTGCACTATGTTAATGTCCAGAACATTATCTTTATCTTTTCTTATATCTTGGTCCCCGGACTACTTCCTTGTTTCCTTAGTTCTAAACCCATAAGAACCCAAGGTGATACAGGTGTCACTGTCCTTTTACACACGGAAGAAAGTTCCTGTTAAAGTTTCAACAGGGACTCTCCCATCGTTTTCCTGACAGTGAAAATGGGTTTGGGCTTTTATGACCCACATAGACAAAACATTTTCCTGATATTTCTTGAATAAATTATGAAATAAGATAAATTAAATGAGGCAAATAGCAAACATGCTCAGCAGCAACATTATAATAATAATTCCGAATTAGGTATAAAATGTTAAAATTGAGGTAACATCCTTGTTTTAAACTGATTCAGCTCTGACTTGAGTTTCCTGCTGGTTTGATGAATGCAGAGCTATCACACTATGCCCTAAAAAGTGTTACATAAGTTTTCTACCTTGCAGTGAATCTTACAAGTAAAGCATTGCATCCATTGTACTGGACAGCATATAAACCTAATTTAATAATAGCTCTGTACGTCGTTTTCAAATGAGATCTTTTTAAAATCAACGGACAAGCTTCTATGTTTACTTGTGAACGCATCATATAGAAAAATAACCTTTAAACACAGATGATCTGTGGATGGTGGCTTAGCTTGAATCATTAAAATATAAAATCATCAACATGAATCAGCTATGGGTGTGCATGAAAGTTCTAGTCCAATAAAGATACTGAGACGTGAGTGAAGTCCTTCAAAGTAAGGACCTTTGTGTTGGTTGCCATTGTGACCACAGTGTGTTTCTCAGGGGTGTGGTTTAAAATCACACACTGCAACCTGGAGTTAAGTTTTTTTTACACCAAGTAAGAACCAAGTGTTTCACATGAGCTCTGGGTGCTGTGGTAGTGAGTCGCCTGAATGCAGAAATATTCTGTTCTAAAGTAGCTGTGCCCTTTCTGTGGAGCGTGATCTATATGCTTCTTTGGTTAGGTGGTTATTCTAAATAAGCTGTAAGTGTAGATGTGACAATGAATAATTGCCTGTCGGTCTTAAACAAGTGACAAGTTTTAGATACTATACTGCTCAAAAGATTAAAGCAACACTTTGTAATGACAGTATGGCATCAAGTCAGTTCAAGTTCTGGGTTCTTGGTCTGGTCAGTGAAGTAGCAGACAGGGTTGTTAATCAGTTTCAGCTGCTTATGTGTAAATGAAATTAACAACACATACAGTAGGGTAGCAACAACGAAACACTTTTCCTTTGACATGTGGATGGAGTACAAAGTGCTCTATATGAGGCCTTTAAGATAAGATGGGGCTATTCAAGACCTCGTGTGTGAGAAGAACGATTTTAAATTTGGTTCTGGATTTAACAGGAAGCCAACAAAGGGAAGCCAATACAGGAGAAATCTGCTCTCTCTTTCTAGTCCCTGTCGGGACTCTTGCTGCAGCATTTTGGATTAACTGAAGGCTTTTCAGGGAGTTTTTAGTACA